AAAGAAGAACGAGCTGATCGATTGTCTTCACGAAAGCGTGCAAGCGCCTTTCTGTCCTCAAAGCTGAAGAAGCCAGGCTTGATGCCATGATTGTTGAACGTGTTTAGATTAAGACCATCCTCGAAAGGGGCAAGCTTTACACCGTGACTGCCGACCTGGCTTAGTTTGTTTCATTTCGACGACTTGATTGCCACACTCTTTCTTCATCCAGCGTATCGTTCCCGCCATCGCCGCTCGCCACACGTTACCATCTTGCAGCAACCTGTGTACACATTGAAATCGTTATCACGCGCGGTCTTGCGGCTACATTTGCATATCCGCCCCGTTCCCCCAGGCCGTGGTGGTCGTCCTCTTGAGCCATGGCTGGCTCTGGCCTCCTTCGCCTGTTGTTCCTTTTCGCGCGCGACGAGCTCCACACGCGGGCGGGTCCAACATGTCGGTGGCGACAAAGCAAAGACACCTCTACATCTCCGGATTCCCGAATCAGCGCGTACACGGCTTCCAACTCGTCCGTTCACGGCTTCTTTCCGGTTACAGAATGATATCGTCCCTCCGTTGATCTGTGCTGTGTGTGTCAGGTACATGCATTTTCCGAGAGGACCTTGGCGACGTTGTCGTCTCCCCTCGTCGCGTACATAACCTCCTTGGCATTTTCCGTGGAACGCCAGTAGCTTGTCGATCCGCAGGCAAATTGAAATCACCTCGCCCTCGATAACTTCGTCTACTTGGGTGAGGACGGCCAGTATTCAAAGTTTGAAATACTGTGCGCGAATTGAGCTCAAAGAAAGCCGAATTCGGTTGTCCGCTTGTAACAAACAGTCTATGACGTGATCGCAACGCTTGCGCTTGAGCGAGATCTCCTTTTCTTCGATTTCCTGGCGCTTGCGTTTAATGCACTGCTCGACCACTTTTTTTGGCGAACTGCTTGCGATCTTGACCAGACAGAAACCTAAATCCGGTTGGCATGTCATCAACACCCGCGATCGAGGCCTGCTTGTTCGATTCTTGGTCGATGTCGATCTTGGTGTCCATGGCGTTGTTCATACTGCTGTTGACTCTGGTTTTCTTGACAGTAATTTGTTTTGGCTTTTGAAGGCGGCGATGATCAGTTGTGAGCGACGGGCACGTGCCTTTCAAGTCGCATGTTTCGTGTAAACACTGACGAAACGCTCTAGAAAGTTGATTGGTTAAACACAAAATATCTGTTAGTACAACCGCGTCTGTTAGCGTCGACTTGCACACAGCAGTTGAATGAATGGCCCAATGAGTTTTATTCGTGTATTGTCGGTTGTCACACACCCGCGTGGTGCGTAAGAACGAAGAGAGACCAGAGAGAGAGCAGGAAAAGAGGGTGGAGAGTGCGATCTGACAGGCGGTACCACTGCTGTAGCACGCTGTGGCTGGCGTATGTGGCTAAGGCTTGGGTAGAGAAAACACACGAGTGATATAATTATCCACTCACAGACGCCTGGACTGTCTGCACCTGACGGTTACAGTAACAGAACGCCTTCACAATACTGTATCAAACACATACAGCAGAGTAGAGTCGGTCTTACACAGCAAAAACCCAAACATTCCCTCTCAAGAACGTACGTCATTCTGATACATAAGCCACGAATCTTCTCTCGATGTCCTCTCAAAACAATGACCTCTCGAAAACACAACTCACAAGTACTTGCGATCTCTCAACTCAAACACAAAATATTCACTAACTTCCATCAGTACAAGCAGCGAAGACTTTCCTCCTACACAGATCCCCCGAGTTTCCTTCAACACAGATCTCCAACCCTCAAGACTTCGAGTCTGATAACGAAGAGGGGAGGTGACTACTCTCCTAGAAGCAGACGACGGTTCCTGACAAACTTCACCGTTCCCAGGTCCTTGGTTAGCATGTCTGCCTTCTGAAAGTCAGTGTCAATCTTCTTCACTTCCACTACCTTGTCGACGATCAGCGACCTCACGTGGTGGTTTCAAACTTGAATTAAAGCTGAAATTGAAAACGTTTGGCACCCTACTTTTTTGTGCTGTGTCACATATGGCCAAGGAACACACACGAAAAATTTCAAACCTGAACGACCGTAAAAGAACGGTCCTCGCTACTACTAACCCTCCCCCTCCTCAACCAACTTCCTCTTCTTACCACCCTTTTTCTCCTGTGGTACGCTAACACAAACATTCCCAGTAGACCAATCGTGGTAACTCCACTCAATCCGATGTTCCCTCGCGTAAGCAACTGCTTTACTCCCGGGCCTACTTTTCCCGTCGATCAAATTCAAATAAAATCCATCCAAAAAGTCCTTCTCCCCAGGATTCGCCGAGTGTAAAAACCGCTTGACGTTGTCGTGGAACGCAACTCTAACAGTCTTCTGATCATTCTTCAAACTATACTCCAACGTCATCCGCTTGGGCTTCTTGCCCTTTCCCAACCTTTTCAGCTTACTTGCTTTCAAAACCAACTGATTGATTTTGGCAAACGCACTCTTGCGATACTCAAGCCTGTCAGCGCGAACTCCCCCCTTCTTCCGACCACCCGACTTCACACCGGTGTCCACCTTATTTTCGTCTTGGCCTCTTTCTCCCGTTTTTCTTCAATCGCAATATTAGCTTTCCTGGTAGCCTTTCGCTCCTGCCTAACCAAGTCCTTCTCTTCATCATCCATCTCGACCACATCCAACTTTCTATATGCCCCGTCACCCATCACCGGTTTCCCACGTGCAAACGCCCCGGATTTGCCGAAGTCGGCATCCTCGAAGGCAAAGAGACCCGAAAGACCTACTTCTTCAACATCACTCAGTGACGCCACCGTTTTCTCAGAAGTCTTGACTCCCCCCCCCTCCCCGAGGCGACGAAGTGAGGGAAGGGCACCACTTAAATTAGTCAGGAAATCACACGAATTTGGCGTATCACCTTTGACTTTCGTGTAAAACCGAATCCTCTGCTTATCACCGTGTCTCGCCAAAGCAAACAAATCCTTGACCGCCTGGTCATCGTGCGACAGCCCTGTCCTCACACAGTACATCGCCACCGCCGTCGCGTGATTACTGCGGATGATGTGAGTGCCAAAATGCGAAAGGCCCATTGTGCGCTGCCCCAACCATTTGTACATACCCGTCACTTGACTGGGTGTGAAGACACGGCCTTTGTCGTCAAAGGGACCCAAATGAGGTGTAAGAGTATACGACTCGGCCACCCTCTCTAAGGCTTTCTCGGTACACCCCCCTTTCTTTCTGAGCTCTGCCAAGTCCTTTTCCGCCTCCTTCTCAAGAAGCCTTCGCATCACCTTCCTCCCAATGACTGCCATAACCGCATACGCCCCCTCATACTTCTCATGTTTTGTATGGTTCACAACTACTCCACACGTAGAATTCTCGAGTGCCTTCTTGTTTTTGAAGTAACGGGGAAGAAGACACCGGGTAATAGCAACGTCGTTGCCATATACGTCCTTACACTTCATTCGGTACAAATCTTTAGCAAGCTGTCCCAAAATGTCTTGCTTTCGAAGGGCAGCGGTAAGCAGAGAATCCAACACCGTTAAAGAGCAACTGAGCAACGAAATATCCGATCTGGTTACCTTGTTTCCTTCTACCAGTTCATCGACGATCGCTTCAATCCTCTGTTTGAACTCCGGTGGACAAAGATGATCCTCGTTCTCGCGCTTGCGTGGGTTCATCTCAAGCACTTCATTGCACATCTTGACAATATCATCCTTGTCGGGTAACTTCTCCATGAACGAGTCTATCCCATTGCGAGACACGAGTTCTTCAAGTAAAAGAAACCCTTGTAGACATTCATCGCTTCCCACCAAGTGAGTCCTGCCTTTATTGAACTTCGCACCAAATGCGATCCTGTCGTTTTCATTCTCTATCACACCTTTTTCGGGCCGCTTCTCTTGCGACACAGAATGATACCCCCCCTTGATTATGTCAAACACGTCCAAATCCACTTTCCGCTTACTGTGCGAAGAAAACGCTTGATTGTACGCATCTCTGTGGCGAAGTGTTGGTGAAACATGATTCGAATGCTCCGTTGTCGGACACAGAGGAAAATTATCAGCCCGGGAAAGATCCAGAAGCCTGTACAACGGATACCTCATCAGAAACTGGCAGGTCGAAGATCCCCCGTCACCAAACTCTTCTGAATCCTTCACCCGTGCCCTCGCCAAGACACACCTCATCCCCAGGCTAAAAGACGTCGGCTCACCGGGTTGATACAACTGAGTGTCTTGTTCCTTCAATGTTTTGGCCTGGACTCCGGGAGGAAGCTCGTTCACCGAAAGATGGATCATGGACGACGCCATGTTGGTGGGTCGACCCAGCCGAAAGGACGCCTGCGCCCCCCTCACAAAGTGGTTGACGAAAGCTAGATGCTTGTCTTGGAAATCTTCCGTGCTTCTCACGAGACCCGTGAAGTGAGCTCTGGCGTCGTTGATCAATCCCATCATTTCGAAGCACGATTTTTCTTCCATCTCCACCCGCAAGCCTTTGTCCTCAGAGGAGTCCAAGAACGTGACTTCATTATCCATGAGCATGTCCACCGCACGAGCTTTCTTCGTCTCCTCCCAGGCGTGATTCCGGCCTTTTGTAATATCAACTTTTTATCCCGGGCCAGGGGGCGTGTCTCACTTGACACTGACACATTCTCCAACTTGGTGTTCTTGGTAATGAATCGGTAAACCTGGACGTTGACCATACACAAGGTTGCAAGTAGAAACACCCCCATTTTCTCCTTCGCCTCCTCAAGTTTCGCCACGCCCTGGTTATCATCGCGATCACGAAGCACGTCCTCCATAGAATATGCGCTGCGTCTGTTGCTCTTGCCTTCCGACCACTCGACGGTGAACACGGTGTATCCTTCATCCATCTTTGCCTCCACGACCTCCCCCTGTCTACCCTTGTCTGATGTAACCTTGGTCCCCGGAATTGCTCACCGGTTGGCCCGGCTCGACGCATGGTGATACCGTACAGGCCGTAGTTCTCCTTTTCGCACTTTCGCCAGATCTCTTAGCTTACGGGATTACCCTTGTCCAAGCAGCTTGCTGCTTCCGTGAGGTCGAGGAGGGTGAGGTTCCTTACCTCATTGATTCTCTTGTTTTCTCCTGCAAGTTTCCGTTCCATCTCGCGGGCTTTGCGGTATAGACTGAACATAAGTTCCGCCTGCTGGTCGTCTTTAGGCACCATCAACGACTCTCTCGGGCTAGAAGTTCTTGGAATGCGATTATGTTTCTTCCCCGCAGATCGACGACGTCGCTTAGAGTTTCCAGAGACGCTACCACTATCTGTGTCGGTGTACTTATCCGGTCCATCAGTGACCCCCCCACTCGAAAAATCACCAACACCATCATCGTCCGCTCGCTGACACCTAGAACACGTTCGCTGTGGTTTGGTGAAAAAACAAAGAACAACAAAACAGAAAAAAATAAGCTTGGTCGGGGTTTTCTTTGAAGTTTTTGTGCGCATATAGTTTGGTTTCGGCCCTCACTCGCTCAATACCAACACGAGTTCTGCTCACCTCTTTGTCAGAAGACAGGTCGTTCTCGCAGTCCTGACAATACTGCGCATTGCACGTGGGGCACTCCACCAGTTCACAATAGAAGTCTTCTTCGCACCCCTCGCAGCGAGTTTCCCCGCCGGTGGAGGAACACTCGTCGCTGGTGGTATCGTCGTCGGTGTCTCCATCGGTGTCGCCGGCCTCGCTGGGAGCATACCCGGAGTCCTCTAAATCGGAGTTTTCATCACCCGCTGACGCCACACCACCCGCTCCCCCACCAGCACCACGAGGCCCTTTACCGGAGCCTTCATCGGAGTCCTCTTCATCTTCTTCAGACTCTTTGCCATCGCTGACTCCATCCAGAGACGCGGCATCATCTGCATCCCCGGAGTCTTCACCATCTTCACCATCCTCCTCGGACTCTCTCGCGCTGTCGTTGCGCGCGGTTGGGGCAGGATCGGGTGCCCAACCGGGGGCAAATACCCCCCCTGCTGGACGCCTGTCCCTTTTCGGCCTCCCCTGTGTCTGCGAGAAAGGATGGGACGACGGGGATGGAACGACCAAGCAAGCATTCGGAGAAGTTAATGTCTTGTTTGACTTGCCGTTTTGTCGCGTGATGAAAATACGTTCTGAAGAACACAAATCAACTGGTACAAGCACACACCTGTTGTTGGTCACCCGACTTCGCTCCTCCCCGAAGAAACGCCAGCACCAATCCGAAGATGCGCGCAGAATCATCGTCCATCACAAGAATCTCGCCTTCACTCCTCCTGTGTCCACGTGCCCAGAAACCTCTTCCGTTGCGACGAGTCCTTGCAGGACGGAAGCGTCTCCCTCCTGCAAATCTGCATTTCAGAATCCTGCCGATCCTCGTGCGACCAGTCTTGCCACGACGAGCCGCACGCCGCCGACGAGAGCTGCTGCTGTTGTTGTTGGCAGAGTTGCTGCCGTTGTTGCTGACCGACGCGAATGCCTCGCCGATGCGAAGGAGTACGGTGGTAGAGGTCACGGCTGCCTGAAACACCAGGAAAAGAGCGGCCCCAACGGCGAGCAGAAGCGGCAGAAAGAAAGCCAGCATCCAGGGGGAAATCGTGGTTCCTTCGTGTACGACGATAGTCTGCTGCACCTCCTCTCCAGCTTCAGCCTCAGCCTCCTCGTCCTCGTCCACCTCCTCTGCGGCTTCATCTTCGCCCACCTCGTCCACAGCCTCGTCCACCTCCGCTGCTTCGTTCTCATCGGTTTCGTCATCGTGGTCTAGGAACAAAGGCTGGCATTTGTTCGGACTGGTGAGGTCGTACAAACCCGAGGCCTGTGTTCACGAAAAGCATTGGGTTTTCAGGTTGGGTTTTCAGGTTGGGTTTTCAGGTTGGTATTTCAGGTTGGGTTTTCAGGTTGGGTTTTCAGGTTGGTATTTCAGGTTGGGTTTTCAGGTTGGGTTTTCAGGTTGGGGTTTCAGGTTGGGGTTTCAGGGACTCACTTCGTCGAAGGCCAAGCTTGTCTCCAACCCCATTCGCCGACCTTCCTTGCCGACGAGAGTCCACCCGTCTTCGCCAACAATGGTGCAACCCGAGTAGTAGTTGGCGTCGTCATCCCAATACTCGTCGTCGTCCCATGGGTGGCTCCTCTTGCTGGACACACGGGTAGCCGCTTTGACCTCTTCTCCCAATTTTTCAATCAACGAAATGAGACCATGGATTTGTATGTTCAGTGCTACGGCTGCTGTCTGTCAACAACGATGCGGTGGTTCGGACCACTAGACGACTATTTTTTATGGAGAATTTTACACAAGGAGAATTAACGAACAACACGCACCTCAGCATTTTCGCCAAACGCTCCACGTGCCCCCAGGTCACTGTCGCCCCCACCGGAATCAGACGATTCGGCGCATGGCGTCGATCCACCGTCAGACGCCTCCGTGCCGGCTACATCTACCACGACAGCCGATTCAGGGACCTCGTCGGTGCCGTCCGAAGTCTCCGAATCCGACGTCCCCGGAACGGCCTCCTCCTCATCGGTGCCGTCCACGAAACCCTCGTCGAGGAGCAAATGGTACCCTTCCTCCATCTCGAACTCCTAGAGGGGGGGGGCAAAACAAAACAATGCGTTGGCCAAACGTGAGCGGTGTGAGCTTCAAATATGTTTTTAAATTCAAAGCAAAAATATCACGGATCATATCATGTACGCGCACACATACAATTAAAAACAGACGAGACTTACCAGTGGCATTCTTCGAAGTGGAATCAGGGCCTTGAAGTGCCCGTAGCCGTCGTGCAGCATCATGGGGCACTCTTCGGAGGAGATGGGGCCCCCGGCATCACATGGGACCAAGTGGCCGTCTTCGTGCTTGACTATCCTAAATCCGTGCAACCCGAGGAACTTCGCCAACAGCCACACCGCCCTTCCGTCGAGATATCCAGTTGGATGAAGTGTCACCAGCTCCCACATCGCCCTCGTCACAATCACCCACATCGGGTCGTGGACGATGTCGTCGAAGCTAGCCAGCTCTTCACCGTCCTTGAAGGCGAACTGGTCGCCGCACGTGCTGACGGCGCGGAGGGACTGGACGTACTCCTTCATGTCGTCCGTGAGCTTGCCGCTGACGGCTGCGAAAATCTCCTCACAAGGGGTTCCTGCGGCGTCCATCGCCACAGCGATGACGCCGAGAAGAGCACACAGACCGCCGCCACCGACGTCCAGCGCCATGTACTGCGCCCCCTCAGTCGTGAAGTACACGCGGCTGTTGTCGCGAAGCTTCGGGGGCGCCGGGACGTTCTTCTTGTTTTTGCAGAGCTGCCTCCCCCCTTTCTTGCTCATCATCTGCTTCTTGTTTTTGCCACGCTGCCTCCCCCTTTTCCTGCCCATGTTTTACCTGGTGAGACATGGATGGGTTAAATTCAACGTGTATGAGTGCAATGTGGATGTTGGTATGGAAAGAGGTGATGGGATATGCTGTATTAGATGGGTGGCGTGAAGATTGATTTAGTCAGCTTTAAACTTTGAGGTTGGATTTTTGAGGTTGGGTTTTTTTAGGTAACAGGTGCCCCGTGACTGCTTTCCAGGGAGTAGGTGGGGTGGTCGAGGGGTCGAGTGTGGGCGGTAGCAGTTGCAAGTGATTGCTGATGAGTTGGATGGCTGCTGCGAGGATTTGGTGTCAGGGAAAGGCAGTGTTAGTTTGAGGTTGGGTTTTCAGGTTGGGGTTCGCCCCGACCTGTAAACCCAACCTCAAAATGATTCTTCACCACTAAAAGTGGCCAGAAACGCCACCAGATGGCCGAAAATTCAGATTATTTATGCAGTAGATGTTGGCAAGGGGCTTTACTTGAGTTTAGTGTAGGAATCATACATTTTCATTTATCTTGTAGGTCATTCACGGGACTGTCACGTGAGTGGCAGAGATTGATTTGTACCCGAAACACATCAGCAGCAATCGGTCCGAAAAATATCATGACATCCACGAACGGCAAATAAATGTCCATCTAATTCGCATGCTCCATCTGTGCAATTCGCAAAACTCAATCGAAGCGTCCTGCTACAACACCAAATCACTCAGGCCGAGTCTTATACTGAATTTGTCAGGATATTTTGGGGGGGGGAGGTCCTTATTTTTTGGCCCACAATGTTTTTTGGGCATCTTACGCGGAGGACCATGGCAAATTTGTAAAGCCCAAATTCCTACTGGCCGAATATTTCCTAGGATACCAGCTGGCGAGTTGTAAAATAGGTAGAAAATATGCCTATTATCTAAGCTGGATGGGGCTGATACTTTCCAGGTTAGAAAATGGCGGGGGTCACACCCTGGTCACACCCCCATCGTGCCAGAACGAGGAACTACACAGTCTGCTGGCCAAACAGACGCCAGCATCATCATGAGGTCATGCACAAACCCTCTGCAGGTGGATCTGATATTCACGAGGTTCTGCGTCGTGTTGACCGCACAACAACCGAAAACGTTAACCCTGCCACGTTGCTCTGCTGACGTTCGTGCTTTTCGGCCGAAAAGAGCCGTTTTTTGTGCCTGCCGCATGTGTGACCAGTCACAAAGGCACGCCAAAGAGAGGTTTTTGGCCGTCGACATGCACAAACTGCAGCCAGTGGCGTGTGGTCGTACACGTACCCTCTGCTCGCGTCCCAGAAACAGAGCGTATTATCCAGTTTTGGTTGCTTGCACATCACCTGCAAACGTGAACCAAAATGGGTTTCAAAACTGCACACGACGTACTTACTCAAATTCCTGAGTACGCATGAGCAGTTTTGAAACTCACTCGTGTTGGGATGTAACCTTTGTGATAGGTGTATCCCTGGGTGTGGCAAACACTGTGTAGTAACAGTGTGCAGAGGCTCACAGAGTGACTGTAAAGTACACTTGTGCGTAGACCAGAAAGATGTGGTGAATTGGCGCTTAGTTGGCCGAATGGTAAGAAATGGAGAGGAGAGGAGAGGAGAAGAGGAGTGATCGAGAGGGGGTGAGCGCCGCGGGGGGCAAACTTCCAAAACTATCACGAAAAGATGTACACACACGGCCTATTGCAACGTACCGCTCACGGTAACAGGCGGTTAACCCGACCAATGGCAACAATACAAGAATATCCTACTGGACAATGGTCCGATGTACCATACTCCTGTAGGTTCAATGTATAACCCGAAGGTGTGTACAACATACCGAAGACTTTTCCGGTAATACTCCTATACCAATACTTATGACTGTCATTTGGGTATTCCAACACACTCAACCTCCTGAGTATTGTGGACAGGGCTCTGCTAGGGGCCCACATGTGGTAGTTGGAGATGTTGATGGTACCCCCTTGTTGTCCCATCAGGGGGGCCTCTATTGACGTCTGATGATAATAATACACTCTGTTTACCATCACCAAGAAGGTGAACCGACCAGCCCCCCGAGGCAACGGGGGGAGGACACTGGTCCTAGGCCCTGCCTGATTTCAGGCGTGTCTACAGTTATCGATAACTCAGGCTGACCGACCAGGGTCAGTCAGGGTCAAAATTCTTCAGAAGTCAGGTTGACCGGGCAGCCGTGAGCTGTTTGTTGATCCAGAAAAAATTCGAGCTTTGACGCGGCAGACCCTGCCTGATTTCAGGCATGTATGTCTACAGTATTGATGATTGTTTTTCAAATACTTAAATACTTGAGTAAAAGTTGAAGACTTGAGTAAAAGTCGAGTATTTTTGAAATTCCTACTGAAGGATATACTCAAGAGGTTGTGAAGTAAAATACTCGAGTAGTATCTGATGAGTACGCGTGAATAGTTTTTAACCCCCTTACCACGCACAGAAAATTCGGCGGTCTTGCGAAATTTCTGAAATGTAAGAAAAAGAGCGAACGACGCCTGCTGATTGGATGGTGCAGACAGTTCCATCCCTGGGTGCAAGTGCAAAGCTGCCTTCCCACTTGAGCCGTCTCTTGTCTATAATCCCTATCAATTGTCCCCTCGATACGAGGGGACACGAGGGGACAATTGATAGGGATTATAGACAGCACCTAACTGGCGGAAGCGTGGTAAACGGGGCACGAAAAGGAGGTTTTCAAGATATTTCCCTAGAGGGAAAGCGAGACCTTCTAACTCAAGCCCTAGGTTGCTTGGTGCCTCCTATCAACGGTGGTCTAGGTACTTCTTCCGCGCTTGCCCCTGGTAGTGCTTTCCACCCAAGGGTAAACAGACGCGGCGCAACTTCGCTGTTGAACCGGCGGCGCAATCGCCCCGCGATTCGACCTGTTCATTACCCTCATACTCCTCCACTCTACAAAGCATCCATACTAGACTAGAGTCATCCCTGTGTACCCTGGCACCCCCCTGGTCGAGTAGTGCAAAGGAGGAGACAATCATGACAATCTTCGCGAGGTAAAGCAGGCGAAGAAGATGGGGACAAAAAGTGTCCCCAAAAGGCGATCCAGCCCTAAAGGGGTTAAATACTTGCCATCTCCTGAGTATTGATGAGTATATTTGAAATACTTACTCAAACTGTTGAGTACATGAGCTTTATTGGAATACGTAGTCAAGGGCTAGGCAAGGTTGCGTTAAATACTTTACAAAACATTCCCTTGCAGTTTTGATTGCACACGGCCTGCAAACAAACATGAACCGAAGTGTGTTTCGGTGTTGTTGACGTTTTTGGACGTGCATTCTTTTTTGTGGTTGCTCCGTGTGATCAGTCCGCAACGCATGCAAGTGAGAGAGGCCTTTGGCCAACGACATCCACAAACTGCAGGGAATGGCGTGCGATCATATACGTACGTACACATGCCCTCTGCAGGCGATCCAAAAACAGGGCGCTCGGTGTCTTGTTGGTTGCACATGAGGCAAGACCGTGATTTGTCATCTTCCATGTATAGAGATTATGCGCTGCAACAACAACAAGATGAAATATCATCAATGGACCCTGGCTGGGCGGACCGCACAAGAGGCGTGGGCCGATGGTAGAAGACCCCAGAGGGTTTGCTTTTTCTTCAAAAAATACAACAGCGGACCACACAGGTTTCACTGTTTTGTTGTGCACGACAGACGACAAGGTCGATGGCAGAGTAACGTTCCTGCGTCGTGGCAGATGTCGCAGTGACCAACACAAATCCCCACTTGTCCGTGGGGGACGATGCACATTGGTACGGGATAATGACCTCGATCTAGAGATGCCCCTCTAGAGATGTACCACACGACTGCCGCACACACACCCAAGAACCTACCCTACCAGAATATTCTTCCGTGGACCGACTCCCCCTAATATTTTTTCGAACCGGACCCCTCTCGGTCCACTAAATCGCAGCGATCGGAGGGCGAAACACACAAAGCTGGCTCTTGTCCGCTGCAGGGAGCGGAAGCTGATGAAACGTGGGGAGGGGTCATGATTTGCGATGCCCTACCGATCCATGCTTCGATTGTCGCGCGACGTGCATCGTTGCTCGAGATCGGCTTTTGGGACCCGATCGGTCAAAGTGACGCGTAACAAAACTGGAAACAACAAACCCAGGTTTTTTATTTCCTCTTGAACTAAATTGTGATTTATCAACGCAACGAGTATCGTCGGCGTTGGGAAGCTGTTTTTTTGCAATTCGCCGTAATTTTCCCGTAAGACGGTTGATGAAATCCAACGCTCGATAGTTTAATGGATTTCCCTTGCTGGATACCATTATATATACACACACGTAGTGCGCGTGCGTGTTGAATGCGGATGATCCAGATGGATGTTCATGAATCGATCACATCGGCTCGTACGGTTGCAGCTAGTGGACTCGAGACAAGAATGTAGACTACATTTATTCGTCTGAACTTCTCCGGAGCAATTGCGAGCAAACACATTTCTCGGAGGAGACAAAGAAGACGGCGAGCCGGTGCAGAAGAGAGAAACGGCGCGCATGATCGAACATGGTCGCCCAATCCTGGCATAGGTAGTATGCTTGCACGCACCGTATGCCTAATAATTGGCACTACGTAGGATGCGTTAGTAACTCACTCAGCCCACACAAATGTAGATAGATCTGCTTGCAGAGGTGCGTGAGCACACAAACAGAAGACGCAAGAGGCAGGGAACACCAGAGCTTTAAAGGACCGCAAAGAGGCCCCCGGCACAAAATCAGACCGATCGATGCTTGCACATCGGCGCACCGTGCACGCTTTCGTCGTATCATGACTTGCAGGCAATAGGTCGCGTTGACAACTCACTCAGCCCACACACGCTTTCTTTTCTTTCCACTGAAATGACTGGACATGATGCCGAGGTTGCTGCCAAGCGGACGCTGAATTCGAATTTTTCCGAAATAATTGGGTCGACAAAAAACAAGAGCCGTGCGACAGGAAGACGGTCAACCGGTGAAGGTGCAGACGAGAGAGTAAACAGCGCGGTGCATAGTCAGTCGCATATGGCCGCAATCTTGTCGCGTATGGTCCTGCGCGCGGAAGTTGACGAAACTTGGCTAGGGGAGGAATACTCAATATAAATGCATATGGTGGAACGTGCGCCGTACTGCTGTAGGTCGAACTCCGTCTACTGATTTCTGCCACACAACAAGCTGACCATGAAATTCGAATTTTCCGAAAAGAGCGATGGGGACAGGAAGACGGCGAACCAGTGAAGACGAGAAAGAAACAGCACGCATGGCCGCACATGGTAACGCACTTGTGACGTACGCTACTGCACCCGCAAATCCATCAAACTTGGCAGCTGGCCATGATATGGGATGCCCTATCAAGGCATACTCAAGATGTCGCGAGCCGTGTACCATAGGTCGAGATCGGCTTTTGAGACACGGTCGGGCAAGGGTGGGGGAATCGGAAAAAGATCGTGTGCGATAAAAATGATGTTAGGTCAAAAAGCTTTACAGCTTCAGAAATCTCCGAAGATGCGGAAAAAACGCATGTATGCCTTGTGGAAGCAGCAGAACGCCCTCTGAGCAAACGGTAATTATTGCGGAATAAAATGAACAGCGCCGAAGGTGTTTGTGTACGTGGTGCGACTGCTGTGCCGCGGCGGCTGTGCTCTTGCTCCTCCTACTGTTATTCATGTCGCTCGCACCCACTGTTTCGGAGAGATGAGCTCATTCACCCGCCGACAGCCGCTGACACCCACCCGGGCAAGTTGCGTGCCCGGTTCTCCCCCGGGGGCATCTCTCGATGACCCGAACAATGAAGGTGAAGCCGACAGTCCGGTCGAAAAAAACAAAAAAAGGCCTCCGAATACGTTTTTGAGTACTTGTACACGCACCCGCGGAGAGCGCACACTCGCAACAGACTTGTACTTCAAATAACCAACAACGGGAATACAAGCCGCTATAGATATAGTCATGATATTGATATTCTCGTCGGCACGACCTGTGACATACCATATGTTTGAAGCCCGTTATTGTTTGGACCCCAAGATCAAGATAGCTAGCTCATTCATCCAAAGAGGGCCCCGTAGCTTTCTCATCAGGAACGCTCTAGAAAGAAGGGGTGTTCAAATTTCGTGATATCCCGTCAACATACGCAATTGAAGTTTGACCAAGAGATAGGCATTGTACGCACGTACAAGTATTCCTCGCCCTTGTGCGTACGAAATACATCACCCCACGTTCATCGTACATGCTCAACAAAATATTACCTCGAACTTCTATCTGCTACATAAGTTCACCGCAGAAGAACAGGTGTACTACACCGTTCAAATTCCCACCTACTGCCAAAGAGGCAATTCTCTACTTGCACCAAATGTTGAAACGGCGTGCTTGCTGCTAACTTTGGCGAAGGAATAGATCCATAATTCCATACGCGTCGAAGTGGCCAACCCTGGGCTCATTCGAGTATAAGAGAGGACTTGCAAACGCTGAGACATCATTTTCTGTGTGACATGTTGCTGTGCTCACATATTTTTTTTAGGCGTTGCGCAAGGGCCAGGTATGAGAGCACGAAGGACTAATTGTGCAGGGGAATATGAGATGAGTCTTCATCGATGCAAAACTTCGCACTTCCCGGTACGGCAACATGTGCACGTCGATGTCTTCGACTCGTAGTGCCTCATCCTAGCCGATCTTGGCCTGGTCTGGGAGCAAGGTCGTACAATCATTCAGAGGACCTAAGTTGCGGGAGATTGAACATTTGGGGGCGGGCACAAGGATCAATAGGTCAAAACTAGCAACACTAAGACGGGTTGGCGGTCCTCACGGTTTTGCTAATGGTATCTCTTACACAAGGGTGGGGCCACCTTACGCATTGAAGACCTAATCTAATCGCATTTCTATTCACGCATGGAGAGTCCAGCAACAGATGCTCTGGGTACTAACCCGAACGTGGCAGGGGGGCTGTGCAAAGGCCCAAAACACTGAAAGATTCATCCAGATCGTACAACGAGGGTGACCTTCTATACATAATCCACCACATGCCTTGACTTCAACAGGGAGAGAGGGCGGAGTCCGGCGAACGATACAAGAAAGACGAACCTCAAATGTTCTGTCAGTTGTGACCATCAAGAAAATAGACAGTTCTCAAGGAGTGTATGTCACCAGAGAAGTCGCGAGAAACGTTCTTGGAAATCGGCACCTGATGACAAGTCGAGGACCGGCAAGGCCGACTCAGCGTTTGGGTAGGCCGATGGGTCCGTCGACAACCCACGCTGTTCCAGGGACGTGAAACTGACAGAGTGTTGTGTGCGCTCGCGAAACACGCTCAGTTCGCCGAATTTGTGAAAGCAGCGCGTATCAAACACCTGCCCAGAAGTGCGGGAAAAGCGAGGCGGTTAGGGAAAGATGCGTTCGCTAAACAGGAACTAAAATAGCGCTGAACTGTAAGACTGTACAGATATTTATAACATGTTTTAAAAATTCAAAATTTCCCTTGTCGTTCGTTGAGGTTTGCTAGGCTTTTCGAGTCAAACACACGTCAGGTGTGGAGCTGTTGAGCGTGGGAAACGTCATCACAGCTGGCAGCCAGCTGCAGTTTTTCCGTCCTGCTGCCTGCTTTTGTTTTCATCATGCATCACCCCTGCGACACTGTGCTCTTATGAGCCCACTCCGGAGGGATTACTTGCATCAGTTATAAATGTGGTCGACCTCTCCCAATTGTACGTGCATGGACATGCATACCTTCATCACCACGCCATCCACTCGCAGCCAGTAACGCAGCAGAACAAACCAGAATCCAGGCATCACTCTTGTCTTGACACTCAATCGCACTACTCCGTGATCATGGATGAAGTCTTCAAAAAGCACGACGTCGTCGTACATCAATATCGGGCTGCTCTGGTCAAGAAGCATCTGACGATTGATTCCACCCGGCTCGCATGCCACCCATTCTACCGGCGTCTCCGTATCCTTGCCCGTCCTTGTGAGGGGTTGCAGAATGTCTCCACTCTGCACCGAAAAAGGTAAAGAAAACTCGCACGTGTCGGGGCGATGGAGATCGCTGGGCTGAGCGGCACAGGAACAGCGGGACCACGCTCTTGAACCGGTCATTTCAACAGTCAAGCGCTTCTTCATGGCTATAGCTTTCATTGACATCCTAAGGTAACAACGCAAGAGATGCGGGAGGCCAACCGCACAGAAATTATTCGACACAATCTTTGGCGTGCTCAGAATAAATTGCTGTGGAAACAACCGCTCGATAGGAATGAAGTCGGGCCCCAAGGCCTTTGTAGTATTGCGAGAATCATCAAGGCATGAATGAGTAAACAATAATTAATCACATCCGAGCTGCAACGAGTGCCTACCGTCCAATTCTAAAAAACTGCCGGAAAAATCAAAGCAAACACATGCACTACGAACAGCTACATCAGTTCTTGCTTCATTCACCTCTTGCCACCGGTGAACGCCGGACGTTTCTACCAGTTAGTCGCCTGGTGAAGCAACGATGCATTATTGTTAACCTCTCACCTCGCTGTACTCAACACCCACATCCTGTCGACGGCACGAGCCGGCGTAGTCTGTTCCCCACGTCCAGTCGTACTCCTGTTTTCTGATAGGTGTGCCAGTACGCGTTTGCCACTTCTGCGCTTCTCGGACCTTAATAACCTAATCGGTTTCATGCATTTGGTGCGTGGGTGGTCTCGAAGTCGTATTATGCAGCGGGGGTTCTTTTCATGGGGCATTCGCGTCGAAAACCATACGACATTAATGCATCTTCGAGTGTCCGTTGCGAAAATGTGCAGAATGCTCGACAAAGTTGGTTTGGTATAAGGAGGGTGGGTGCCGTGCGGCGTGGTGAGTTCATCAAACAAGTATCAATGTGCCGTGCGCCCAAGGAATCACATGGACCATCAAACACAGTACCTCGAAGGCGCCCTCAGCGAACAGCTCCACCCACTTCTTCAAGGCAGCCCTTGATTCAAATTGAAGAATGAACCCAGATTCTTGGTGACGGAACTCCAGAGCGTTATTTCCAAAGAGAATTTCAGGAAGCTGTGTTCATCAATATTCAAACGTCACGGTTCCAATTCGTTAGATGGTCGTCGATGCCAATGATCTGACAACACAAGACGGCAGCACGCCACACAACACGAAGCAGTAATGTTTCATCGCGGGTGGCGAGGGCTCTCTTCACCAATGTGTCATGGCAACGCCACCTGCCGGTAGGCCCAACTCGATCCCCATCCAGCATGACACATGAAACGACACAACCACCATGTGTTGGGTGTCGGGCAAACACGAAACACAGCGTTGATGATAACTGGCGATGTAACAGATACACTTGTCCACGGGCACCGTACAGGCAGGGCGGAGATCGTGCCGCGGCCCCATTGATACCACATGAGCTATTGCCGAACACAACAGCACATGGATACGAACAGAATCTACCAAGAGCCGTCTCATGGGAAGAAAAAAGGCCCGAGGTACACCCCGTCGTTCGTGGCCGATCATGTCCAAGGTTGGCTTGAAACGCGCTGAAGGTCTTTTAGAACGGCAAGCAGAGAGTTCACCCAAAGGATATAAGCAAGGAAACTCGAGACTCCATGGAATATTCGCTATTCAAAAACCAAACAAATATAACAAAGTGCTTCATTTTCATAGCTTGTTTTGATGTTGCCCATCGAGAACGAGCGTAAGGTAGATAGTGCTCATGATGTCGAACAAGCTCCGATGTACCTGCATAGGGGTGCCTTTGACGACCACCGATCCACACGCCAGCACCTGCGGCCCACTAGATGCTGCGCGTGTCGGAGGGGGGGAAAGTTGTGCATCAACTACCATTTGGGGGCTGACATACCCACCTGGTATCATCGCTCGTGCAGAGGTCTGACAGCACCACATCGCCATACAGCAATATATAGAAAACGTGACCAAGCTCTACGTAGATAAGCCGGACAGCACCGTAAGGCCCTGGGAGATTCAATAGGATATTCCTGATAGTTGTGAGCAGAAAAATCTGAACTGGTACCCATGTTTCGTCCTCTGTACAGTATGTATGGACGCATTTATCACGCGCTATCTGCACAACTCGATATAATTTCTAAAATAAGAGCAGCTCAGCCAGACGCACTCTGCCGTCTCCTGCCTTCATGGCTGATTACGATACGCACACAGCGAGACGTGCAAAAAGAGGTCAGAGCCCCCGTTCACGGTCCCATTTTCGAGACGTCCGAGCGAGTCGATACCAACGCGGAAGCAGAAGCGATTCAGCAAGCAGTACCTAGCCATGATTCCGATGAGCCAGAGGAGGAGTTCGGGGATGACTTGGCCACAATCCCCCTGAACGAGGTTCCTAGTGCTGCTGCGCAAACGCCCTTGTATAAGGCCCTGCTCGAAAAAGTGTAAGCTGGACGATTGCAGCCATTCCCGGACGCGAGTTGGGTCCTCCAACGCCTTTCCAAGCAGAGCCTTGGACGAGGGCGTTCGTCCGCACAACAACACTAACGCAATATCCAGGTGTGTGTGTTGCATTAGCTTGCCTCATTTAGCATCAGTCTCCCTACACACACGCACAGCAGTCCCGCTACCCTCTCCCCCACATGCAATATCGGATTTGTTCAAAAAAAGAACGGGCTCTCATCTCGAACTCTACGTTGAGGTACATAAAAAACGAGACACACAGACACTGCATTTATCTCTTGTGCAGTAAACAACAGTGCGATCAGAGGGGGGTGGGGACCACAGGCAAATGTTCTCCGCGAGACCAAAACCATAAAAAAAGAAAAAATAGTTATAGTGAGGTCAGGGGAGAAAATCGAAAGGCGGTAGGGTCGGTACGCGATGGTGCCGGACCGATCGTAGATTCACATGACTTTTAATGTTGATACAGTTATCCTGGCACCCTTACTCGCGGATAGAGGTGAACTGGTTTTTGCGCGAGAGAAAAAAAACACCCATCCTCCGGCCTCCACGCGCAGGAAGTACTCCACTGGAAGAGGAGATACCATGACGTTTTCGTTCGTGCTCGCGCGTATGGTGCACAGCAACCTGCAGTACGAGGCGACACCGCAGATTGGGTCCAGCGCGCAAGGGAACCAATGCCATCGCCGGGACCTTATTGCGCGCGCCATGAGCATGTTTGGTGGCCAGGGACGTGAGGAGCAGTAGATGGGGGTGAGTAGCAGGGGCTTGGCGAGTGGAAGAGGGAGAACCCTTGTTCGTGCGGAGTAATAGGTTCGGGTGAGTGAGGGCTTGGCCAGGGGAAGAGCTCGCTCGGGCCTACTCTCGGAGTACACAGCTTGCTCTTGCTCAGTGGGTAGAACGGCAGGCGCTATTGTCCAGCACACCGCACAGGTGCTCCACTCGTCCCGTCGTCAGCATCGTCTACAGGTTGTTCGCTCTCCCGGTTGTCACGGACGTAAAAAAGGGGCGTTTTCGTCATGTTCTACTATTATAGCGATGCTGAGACACAGTAGCCTCATTTTGCGATGCCTCTTGCTAGAGAAACGACATTGCTCTCTTTCTGATCCGAGTGCTGTTGCGACCTAAAGAGAGAGTTTGAAAATTTCCGCTGAAAGAATGTGTGCGCGCAAGTGGCGTGCAACCTGTTCTGTGTCAGGTGTGTTATTGACAGGCGGCTTGACAAAGAGGTGAACTATTTTGTGTTGGTGTTGGTTGGACTAAGGACTGCTGTTGTATTCCTAGCAAATAGTCATGAGGAAGGTGGACACAAACAATGGCAAGGCACGTACCGCGAAAGCCCCGCGATACTCGGCGATTTCTTACCAACCATGCATCCCAAACTAAACGGTTGCCCAGTAGCCATGCATAACAGAGGGCCAGCTCTCCCTTTTTTCCACACCTCCGAGTTCTGTCGTGCCACGGCAGCTCGAGTGAGAGCGTTTAACACCTCTTAAGAACTCCTCTTGCCCCCCCCAAGCCCCCCGCATACGATATAATATGGAGAAATGGGCTGTGGAAAGAAGTGTCCGAGTAAAGGGGAAAATCTGGAGTGCTGAAGGTGACACAGCGTACGTGAAGCGTTGTCATGTTAGACGGGGAACTGTCTACATTATTGGACAGGGGGTCCCACAACGTTGTACTTTGCCCCCAACATTGTTCCAGGTGTTCATCAACCATCTGTTGAAAGTCGCAGAGGCAATCGGGAAGGGAGCAAAGGAAGGGGAAACTTCAGTGTCGGGAACGCTGTTTGCGGATGATTTTGTGGGCATTCTGCTACCCCTGAGGGACTTCAACTGCAGGTTGACGCACGGAAGGATTTTTCGGATAAGTGGAGATTGAATGCCAACTTTAGAAGAATGCTGTCGTGGTATGCAACAAGGACAGGAGAAACCAGTAGAGTATAGATGGAATTGGGGGGTCGAGGAGCTTGCAAGTAGATCAGTACACATACCTCGGGATAAAAGATCTCAAAAGAGCGCTCGTGGAACGCACACATGTCCAAGGTAGCGGAAAATGGAAAAGCTCGAGCAGGGAAGCTGCACCCAACACTCCCAAACCGGCACCTCGATACATGCATCAAATTGACAGTTCTGAAGAGCGTAATCGTACCGCCGCTAGAGTATGCTGGAGAAGTATGGGAAGGAAATAAGAAGGAAGTCAAAGAGCTCCAGTCGGCGCAGATGACAGCAGCGAAATCATCCTAGAATGCTCCCAGCGCACTAGTATGCAGCCGTCAGGGCAGAAGTGGGGATCCAATCCCTACGATCGGGAAGAGTCGTAAGGAAGCTAAAATGGCAGCACCGCATGTGCGGTAGGGAGAGGAGAAGTTGCCGAGAATAGCTTGGGAGGCGAAGTGTTGGCAAACAAGAAGAGGGATAGACAACCCACAGAATAGATCAAGGTTGCAGATGACGTATGGAAGGAGTTCGAAATCGACGAAGGTGATACGCTGGGAACGGAAGGTCTAGATAGATTCAAGGAGAAGATAATCCGTTGCTTTTGCCGAGAGACAAGAACAGAATCTAACCAAAGAAACTCAGGATGTAGAGGGTCTACATGTGTACGGAATGTTGAAAGAATGAATAGGGCTCCAGGAGTACCTACATGAACCAATGGATGCAGGGACAGAGCTGGTCAAATTTAGAACCGGGGACATTGCCCTTCGAGAACGCAGACGAAGATTTAGGGAGGTAGACTATAAAGACGACAAGTTCAAATGTGAATGTGGCTGCGAGTGCGAAGACCGGGTTTATGTAGTCGCAGAGTGTTGTACAAGGAGGAGAGGGAAGTCTACATGACTGAGCTGGGAGTAGAAGGAAGATACGGGGAGATGTCTGAGGCATGGAATAGCCATGAGAAGACGGTAGCTGTACTGGGACAAAGAAAGTGGGTTGAAAAGGCGGGAGGTGATATCGATAGGATACATACCGTATATGACACAAGATAACACACCCCCTTGACCGATTTTCAAAGATCGATTACTCGACGACGAAGAGGGTACATAAACGAAATGATACATTTTCCAAAAGCTCTCAACGAGACGGTTCCAACGCCGCCATTTTCGGCGCTGTGAGTCTTCCTGCTGTTGAGAAATCGATCTTTGAAAATCGGTCAAGGGGGTGTGTTATCTTGTGTCATATACGGTAGGCTAGGTGAAATATGTTTGAGACACATTTGGCAAAATGGGAAGCAACGATTGGCCATCGGTGATTGCTCACGTGGGAACAATGCTCCGTTTTCTCAAGGATGCGTGGTCAATGGTTAAACCGCGAAGGCATGCAAAGCATATGATTACGCCCCCCCTCAACCCCCCGCAACAGCAGCGGAAGTAACCGAAAAGGGCAAAGCGCGAAGAGCGAAGTTGCACGTAATACTCGCAAATCGGCACCTGGATACACACATAAAATTGACGGTTTTGAAGAGCGTAATCGTCCCGCGTTAGAGTACGCCGGGGTAGTATGGGAAGAAAGCAGGAAGAGAGTTAACGAGCTGGAGGAGGCGCAGATGAAAGCAGCGAAAACCATCATAGATTGTTCCAAGCGCACAAGAAGTGCAGCAGCACAGCAGATATGGGAATCCAATCCTGACGAATGGGAAGAGATCACAAGGCGCTAAACCGCAGTACCGTATCCACGATGTGCGAGAGGAGAGATCGCCGAAAATAGCTTGGGAAGCGGGGTGGAAAAAAACAGCGAAGGGTATACGACCCACAGCGTGAGCTAAGGTTGCGAAGAAAGCATAGGTTTGAAATCAACGAAGTTTTATGTTGGAAACGGTCAGCCTACAGGGGTTCAACAAGTATTCTTTTTTTTTTGCCGAGAGAGTTAAACGGGGTCTAACCGAAGACCCCCAAGGATGAGGAGGGTCTACATGTGTGCGGAATGTTGAAAGAAGGAATAAAGGGTTGTAGGGAAACAGTTGAAAGTCAAACTTAGGACTGGGTACATTGACTTTCGAGACCGTAGACGAACATTTAGGAAGGAAGAGCTGGCGCCAGAAGGAGGTTGTGTGCTATCCCTGAAGGAACAACCCCAAAAAACGGTCTACAATTTGAAGCCCCCTGAATGACGGGACGGGCTTTGTGCGGCACCCAAAACACGTGGTGGCCAAAACTGCACATTCGCTGAACCATGCCCAACCAAATCATGTTAGGGTTTATCTGGGGACCATCGTCGAATCCTAACCTTCTGGGTCCACCATGATGACGCCTGAGCAGACGACGCCGAGGACCCTCACGAGACCACCCTTTGACATTCCTCAAGTGGTATGTTAATTTGGATTTTTCTCAATCGTATTGTGCAAACGGCGGCCTCATACTAATCACGTTTCTAAACATCGTTTGAAACCACGAATAAAAACAGCAATAATTGTGTCGAACTTGTTTGTGTATTCAGAGGTGTTTTATACACCACCCCCCCGCGGCCTCCAGGGATAACGCTCATGGCTCGCATTGATCTTGAATCACCGGACCTGCACAAGTGTAATTTCACATCGAAACCACGCGGCGCAGATAGGTAGGTAGGGGTTGCTAACGCTATGGATTCTCGGCAGCCTGGCGTCGTTGTTGCGGGTGAGCTCTCTGGTAGTATACTACATTTTACTTTGTGGCCTAATGTGTCATCTGCATGCCGCGTATATTTCCCTTTGTTTCGTTTGAGTACCCTATCCAAACTGTCGTGAACAGAGCAATAGGCACGGCTATATCATAGAGATACGTCCATGCGAACTCCAAGAGATATTTGTGGGATGAGCAGCTGAAAATGTGCAAGCTAAGAGCAAGGGATTTTGATGACAAGAACAAAGAAATGGTCACTGCACTGAACCGGCAGTAGAAGAAAATGGCCACACAAGAGGCCCGTGCGCCCTGCCTTCGCTGATTGAATATCATGACTAACTTCGAGCTGCTCATCGCTGACTTGTCTTTCTGCGCTTGATACTCCTGTGCGGGTAAAACCGTGGGCCGAGTCATGAGTGACACGCATCTGCGCATCTTGGCACCTGTCCATACCTACTGTCACCAACCGTCACTGTCACCAATAAACCCAGGTGCGGGATAACAAATGTGGACGCTGCTTTGTACCCGAACTCGCCGGAGTCGGCTCCCGTTGGCGTGAGCTGTTCGGCAAACTCGATACTGCTAGAGGGGGGGAGTATCCGGGCCGTCGTAGTTGGCTGAAAAAGCATGAAGGACGACTTCAAGTATGAAGAGCTACCGCGGGTCCACCATCAGTTTTCGGCTGGCTGGCTTTCGGAGTGGGGCGCTTCATGTGGTCGGAAGTGGTATCTCTCTAAAGCGAGCGGGTTGTTGCGGTACACCGGAGATCTGTTCAGGGCGTGAAGATCATGGCTTTGTGGCAGAAGAACCGAGAGGAGGCTAACGACACAGCAGGACCCGAAGCCGCAAAAGAGCTCCAGGCATCCTGAAGAGGAATCACCAAGTGGGGACAGGGAGGACGCGGAAAGGCCTTGTTTCTAGTGAAATACTTGCCTTATTTTCGGCCATCTGTACGCTCCTGCGAGCCTATTCCCTCAAGAGGCTCATGTGCCTTGGGTACATCCGATCCGATTTTATCTCTGGGTGTTTTTCTCAATATATTTCATCCCACTTGCTTGGTTACACAATCACAATGGTTCAGTTGGTAACCTCACAACCGTCCCAGATTTCGGGCGTGGGTTTGAATGTCGGCGTAGTCGCACAAACTGGGACTTTTTCTAGCAGTATGCCCAACAAATGTTGTTAAAAAACCTTTACATTAAAAACCGTGTCGATCTCTCCACTACCAACCTCTGTTCGTACTGACCAAACAGTTGACGCCGTCAATTCCCGTAGTCACAGGCTAATTTACCCTGAAAAAGTTGTTCGAGCAAAGCGAGATTTCTAATCTGGCCTGAAGTCTAAGCGTAATATACGGCTCCATCAAGAACAAAAGTTTCTGCGTGTGCCTGTCCGCTTTATCTAGGTTTTAGAATATATCACTTGATTATGAACGGGAGTCAGCGACCACACGTGACCACACAGCAGATTGCAGCTATTATTGCGGCTGCAGAACACATGCACAAGCACACGTGCGAAGCAGACAAAACACGCTCAGCGGGCACAGCGACACCCGCACAGCGGGCAGAGTGCGCACACAGCGAGCCACAACATAAAGCGGCCAGCAAAATAGAGGGTGTAGCTGCTGTGAGTTCATGACAATTTAACGAATAGACGTCCGTTGCGGTCGATTGTCCCGAATCCCGTCAGAGGCGCACACAGACTCCCGGCGCAGACAAAGCAACGGAGAGAGGGAGTCCCTAGGCAGCCCACAGCTTGACAGGGCGAGAGCTGCTGCTCGTCAGAGGGCAGTCGCCAGGCGTGCGAGGAGACCGATGGAGCGCGGGCATAAAGGTGCGTTGGTGCGTGTGCGTGTGGGCGATTGCCGCAGAATTGAAATACAAAACGGCCCTTTTTTTGTTTTCTTCCGCACACACAGAACACACAGAACAAATCGTACGAACGGCAGGGTACAAAAGGCATGAACCTGGACGGGCACGAGCGATCACACTGCACATAGCACGAGCGATCACACAGCATATGGCACAAACACCGTGAATCCTGTCTCTCTCTCTCACACACACTCATACACACATACACACAGGCTGCGGGCAGACTGGCAGAGAGCCGCCGACACAACAACAGCGGATGGCTAACCGAGAGAGAGACCCTTCGAGGCGCCAGCAGCAGACACCACAACAGCTGGCGGCTAACCGTGAAAGAGACGCTACGAGGCGCCAGCGGGACACACAACAAGCGACAGAGGCCAGATGCCTGGCGGCTAACCGTGAAAGAGACGCTGCGAGGCGCCGGCGGGACACACAACAAACGACAGAGGCCAGATTCACGACAAGGTCATTGCAAAAAATAAAAAATAAACGGTTCTCTTCCACCTGCGGTGCCCCTCGCAACCACACGCACTTCCTCCCGTGGATGCACACATCTCACGACAGTTACATCTATCAGTTCTCGGTCGTTGTAGCATCAGCTACCGCTAAAACGGACCCGAAGCGTCTGTAAGCCAATGGGAAAATCAAAAACAAATAGCGCGCCTCAACACGCCATGTGCGGAAAAAATGAAACCAAAAGCCAACGCCACAGGTCCGAGAAGATAAGTACGTTCGTGTTTTAATCTTCGGTACTTCGCAGAAAAGAGAGAAGGCCATCTGTAAAAGAAAAGAGAAAGAGACAAAAAGAAAAGAAAAGAAAAAGACAAGACGCTCGCGAAAAAAATCGCAACTGCCGAAACAAACGTGGGACAACGATAAATTCGTGTGTAGGCGGGAACACGAACGGCAGGAGCAGGGCGGAAAGGCTGCCGAGATTGTTCAGTCCTCGACACCACAGCGAACAGCAAGCCGACATAGGTAGTAGGTGTTGATCGACATCATGCAGCTACAAAAAAAATAAAAATAAACGCGCCCGTGACGATGCACCACATTCAATTTTCCAATACAAGACACGGCAAGCATCAACCAGAGAAAGAGGTGAACAAACTAAAAACTCCTAGGTGGTCTCTCTCCTGTGTGACCGACCCAGCCGATGCGCTCAGAAAACAAACCGAAAGAAAGTGAGAAGACTGACGTCCAGAATTAACGGGACGGAACACACACGATCCACCGGCGTAGCGCGGTACATACATGCAAATACCACCACTTTTTTCACGATTGAAATCCGAACCTATTGCCCGTGGTGAAAATTGGCCAAAACGTAGATGTGACTAGCTCGAAGGTAAACCGTCCCCGAATTTGTTGGTGCTCTGTAGGCTCAGCAAGGCTGATTCGTCGTCGAAATTGAAATTTCGAAAATTGAAATTTCCCCTGCAAAATGCTTCGAAGGCCAGATTCCGATAGCTACACTTGTAGTACGATTAATCGATTAGAAAAGCAGCAGTAAGGAGGAAAGGAACTAGGCGTTTTTTGTGTTCGTCCCATCTACTCCTATGCATATACATATTTGTAAGCGTTGCATAAGATTCAAATCCAAGCAACCTTGTCCAATACATACGACATGTAGAACTCACTGCTGTAGCACCTGACACAGAAGGGTTCTCGAAAAATTGTCGTTTGACGAACTGCAAGCAAGTACACATGATCATGCAAGAGATGGAAGAGTCTTCCGTTATAGATAATGCCCAGTCAAACTTGATGGAGGTTAGCTGTAGCAGGTACCATGGCGATAGGGTACCTCCTGGATCAACCTATGTCCGCATGTGGTGGCAGCATTCCTAGGTACGTCTGACGGAGTTAAGAGATTTCCGACACACCTTCGTCCCCAAGCCAAGCCACCAAGGCGTCATGCTCTTCCTCGCCCAAGATAGGCCTGTGGTTTGAACGGACTGTCCAAGCGCCATGCTCTCCTGCACTGCACAATTTGTCCATAGTGATATATATATCCGATTTCAGTGCTGGTAAGCGAGCGTGTGCGTGCCCGCCGACGGCTACCTCTAGCTTTCTATTAGCACGCACAACGCACAAGCACACAAGCACCGACCTCTGAAAAATGCGGCGTAATTAGATCTTGCCGCCTCTGCCACCTCCCCGCCCGCCTGACCACAAGCTAAAGGAGGCATGATGCTCTCCAGCTGCTTCAGGGGGACTGGGCCCACTGCACGGGCAGGGTTCGTCAGAGGTTTGCATCTTGGCGCGCCTAATCCAGGTTGGCCACGTTCACCTTGCACGCTGATGGTCTATCTTTGCCTACGCGAATCATGAGCGACACACACAGGGATAGGCGGTGTTCTTGTATCTCTTCGTGCGGTCATGCGCGACCCCGCTACACTTGAGGAAAAATAAATACACACACAGAAAGACTACCCATTCGAGATATACCCACAGTCGAACGGGATGCGGTGGATTCTTTTCAGTGAGTAGAGGAAAACCGGCTGGGTACTGGATTTATTTCGAGTCTTGTTGACGTTCCAATGTGGGTTGATCTCGAACGGTCGTCTTTCTACGTGTGTACTTATTTTTCCTGAACTACTGCTGTACCCAACTGCCAACCTCGGTGGTTTGCACAGGTTCGGTGATCAACGACGATGCTTACAACAATGTCTCTCCATCTGTGGCAGCCAAGATCGGTAAAGACTTGCATCGGTGCTCTGCGCATCCTCTTGGCATCATCAAGGAGAGGTGCGCTCCCTCGAAGTCTGATGTTCGGCAACAGGGTTATACTGCTGTACAGCAGTAGTTCATTACAAGAGCGCTTCGCGGCGTACCGCTTCGCGGTCGCCGCTACGCTCGTAGGTTGAATGGCGATGGCAAAGTGTGTGCGGGTGGAATTTTGAAATGAGAGATCAAGTAAGTATATTTTTCATAGGAATGTCATCGTCGGACGCACTACAAGAAAATAGTGAAGGATTTTTTCTACATAAATTTTCAGTGCTTCTTGGAACTTTTTTCAAGATGTTTGTGCGTGAACAAAACCCGAGGTCTGTGTTGACGTTAAAACGGTGATTGCGCGATCCACACAGCTTCCCACAGCTGTACAGCGAACATGTACCCTTCTGCGGGTGTGTCAAAGCAGGTCACGGGGGCTGAAACGCACAGGACATACTGTAGTATGCAATGCGATATGAAGCGTGTGATATGCACACCAGATACGCGATTCACAAGAAGACTCTATGATACACACAGCCTCTTGCCCTCCCTCTGCCGTGCAACAGACGGGTAGTACGACCGCGTTGTGTGTTTGTCACTGCAGGTAATAGTAACTCGTCGACGTGCACAGCGTCCAGGCATGTCAGTCTATGCACTGCTGCTGCTGCCCCAAGCCCCACGCAACATGCACCCATGTACTACATACAGCTGTGTTGTAGATGACGACAACGAAGGTACACAGCTTCTACCGTAATTGTGCATCACCCACACAGTCCACGGTTCTGCATAACGTGTGCAACAGGCTTTTAAATGCGGGTAGCAGACATTCAAGCGGGTTATGTGTGGGTCACCCGCCAACAGCATCATCACAAGCAAGCGTGTCCTCGCCCAACGAATCTACAATCAAGAGCGATATGTAGACCGCCTTCTTCGTGACAGTACCTTTATTGTAACGTTCAAAGTCGGCCCGAGTATTGTGTGTGCCCACTGCTGCAGCACGTGCACACTAGAGTTCTACACTGCTCTCGCAACCACGACTGTCAATGACATCTACACCAAACTTCGGCATCTCCGAGCTTTACGTCTGGCGATGCTACTACTGTTCGGACGGACATACAACGAAACAGAACAAACGACAGCGATTGCGCAAGAACAACCAAAATTGTGCATATTATCATGCTCGGAACAAATTGGCGGTAAATGCGAAGAGGCGGAGCGCACGACAACCGAACAATAGTGCTGCCATGAACACGGGAAAACGACTCAGCACCACCCAGCCCAAACCATCCTCCGACAGGAAATGTCAAACCCATCAGGAAAAACGCAGATCTATATTTTTGCGGCGAAGAGGGATCGTCTGGACGACATTTTTTTTTAAGGAACTGCGTCGACGATCCACAACATCATGGTTTCAAGAGGAGATATATCGCGTCCGAACACTGTCATCACCCAGCCACGTGAAGCACTCCTGTATGCGGCCTACGAAATGGGTATAACGGTGGAACGCGCTGACCCTTGCAAGTATTGTGGAGCCATGCAGTCCGCCAAAAGGAGTGTGAAGGGGTATGCTGGAAAAGTGGGAAATACGTTCTTCCACGACTAATAGCACCCCTACTACCCATTCTCCAAGACCTCTACACATCCGCTACAATCCGTCCGCACAAAAAATCCGCAAAGAATCCCGGGCGCACAATTGCCGTTCCAACGTCCCGTCAATGAATGTCGAAAACGGATAACTAAAACGGATGTTTGGTGACCATCTCTTGTCCGTGCAAGGAAGGTGAGGTACCGCGCTTTTTTCTTTTTTACTACTTTCCATTACAATACTACCCTCCACAGCAGTGTGTACATCGTCAACGAGAACGTTTACATATCAAAACACCGTGCATTTCACCGATCGAGCTACAATGTTACTTGCTCAAGAGTTGATGTTATTTTTGAAAAATATATATCGAGTTTTTATCGACGTCGCCCTTTCCATCCCCGAATAAATGCAGGACTTACCACTCAGTGAGGGAAAGCTCGCATTCCAACGTTCAATGGCTACTGCACGATCCCAACTACGGCTGGCTACGGTGAACCCGATGAAACCGTCATGACAAAGACGCGGACGGCTTTGCAACAGGTTTCTTTCGCCGAATATTGGCCACCTTACAGCTGCAATGAGCAACCAGTGCGTGCGATATGAACCAAACACAGATACATCATATTCTTCCTTCTATTGATATACCAAACCAATACATATGTTTCATTATGCTACATGTATCTGTTTCATTTCCCTCCTCAGCAAAAAGCTAGCACGGCTACACAATGATTGCGATATCATCAGAAATGTACTGTCTGCATTCATTGCAATACATTAATCTGTAAGAAAACACTCGCCAAAATTCGAAAAACCAACTCTTGTGTCGCCTTAAGGCCTCGATCCAGAACGAAATCCAACTCCTTGGCGTTTTCGTCACCTGACTCCTTCTGCGGAGGAAATAATGGCCGTCGACAAACGCGCTAAAGGGGCCATGCGACGTGACAGAGCAGCAATGACCAGGACGCTTACCGGGCGAGAAAAACGTCATCTCCGCTTACGACAAGGAATATTTTTTTCTCGTTCCCATGTCGTCCGTGTGCTCCGATGCCGCTGCTCCGATGCCACTGCTCCGGTGCCGCTGCTCCGGTGTCGCTGCGGCCAGTCCTAGCACGACCAAACTTGACCCGCTCCGTCCGCACACGCTCTCATTGCTGTCCTTCCCAGTCGGTTCCTCGCTTTCTCCCTCGTTGCACTTAGGGTTCTTGGTTTGAAAATTCTCGCGCCGAAGGGTCAACCAACCCACTCAGCTCGTCACCACCTGTTCCCCACTCCCCTTTGATGGCGAAGCCAGGTTACTGAGACAGTACAGCTCCCTCTAGCAAACCTAGGGCCGTGTACATAGTGTCCGTCCACCTTTCTGATGGCGTCTGCCTCCGCGCACAAAACTGAGATGGACATTGCTGTCTACACCGACGGCCATGAGGCCCGCGCATCTGCATTTTTGTACCTGACGCACCAGTGCCGACCCAACTCTTCCACTACGCACGCCTCGCGGCGGGTGCGCCGTAGCAAGAAGGTATCGGTCCCTTGAGGGTGAGTCTAGCCATGCTCGCTAGAAGACCCCCCCCTCGCTATGGGACATGCCTAAGCAAAAGCCTTGCCGAGGCAGCGAGGGGAAGAAGGAAGTCGTGAAAGAGTAGTACGGACATCAGAAGGTACTGAGTGGAGACCGGAACGTTTTTTTATTGTGAAGACAACAACAACAAGGGTTGCTGATGCATCCGAATACGGCGAGCGAGATCATTCGTAGATTCACAGTACTGCTGTATTCTCTCTTCTCTACGGCATGTCTGGGGACTTGCCTGTGTGTTTTGCTTTCACCGCAAAAATTTTAAAACGATGATTTTTTGTCCGGTTCCGTACTGACTTGCCGCAGGATTGAGCTCTACTTCCAGAAAAATACGCAGGCGCTCGGACAGCCGCAGTTCAAGGTTTTCGACGACTTGCCTCCGATAGTTACAGTCGAGCAAAATTTTGATGAGCTACTGATACCGCCAGACCACGTCAGTCGACAGCCTTCAGACACCTACTACGTTGACGCCCAACGAGTTCTACGATGCCACACGAGCGCTCACCAAACGTCTCTGTTACGGCAAGGGGAAGACCGGTTCCTTGTCTGTGGAGATGTTTACAGGCGGGACGAGGTGGATAGTACGCACTACCCTGTGTTTCATCAGATGGAGGGAGTGCGTATTCTCACCGAGGAAGAGGTGCGTCGGCTTTTTACTGTGGTACGTGTTCGCGCGAGTTGGGTGCAGCGGAGTATTCCTTACTTGTTGGTTTCTGCCGGAGCAGCTTGTGCCCTACCCTTACCCTTACCGTCCTTGAGTAAAAACAAATCTGTTGCAACGCCGATCACTTTAGCCAACACGTCGGATCTCTCAGATGGGTGTAATGGTTTGTTTTAAGCTGGCACCTTTCGAGGGGATGAAAGCAGCCACCTTGTTACCTATCAGTATGGTCCACGGCATTTGCTCACAGGCACCGGCGAGGTGGGACGTCAGCCAGAGAAAGGAGATCGCGAGCAAGGATCTAAAGCGCGGCCTCGAAGGCCTTGCTACGAATTTGTTCGGGAATGTGGAAATGCGCTGGGTCGATGCGTACTTTCCTTTCACCACTCCATCGGCTGAACTGGAAATTCTCTTTCGGGTGAGTTGTGCTTACCTGCCGACAGGCTGAAGAGGTGCACACTGAGAGAGCGAACGGGGAAGAGTTTTGTCACGGTGATATCGTGCTTAGATACTCCAAACTCTTCCCAAACAACGAATGACACATAAATCTCTTTGCGCTGCTTTCCTCTACCGGGTATTAAGGACAAGTATCACCTTCATGTTGACTCATATCGCGCTTCTGCTTTTTTGCGGGACTTGATGCTGAAATAAAATAGGATGAACACATATGCATAGACTTTGCATATGCATAGGGACGACGAGTGTGGTACCGGTCAAGCTTCAGGGTTCCAAGACTTGGAGGTGCAGCAGTCGGGGGCTATTGCGGGTGGATGAAATCTCTTATCCAGGCAGACAGAACTGGGCGGGCGCCCACTGTAGGGCGAGTGAATCGACCTAGCAAATACTCGCCGACTGTACGATGTTTTTGCTTACTAAAACTGATGCACACCATGTCGCGTGTTGTCTGCCACAGGGGAAGTGGATGGAGGTGTTGGGTTGCGGGGTGATCCATGATGAGGTTATGGACAACGCTGGCAGGACAGGCGAAGTTGGATGGGCTTTCGGGCTAGGCCTTGAGCGGCTCGCTATGGTGCTGTTTTCGATCCCAGATATTCGTTTGTTCTGGTCTGAAGACCCCAGGTTCTCGTCCCAGTTCGAGGTGAGCAGACCGCATCCATGGTCGACACAAGAGATGCTTGACACGCACGTGGGACAAAAACATTTGGCTCGCCAAGCCCGCGAATCCCTCCTACCTGTCACCCCTTCCATCTGAGTGACGAAGCGCAGCCCGCGCGTGTCCGACATACCGGGTCTTCCTGCTTTTTCGGGCCTAAACGGGTCTTTCACAGCCATCTACAACTATCACGGTACTTGGCGGGGGGGTTACGAACCCAGGCACCTCCACATTCTGCTTTGTCTCTCGTTCGCCGTTTCTTAGCACGTTCGAAACTACCAAATTCTATGTTTGCTTTGTCTCTTGTATCCTTGTGTTGTCCATCTCGTCACAGGCGAAAACGCTCACGACGTTTCAGCCATACAGCAAGTATCCACCGTGCTACAAGGATGTGACATTTTGGCTTCCTGAAGATAATTTCCACAACAACGACCTCTTCGAGGTTGTGCGGGACGTGGCAGGAGATCTTGTCGAGGAGGTAAATGCTTGTTGCCATGTGACGTAGCCGTTACCGTTTGGCGATTGCACATTTGCTATGCGATGCGAAGCCAGCCAAGAATATGTCCTAGAATAGCAAAAAAGAGCTGGGTCCGATCACATCTGAACTGTTGCCTGCAAAATTTTCTCCTGACCGCTTCAGATCCGATTGCTGGACGACTTCATCCACCCGAAGACCCAGCGGAAAAGCAGATGCTTTCGCATTACATACCGGTCGATGGATCGATCACTAACGAACGAGGAGGTAGATCGGCTACAAGAAATTGTCCGCGGCTACATCACTAGCCGTTTGGATGCGGAGCTACGGTAGGGAAATCGGACAGTCGTCTTTGGGTGTTGATACTCAAGGTGATGAGGTTTTCTCTCGCAGAAGGCGCCTCGTTCTTGCTGAAACTTCCATGATTTTGGGCGCATCTCAGTCATCTCCTTGGGTGTGCCTTTCCTTCCTGGACGCTAGGAGCCTCTGTCTGAGGGCCTCTTCAACGTCCACCGCAGATTTGTCACCCTGTTCGTCTTCTTCGCTTGAGGTGCCTTCGTCGCCGCTTCTTTCAGACGCCTCAGTCTTCCTGGACCGTCGGTGCTTCTTACGGTCAGATTTTTTCCCGTGCCTACTCTTCTTAGACTTCCGCTTTTCCTTTCGACGACCTCCATCGTCATGTCGACTGCTGGATATGTCGGAGGGACTTCGATCGCCGTTGTGCTGCACGCAGACGGCACGAAATTAGAGGCACCAACGCAGCGTGGGGAGAGGGGGTGTAGGAACGTTCCAACATCACATTGTCTACCGTCGAGAACTCTAGTGATTTGTATGCCACCTAGGATTCCCAAAAAAATGCTGAATTGTCACCCGCGGTTGGACAACGACAAGGGGTGCATGCCAAACGCATCATCGATCGATGATGTTTTCGTTTTCGTTTGGTGGAGGGACTCAAAAGCCAACTCGCCGTGCGAGCACCAACCAAGTTTAACCTCACCATTTCAGAGTCGCCACCAACGGCAGCAGGAGCATCAGTGCCTGGGACAACGACTTTTTCCGCATCTGGGGTCGTCGCGTCTGATGTTGTCGCGACACTGACTTGAGAAACACCCCAACGGCTCGCGCGCCTTTTGCCCGGGCGAGTCAGGATTGGCGCAGCGCTCGAGCTAGCATCTTGCTCCGTTGGTGCATGTCTGAACAGTGGAACAGAACGCATGTGTACGGCAAAAGGACACGACAAACTCGGCTAGGTGTTTTCGCATTGTGCCTTGAAACACTCTCAACACGTTCTTCTTTTATTCACCCTGCCTCAACACCGAAGACAACGGCGGGCACCAAGCAAGGCGTTGTTTCGCGCGCTCGTACTTACGCCTGTGCTAACGCGGCGGTCCGTTCCAGCTCCTGCTGATGTTCCACCATCCTCCTGCGTAGCTCCTCTTCTTGCTTGGCCTCCTGTTCCTGAGAAACAACGCAATCAAGACGATGACGTGTGTCGGCTAATATGTACCGTATGCATAGTCATATATATCTTGTGTACCGTTCTTTTGGGTAGTGGGCTTGTGGACCAGTACGAACACTAGTAGGAAATGACCGAGACCGGGACGGTTTTCCAACGTGGAGACAACAAGAACATGTCAAAGACCTTCGTGATGAACGTTGAGGCCGCCAGAGATCTTGCCCTTACTGAGTCTTCACCTCCTCCAAACACTCATAAAAAAGGCATCAACGAACCTTCTGTTGGAGTAGTTCTTGTTTCTTGTCCTGAAGAAATGCTGACGGAATCCCCCCTAGGCTACTTTGAGCGTCCACCAAGAGTCCCCAAAGCTCTTCCATGAACATCCCAGTGGACTTCTCCAGGAATCCTGTGAGCTGCAGCTGTAGCTTCTTCGGGTCCAGCTTCCCCTGAAAACGGACCCATGTTGTATACGCAACCATGGCACATTTCAATGACAAGGCCCGATGCCTGAGAACGTGCAGGTACTGCAATACACCAGTAGGCCTCAAAGATCTGCTGAAACATCATGGCGTCGCTGGGCTGTAAGGGATTGATTGCATTAGCGCATGCCTGAATGGGCGGCGTAAGACGGACCTAGGTCCCCGGTGTTGTGTATCATGGAAACGTGTTGATGACGCGGACCTGGCGGCGTGTCTTATTGCGCAAATATCTCCACTCTCGTCAAAAATCGCTCTACCCCGTTGTTGCCAAAAAACTATTCATGGCGTTCCACGCACCACAACAAGAGTCGAGTTGTCCGTCTTGTAGAACAGACATGATCGTACCAACATGTATCAATCTCCCACCGGCAACCTATGGGCATCGGGACTAGCGGTCAATCGGAACCATCGAGGACATTTAAACCATTCACAAATCTCTTCGAAGTACAATAAAAAGCCGAGGTCTGTTGACTAAGTTCTGTCCTCAAGAACTCGAGGAACGGGTGACAGGCAGCCACGAAACAACACGACGCATAAAAATCTGAGTACAACTGCTGTCCCCGTGCCATTACATGAACACTTACGTGTCAAACACCTTAGTCGAACCGACTTCTACAGTTGTTCCAGACCGTACGGCGGGGGGCTGAGTGCTATGCGTCCCTCCTGCGATCAACAATACAATCACGAGCTGCTTGTGGATTGCCGCGGTTCTCGTAACCCTGTTGAAGAACAGGTAACCATCTTACAACACATCACATCTAGTTCACGTTGTCGCCCTGTTTGCTCAAATCAAGCACTCTGCAGAGCGGGTGATCTCTGGCTTGGATGGCTGACGGAGAGTGAGACATTGTAAGATGTGAAGCAGAAGCCATGGAGCGCACACAAGTCGCAGTACAGAGAAATCGCAGAGCTGAGCAACGGGGCCGATGCATACCCGTGTCGAAAACACCCGTTCGACATGAAACACTCTACAAATATCCGAAAAAAGGACCCTGCCTGCCACAAAACGTGTGAAAAACAACTGCGATTCTTCCAAAAGGCTTGGACGTCGAGCTTTATCCACTGGGCGTACTGCTGTGAAGCGAGGTGTCACCGTTGCTATTCGCGCTGTCCCTACACTGCTGTACTTCGTGACGAAATAAACAAACGTAGACAGATTCATTGATAACTATAGCCGGTCGCCCCGGTGGTCTAGTTGGTATCCTCGGAACCTTCTAGAGGTCAGGTCAGGTGTTCGAATCCCGGCGTAAGCGAGCTTTTCTTGCAAAGTGAGTTTTTCTCTCGCTTCCGCTCCTGACCTAGTGGATAGCGCTATAATAGTTCGTGTGTACACAGAGGGAAGAGAGTGCTGAACTCTTTTCGCACTAAAAACCGAAGGCAACGTACGGCAGGAGGGGAGGTTAGAGAGGGGCCCTTCTGTGTGACCATGCGTTGGAGTAAACGGCACTAGTGCTGTGAGCGCTGATTTGAAGTCAAGACAAAAAAAAAAGGACAAACGGTACGAAACAAAGACTCGTTCATGGAACCCACGCAGTTGATCGTTTCGCGCGCCGGTGTTTGACAACCTCACTCTGCTCCACAATACCGTAGGTCGCATGAGATATCGCTCCCGCTGGACCGATTTTCAAAGCTCGATTACCCGCCGAAAATGGTGGTGTTGGAACCGTCTCGTCGAGAACTTTTCGAAAACGTTATCATCTGATTTTGGTACCTCTTCGTCGAGTGTAGCCAAGGTTTGAAGCTCGATCCAGGGGCTGTCGTATCTTGTATCATGTGACCTACGGTAAAATACCGTCAAGCTTGTGATGGCCAGCAGTAATGTTTACACACGTCGACTCAAGCGCTCGTCACAACAGGGAACCATAAACTATGCATACCTCCTCCGACAGGTAGTTGATGCATGTGCCCACCACAATGTCGTCCTCAAATCCGAGCAGCGACGTTATCCGCTGCGCGATCCATCGCTGCATCACGTCCATATTGACCTTCTTCATGTTGACCTGCAAATGAGGTCCAAGAACGTACCCGTATATCGTCGGGTGCTACGCTTGAACCGAAACAAGGGCAGGTTATTAGCGCCCTCTCCACAACAGGATAACCTACACATCAACGTGAAAAAGTGTATCTACATACAAACGCTCGGCCGGATAGAGACTATTTGTGCACCGACAAGAATGTTCCAACCAATCTGGCGTCTCCCTGAAAGAAAAAAACAGATACACTAGCTCATGCCAAGTAGTCTACATCGTGTTGTGACGCATCTCACACCTTCTGTTCCAACACTTTGCTAAACTTCGTTCGGCGCAGAAGCTTCTTCTCTGCATCGCCCCAACGACTATCTTGTTCTGAAACCAAACGGCGGCACAAGAGACAAAAGGAAGACGAGACGAGGGGGTAGCAAATGGTGAATGTCTTAGCAAGTTTCATCACGCTTTTACCGGAAATAGGCATGGCTGGTTCACGGAAGCACACCAGCATGCTCACGTTCCACTCTGCGGTCGTTTTGCATTTAATCTGCACACATGCCCAGCAGTTAAGAAAAAACAACTTGGACCGCCGCAGGAAGGGCGTCAATGGTAGTTCTGCACACGCAGCATTGCTCGCGTTCAAAGGCGGTACACTTAGTTTTCAACTTATTGAAAACACTGGCTGCAGCGCAGGTACTGGTGTCCACGTGTTTGGCGTGTACCCGGCACATATCCACTGCCCATAAATACATCCGCTTCGAAAGCAGAACCAAAAAAAGAGTCCAAAGTTCACCCATGGGAAGGGAACATAAAAGGGACCTCGCTCAATGAATGGTCGATGACACGGCGGTGTTGCGATGATCGTGCAACGCATCGATCAAAACCAGTTTGTCCCTGGGTTCCTCGAGGAACAAGCCTCGTGTACAGGACCAACTAAAGCCAATGTCGGACAAGGCGAACAAAGTCTTGTCTTTTCATGTGTCCTGTAGATATCATCCTGTGGTTGTTACGCGCTCGCCGACGTTCCACAGTCTGCAGGTGGTACCAATCTACAGCCAACCTTCCCGTCGACAAATGTCTCGCACACGCTATCAGCAGGAAGCCGGGGATATTGCGGAATTGTCCCCCAATGAATACGCATGGATTATTTCTTCCCTTCTTCTGCGCTGCTTTACTCTTTGTCCCGGGAACGATTCAGCCGTCCCGTTCCCTCGTCCACTTGAAGCCGAGTCTGCTGCGTACACGCGAGTGAATCGCTTGACATATCCATTGGACATACCGCAGTGAGACAAAATCCCAGTTGTTGTGCCCCGACCTTACTTGTAAGGGCCTGCCGTTTTGGCTCCCTTGACTTGAATTTAGAAAAGTGTGAATTTTTTTCTTGGATTTCAAAGGAGGCGTGTGGAGGTACAGTAGACGCGTGAAATGTATGGTTTGAGCAGCCTCTACTGCCGGCCTGTGCGAGAATCAACGATTTCTGTTTTTCGCGATGCCTTCCGACTGGTGCTGCTGTGTGTCTGTTTTTCATTTTCTGGTGCTCTTGCGTTTGTTTTCAAAAATTACTGCTGCTGTAGTCGGCATCAATATATTCTTGTCTGCCAAAACCCTTCACCGAGGTTCGACTGCTGTACGACAATAATCGTCAACAGGGTGGCCTGCACACAACATATCATGGCATAGTCAACAAATGGCAACTGATGCCCATCCCAAGCAACGAAGCATTACATAACAACAGCAGCACACGCACACTGGGCTACACTGTACGTACCAAACCATTGCCGTGTACATTGTACCCTATGCATAATCTACTACTGCTGTATCTGGCATCGTCGTTGTCGTTGAGGATCACCGATGTATCACAGCTGAAGTACTCACCTGCCGTGGTTCCTCGGAAGAAATTTGAAGACATGGCGAGAAATACTTGGCCAAGGCAGACGTGGATCCGGCTACTCGCTCTCCTTTTCTTTCGTCTCTCTCTCTCGCTCTCGCTTGTCTCTGCTCTCCTCCCTAGCTATATGTAGGTCAAGTCAAGCAGTGTCAAGTGTACCCGGGGGCACCGCTAAATGTTGAAAGAAAGGGCAAGGGGGGTGTTGGTCCATTTCAGGTGGGGGGCAGACCTTCATCCCACAGCAGCTGGCAGACAGCAGACCCACTCTGCACTTGCTTCTGTCTGTGCTTCTTTGCACTAGCACAGCTTGTAGTGGGGGGAGAGAAAAGGAAAATACCAAGAAGAGCGGGATAGAATACAGGCGACAACGGAATTATCTCAAGCATGGCCACCCGAGCAAGCAGCATGTTGAGGCTGCAGGCGATCACGACGCGTGCAAAGACGCCGACGCGAGCGGTAAACTTCAACCAAGCGCCTCCTACGTCGCGCTCGCTCGTGACAAGGTCGAAGACCAGCCTTCGCATCAAGCAAGACACCGTCAGCCCGCTTTACCGGTTTGGTGGAGTTCATGGTTCTGGCTCTGGGCAAAAGACATGGCGCAACAAACCACTATTTCGACGGGAGGTGTGTGTTGGGTATTCACGTATTTACCTGAGTAATTGTAAACAGCAGTTGTAGGACATGTGTCATGTGCGCGTAGGTGCGTGTACGATGGTCGTATTCGGAGCACGGTCGTGGTGTCATGAGTGCACACTGGGGATCTCGCGCTCGGCCCAGCAAAAGCGAGTGGGTTAGAGGGAAACCGGCTGGATGACTGAGCAAAGCAACGCATGCGCCGATGGGCAGGGTTGTGTTCGAAACGGACGAAGTGACATCATCGTCCACGAGAGTGCTGGTGTGCTGAAGACGCCTGAAAATGCAAACGTTTTTCGTGTTCATGTTTGGAAAGAGCCAGCAACCTCGAGAGCACACAGGCCTCTTGGTGCCAACATGGCGCTCAGAGGTAATGATGCTGTCATCAGTGCAGCGTATGTGTTACCCTCCAAGTCGTAGTCGGAGAATACAATCATGCGGACGTGTTTTTTTGGAAGCCAATGCGAACCATTTGCGGGTTGCATACGGGCCGTTGCAACATTCGTTCATGAGTCCCATCTACGGACGAACTACGATAAATATTACGCAAGACTTGTGATGTACGAAGTCACGGGAACACCCGTTGATCTGAATGGTGAGTTAACTTCGATTCCCAAGGTGGGAAAATGTGGTAAATTGTCTGCCACGGCGGGGAGCAGCATGGTTCATGAGCGATGCACTCGAGACAAGACATTCATCACGTCGTGTTATCGAAATCACCCAAAAAATAGCAAAAGCGAGGGGCCCCAGGAACGGTTTACAGACCAGCACATGAGCACTACCTGAGCTTCGCCGTATGATGTTGAAAATACAAACAGTTGGAGGCGATTATGCATTTAAGTTTACGTTCGTGCTTCTGTTTCATTATATAACGTACCGTGGAATTACTCAGGGGGACCAGCAATTCAGGACCGGCGCTGAGGCGACCGAGATGCTTCTCCAAGAAGCTCTCCGCAAAGATCCTCACTCAACAGACTTTTTGGAGTCTCTGCAAGACCTACTTCCAGCCCTGGCTCCCGTCTTTGACCGGGCTCCTAAGTACGCTTGGATCGCCAAGCAGCTTCTGGAGCCGGAGCGCGCCATTCAGTTCCGTGTGGTACGTGTGGATTGCGATAGAGAACACGGGGGGCAAGACTGTCTCTGATTGTGTTCGTGGAAGTCACTCCATATCACTGCTGTTGCAGGAAGCGTCGTCCATCTCTGCTGTTTCAGGGCTTAGCGAAACCGTGAACGCCTCTCTGAAAGTTGGGTAGATATGGGCCAACACGCTGTTTCGCCACCCGTTGATTCCAGGCCTGGCTAGACGATAACGGGAACTCCCGAATGAACCGTGGGTTCAGGGTCCAATATTCCAGCGCGCTTGGGCCATACGAAGGTGGACTACACTTTGTCGGGGGTATGAGCAGCGATGGTTGCAAGGCGCTCGGGATGGAAACTGTCTTTGCTAACGCCCTCACCGGAAGCAACTTGGGGGCCGCGGCAGGCGGAGCCGACTTCAACCCCCACAACAAGAGTGAAGCAGAAATTCAGAGGTGGGTCCAGTTTCCATACTGATGGTTTGATGCAAGTTGTGGTGGTGGGTCGACGGTGGTTCGTTCAGACCCACGATGAAGACAATTACCGCAACCTACGGAGTTTTTCCTCCCTAGTAGAGTCTCCCCCCCCCCCATTACCTTTTCGGCCTGGAAGCATGGTTTCGTTGATTTAGCCCCGGGGCAGATCGTTTTCGACCAAAAAAAAAAATCCCCCCAGGTAATTCAATTTCCCCCCGGGGTACCAGTTTCCCCACGAGTTCCCCTCGGGGAGGGTGTAATTCCGTTGTTCTCTGAGTCGATTTTGTTGCATCGCGGAGCACAAAAAGCATGATGTGGGACGGAAAATTCATTTATTTGCAGATCTGCGCTTCGAGCGAGATTTTGGTGTACCGTTTGTCACTTGGCCCTCGCCGTTGTTTTATGGGTGAAGTGCTCTCCTTTTCTCATCTATTTCTTGAATTTATCATCCCTGGAGTCAGCTGAAACGTACCATAGCATGCTCTGACGAAACCTTGCGCACGAAGGGAAAAAATAACCGTAACATTTTTGGATTATCACAACTCAAGGTAGAACCGAACCATAATAATAGCTTATTCCTGCGGACAAACTGCGAATTCTTGTGCATGAGCTTAGGCAATGGTACCTCTTGCTGTATTTTGGCTCTTCGCCTTCGTTGCTTTTACGTTCCTCCTTCCTCTGCTAGTTGAACTCTTGCTCGTAAACCTTATCTATCTCAGTTTCGCCACTCTGTGTGTGTGTGGTGTGTGGACCATCATTATTTTGCACAATGCCCCGGGCGAGGGCTTCCCCCCGGGGTAGCGTTGGAAAAATTAAAACTAACCCCCCGCGCTACGTCAATTTTCCCCCGGGGGGGTTGGTTTCAGAAAAAAAAACGATCCCCTACCCAGGGGAAAAACTCCGTAGTTAACGGTAGTACCATTGTTAAATCGCTGTAAACCGAACCAACCCTCCCACGTTAACCTTGTGGTATGCTACTAGTAGGGCGGGGTGATGAACTGCGGGGTTCGACTCAATACCTTGCAGTAGTATATCTGAGATGTTATGCAAGACACGTTGCTTCCACGCAACCACGCACGCGCGAAGACTTCCTCAATTCATGCATGCGTATCCGAAATGTTCGAGCGGATCTTCAGGACTGATGCACCCGCTCCCCGCTGGAGTGTCAAATTCTACACTAACGGCGGAGGAGCTCACACACGCCGTGACACACTCAACCTTGCTACAGCAGTACCGCCAAACGGTCGGCACCTAAAAAAAGCACTGCCACCGGCAAGATCGTGAATGATGGTGGCACACACGAATCTCGATAGAGCCGGTCGGGCAGCAGGTAGTGGAAAGTGGCAGGAGCACCGTACAAAAAAAGCCAGCCGTGGTGACCGTGGATGGTCTCGCATACTTCTATATCGCTTGTCATATCTTATTCTCATGTCCTTCTTTTCCATGTGTTTCACTTTCTGGAGGCGGCGTCGTTTGTTTGGTTCCCCTCGTACCCCGCCCTAATGTTGTCCGGCGAAAGATATCATTCCGATCGTTTTGAGTCTCACGTAGCAACTGCGTCAAAGCACCAATGCCTCAATTTCGCTCTCTGCTGCTGCTGCTGCTGTAGCAAAGACTCCCATCTGTCTTATTACACACACATGGTGAGATTTTCGAACGGGAAGAAGATCGCACCGTCAAAACTCCTTGTTGTGTAGTCAGAGAGCGGGCACCAGATCTGCTGTTGCTGTGCTTTATCACATGCGGAAGGGATTGGGCCACGGCGGGTGGGTATGGTTGATGTGCGAGACTTTCCAGTGGTACCTCTGTTTCTCCCTTGGCTTGAATCGCGTGCTTGAGATCTCCGCTGTTCTGTTCCCCCTTTCACTCCACTCCCGGGGTTTTGGGGTGAGGTATGCATATCTCCTACAATTGACCAGTTCTGGGGACAAATATGTAGCACGGTCGTCTCTTGACGGAGCACAACCAAACCGGTGCGACGAAGAGTGCCCTACTTTTATTCCTCCTCAAAAGCCAACAGATCGTCAATCGGTGCGCTGTAGATCTTGTTCTGGTCGAAAAGGAGGGTAAGTTTATTTCGGTCGTCCGTGGAATCAAGTCTGGGCCCTGCATCGCATTGGAAAAGGCCGATGTTTAGAGCCTGTGATTTCCCTCCTGGGATGAAGGTAAAAGAACGGTCGTGGGTTTTGCTCACTATCACGCAAAATATCCCAGTGGCTGGTCGACAGTCGAATATCAAGCTACAAACCGTTCGGAGGTACCAAGCAACAAGAAAGTTTAGTTTTCCCCATCATGACCGACTCAGAGGGACATGAGAATCGTACCTTTAATACAAGTGGAAAAGGGTATACACCGGGAGGGCTTCCTTCACATTGCTCAAAAACCCGCTCGTCTTGGACCCCCGGCACTAATACGACTGGTCACAACAACAGTCGGTGTGCCGGGACCTTATCGTGCTCCTTCGAGAAATCCAGTGAAAATGTGGTCTCACACATGCGTACAATGTTTTTGAAGGAAACACCCCCCAGACACTACGAGAACCGATCCCCAGGGGCAAACAAAGTGGTAGCTTGGGGGAAGGTTTCCGACTGTGAAAAGCATGGAAACCCGGAGCGAACAAATCGTTCCAATACCTTTGCATCACCTGTGCAGGCCATTCGTTCGTTTTTCTTTGTTTGGCGGAAAATTGATCACTCGTCCTTTGAACACCCAAAACTTGCATTGTGGCAGGTTTTGCCAAAGCTACATGACCGAAATGACCAAGTACATCGGACCAGACTTGGACGTGCCATCAATGGGTTATGGAGTCGGGCTTCCCGAGGTCGGGTACTTGTACGGTCAGTACAAGCGAATCAACGATCACGTGGCCCAGCGTGGGAGGGGAGTGCTCTGGGGAGGTGCAATGCCCTATCCCGAGGCGACCGGGTACGGTGTGGTGGAATTTGCTAGGTGCATGCTGGAAGACAAGGGTGACTCGCTCAAGGGCAAAAGATGCCTAATTACGGGCTCAGGAAAGGTGGCGGTTCATGTTGCAGAGAAGCTGCTGCAGCTTGGTGCCATTCCGCTCACGTTCTCGGACTCAAGTGGACACATCTACGAACCAGAGGGTATCGACTCGGCGAAGCTCCGCACCATTGTCAAGATCAAGTCCGAGAGAGGAGCGCGGGTGGGGAGATACATTATCGCATCGACGACCGCGCAGTATACCGAGCCGGCGAACATTTTCGACATCCCTTGTGACTTGGCCTTCGCATGCTCTCACCGGAACGAGGTCGACGAGACAGCAGCAACACTGCTGGCTGACACCGGGTGCTCTGCTGTAATCGAGGGAGCCTCAGCCCCGTGCACTAAGGCGGCCAAGGCAGTGTTCCGCAAGCGTGGGCTCTTGTTTGCACCTCACGTGGCTACACTGGCCGGGAGCGGCATAGTCAGCGGGCTAGCCCTTGCCACCAACCCCGTGGGAGCCAAGGAAAACATTCACGACAGGGTTGAAGAAAAAATGAAAGATATTTTCGCTGATGTCAAGGCAACAGCTACCGAATTCAACGCTCGAGGGGACTATGGAGCAGGTAGGCACAGCATTCGTGCAGATGCTGTTACTTGTCATACTATGAAACGACCCTGGCGTATAAACACTTGCTTTGTTCGTGATGCACTCGACCGTCCTGTTTTGCCCCGAGCCTCGATTTCGTCGTACATCTCAAAGTCAATTATTTACCAAGACTGTCATGAACCGGTTCCGGTTGGATGCCGGGTGCCTCACTCGTTAAAGATGAGTTTGTGACAAATGATTGTGCAGTTACCGTTACCGCATGTCAATGGTTCTGGGACAAGTTGGATGGTGCTTGTTTGTTGGCGGATGCGAACAGGAGATGATTTTTCCTTGGCCCAGCTTCTCAACGCTGAACGTCCTTCTACACCCTCTCGTTTTCGATTTTTCCTCACAGGTGCTACCATCAGCGGTTTCATGAAAGTTGCCGACGTCATGTTGGCCCACGGGGCAGTCTAGGCACGTTTTGCGAGACAGCCATGTACCGCGACTAGCCGAGCGCTGGAGTTGCCTTCTTTGTCCCAGAGGCCTGAAACTTGAGTTTTGTTGGGTGCCCCAGAATTTCCTGTAGATGCGTGACCGAAACACTCAACTTTCGAGGGTCTACGGTAAAGAGATAGGTGCACTGGGCACATAGCACCGTTCAACGCCGAGGTGGTAATGTGAATTTTTATTTAGGAGGAAAGGAAATAGCGATCCAGAAGTAAACAACAAGCGGTCATTGGGTGTGCTCAAAAGCGCCGCACACACCCTCCTAGGAATAGGACACGTCCGTCCCCGAACAGAATGCTGGGTTGTGTTGAAAGGTGTTCACTTCCCGTTGAGATGCCCAGTTTGTGAGCTGTTGTCAAAGACATCAAAAACACGTTGAAGCGCAGCGCTGAGTCATACGATAAGGAGTGTTGATCACATAGGTGTACTGTCGAGAAATCTTGCACACAAAGGGGGTGCGCAAAATTTGTTCGTGAACCAACAAGGAAGTTCACGGACGGATCTTGTATAATAGTTCACGGATGATCATCAGTGATTTTGTCTAATAGAGAGAGAAATCGTTTCGAGCTTGATATACTGGTGCTGCTGTGCCCGGTGTTGAGAGTCGCCTACTCTTTGTCTGGCTACATTTCTCGGTTATCACAAGTTCGTTTTCCAGGTGAACGCGCGCACAATAAGCGCCCACTTAGGGATTGGTTTGTTGAATTTTCCGCTTTCAGAGGAGCGTATAATGTCTCCACAGGGTTTTCCCCCCGTCTGACAAAGTGAAAGTAAGGAGACCTCTCATTTGTTTTAGGAGTTTTTTTTTGGGGGTTCTTTCAATATTATCGAGTTTGTGGTGGTTTTTCTGGGTCATTACGCTATTTGATTTTTCGACGTGTGTTGGCCTGTGACCACCAAGGAAGGCGTCCGCGTCAGTTGGACCACCTCTCTCTGTTCTCTGGGTGGTCTATTTGTAGCAAAACCGTCCGTTAACATGTATCTCTCCGTTGCTGCTGTGATGTGAAGGTCCTACCTTCCATTCTTGTTGATGTGTCGAAAGGTTTCTCCGGAGGTACTGTTGTTGCGACAGGTAGATATACATCCCAGACGCGCTCATTGCATATCGTCAGATTCGAAATATGACGTCTGGTATGCTTTGTCAAAGTCGTGGTGTCAGGAAAGTCTATTAATACAGCACCAAGTCGCGAGTGCTCCCCCCGCTGCCCCCCGTGCTAACGCGATTCGTCGTATTCGTCTCTCTGCGCGACGTGTACACGATACCGCACATGTCATTTATTTAGCTAACCAAGGATTTCGGCAAACCCTTATTTTTTTCTGTTCGTGGCGGCAACGCCTCGCGTCATCTTGCCAAGGGCTACCTCGGAGCGTTCGTTGATACCTATTTTTCCTTAACAGAGCATTGACAGACACAACATATATCGTCATGAGCAGGTCCAACACAGAAACAAAATACCAAACCAAATGACGGCAGTAGGCTTGCCGGGTCCCTGGCATGCGTCCAGGTGGCGTTAGAACCACAATCTAGGCGGTGGTGCCTCGTGATGTACGTACGTACGTATCCATAGTAGCGACGACGAGTGGAAACTACAACAAATTATCTTGGTCAAACGAGAACTGCACGAGGTAATGGACGCCCACGGTTGACACGTTCGTTGTTAAGTAAGTGAGTCAGCTCGTTGCCTCGCTGCTCAATATGCTCAGTATTGCAATATTTACGCAGCTTCGATGCCGGCCGCTTCGTCTTTAGCAGGGGGCAGTCGCGATGCCCCCCCAACACTTGACGCCTTGCTTCCACTTGGGCGTTTGTTCTTGCTTGCACCCTTGCTGCCACTATCCCCTCGATCCCTAAGAGGTTCGAGGGCATTGAAAAGGGAACACATGGCGTTGCACCCAACGTCAAGATCGTGATTGATCGGCTTCCGCGACTGAGATACACATGGAACATGTACGGGTCCTTGTCTTCAACCCTTTGGGTCTTTCGAGAACCTTCATTTTTCAACTCTTTCATTTTGTTGGTTTATTCGCGAGTTGAGTGTTGGGATTTGTGGGGGTTCTTTATTTCCTTTATTGGCACGTTATGTTGGCCTAGCTTATGAGCGTCCACGGAAGTTCGTTTCTTCTTTGCTTTGAACAGCACAACACAAACAAAGGTGCAAAGGAAAATAATGGTAGAAGGCTTAACGCCAACAACACGACTAACAAGAGACAGGATTCTGAATCAAACAGTTTCATGTGTTGGTCGGCATGCAAGAACCGCGGCTGATCTACAAAGCTTTAAGGTGGCTTCACTAGTCTGTAGTCTATGCACAATACTTTGCCCACAGCTTTCCAGTCACTGAGCCAGGTAAGTTCTTCTCGAGGGAAGGGAGGGTGTTTGTTTAGAAATCCAGACGAATCATTGAAAAGCCCGTCGGCACGCGCATGGTTTGTTCTGTTGTTTTGGTTCCTTATCATCCTCCGTTTGATGGAGAAAAACACGTGTCTGTAGAGGGCGGGGGGGGGTAGTTTTTAGGTGGCGACTACATACATATCTCAACGAGTTTTTGCTCACCTGATCTCTTGCCAGGTCTGGATTTTCTCTGATCCGCAAAACAGCAAACCCCCTCCTTGAGATACTTAAAGATAACTGGCTCCGGGAGATGATATTGTGTCGTTTCTACAGGGAGAACCGAGCGTACAACTTTCGATCAGAGGATGGCCAACGACTCCTCACATCTATCTATCCCCAGATCACTTTTAGGGGCAGACCGAATTCCGTGACATGTTCGGTAACTGTTGCGTCAAAATGGAGATTTTGGAAGACTGGTGTTTGATCATTTTCAACGTGCGCGTGTTACTGGCGATCGCTACATAAGTAGCAGGCTTCGGTTGTCGCTTGAATCGGTTCCGTTCGAAACACCGTCAAAGACTGATAAATTGTTCATGGTCATTCGCTTGTTGATAGATAGCACAGAACTTCACGACAGATCGACAAGTTCAAGGTCGCGACGCAGTGACCAACAGTTCCGGGCCAAAACCCCAGTCAACGCTACTGACCTTCTAAGAGAAAAGTCGGCGTCCGTAGTGGCAATCGAAATAAAGAAAGGGCCGGTCTTCCCTGGTTCGAACGTAGCCGGCATGATGGTAAAAATATCGTCTTCAGAAGTGTTGTCCAACATGAATCCAGGAGGTGTAGACACCTCGTGGGTTGGCACCATCGGCGACCCTTCATACGGTCGACCCTGGCAACCAGCGAAGCAAGGAAAAGGAACGATCAGGTTGCAATCAAGTGATCGAACCATGTTCTGTGCCCCGAAACGCATGGAATTTAGCTACGACATGACGGAGGCGAAGAACGGCAACATACCTCGTGGAATATTGCCTGGTTGCGGTTCGGCTTGGAGCCTGACATTAGGTAAAAGCCCATCATGCAGCCGACCGAGTCTCTGATGCACTTGTTCTTCCAGTCTTTCTCCGGGCGAGAGAGGGATATCCTCACCTATCACGGCACATGACGAGATGCCGCGTGTGTTTCTGAATGAACACAGGAGAACTTCGGAGAAGAGTCATAGCCTTCGTTAAATGTTTGACTAGAACCCACCTAACGAGAAAAATCCATCCATCTTGTCACCCGCGCGGTTTACTGTTTGATGAGTTGGGCAAGATGGGTTGGGCAGCTTCTTATGCTTACCTTGGTGGGTCCCGTGGTGCGTAGTTTGAGATGGAAACAAGGGTTCTTTGTCCAATCGGGATGAATGTGACTGCCGCCAGCTGTTTGTGTGCCCCACTCGGCCGCTATCGTCCTGGACGTGGTCTCTGGCAGCTCTTCTACCTTGAGTGAGCATGGTGAGATTTAAACATCGAGCATGCATAAAGTAGGGCTACACGTTGCTGTGCGAGGAGCGTTCCCCGGTTGCAAGAGCACCCCAATATGGAGGACATCGGCGGCACCACTCAATGTTGCCATTGGTACTTTCGTAAGGTTATATTTTATCCCCAGTATTGTTGGTCACCCCTTTTTTCTTCTCAAATCTTACTCGCTTCACCCACCTCTACAGCATGATCACTGTGAATCTCCAGGGAGTAAGCACCCTTTACTCCCTTTTCGCTTAGCGTAGGCACCTGTGCGCACAATAGGAAAAAAAAGTCTCTGCAAGGTTCTGAACGAACCCCCTTGAGTCCGGGGTTGAGTGGCAGATTGTTCTGGGATGTTATGCAACCCTTTCTGAACTGACTGGTAACTGTGGAAACGTAGACCTCAACATCGTGCATTTCTCACACACGCGAAGTGTACGGACATATGCGTACGGGTGGCCGAGTTCGGAAAGCCCTCGTGATCCCAGACCCCAAGTGGACGCATGAACACAGCAACGGCTCAGTAAGCTTGCAACGTAGGCGAAGCCATGCGTGGAAGATGACTTTTCTTCGAATGGCGCCAGCGCCAGCCATATATATGCATATCACAACCATTCACCACCAAGAAATTACGTACCATTTGGTTTCGCTTTTTATTAGCAAACGTTTAGCTTGCCGCTCACGCTTTGTCAATATTTGAAATCGAGCACTGTGTGGTATTTGAAGGGTATGGGTTTTGATCGTTCTATCTATTCGCCCAATTTTCTCGGAGACCATCTAGAAACCAAATCGATGACAAACGATACTACACGCAGTATACAAGTACCGCGGAGATACCGAAGTGTGGCATGTCCTCACCAGGAAGAGTCCGTTTGGCATGAAATCTCTGCGCAAGCTCTTGAGCATCAAGGTGGAGGCCTCGGTGCTACGGTAATCTGACATCTGGCACCTGGCCAAAAAAGGTGCATATCGATGGAAAACTGAGTTTGCCACGGGCCTCTGACTCCGGTCGTTCGGTGTGCTGCTGGCGACGTTCTGGGGATATCGCATCATCCACCAACGTTATAAACAGGTATTGCGTCGTAGCAGTACCAACCCCATGCTGGGATCTCGCGATAGGGGCAAGCGATAGGGGCAACTCAGCAAGGTGTCGTGTTGGCGTGTAGCATCGACGAGAGAGTTCCTGTTGTTGTCACAATATGCTGTCTTAGACATTATGAACCGTTGCGATCTTTGCCCAGTACCTTATAATACCGGTACTCTCCAACAGACAGGGACGCCTTCCATAGTGACAGCCCAGAAAACCCGCGACGCGGACACAAACCAAAAGTAAAGCCTCAGACAATTAGACGTCTACGCAACAGGTCCGACGAAGGAGAGCCCATCGACCCCACTTGACACGCGAGGCCAAGCACAGTAAAACAAGGATCGCCATTCCCAAGACAATAATTGTGCAAGATCTTGCTTGTACTATGCAATAAGGAGGAGGTGGCCAACCCCCAGCCCTCGGCCTCCGCGACGCACCATTTCGGTACAATTGTTGAAACGTTTGACTGCACAACGACAATTTCACCATAACTGAGTACAGCTATGACGGCTGCGTGGGGCGGGGGGTGGGGGTGGGGGGTGACCACGTTTCAGGTGATACGATACACACCTACCTAATGACGGCGCATCTAGTCCGGTGCGGAGAGCAGGCTGAAACGATCAAACCGCACGAAGACGACAAGACAGAGGTACTGAACTCGAGTGTCAACCGATTGAAGGGTGTGCGCTGATTCTACAGAGATTTTGACCATGATCAATTCTGGTGATGGCCTTACGTCGTGTGCATGCATGCAATACCACTGTGCAAGAGGAAGCTGCAACAACACGTGTTCTAGCGGTAGATTATTGATTTCTAGGACAGCCCGGAGACATGGCGGCATTTCAAAGTTTGGCCAACGTATAACGCTCGCACCCACCATTCGAGAGGCTCCACCACAATTTTTCGGTCTGGCAAAATCGGCTGGTGGTCATCTTTATTGGCGAGATCTGGCCGAAGCCTCGCCGGGCGCTTCAGGCTGCTCGCCTTCGTGGGTAGCGGCTCTCCCAGGGCATTTACCCTTCCCAAGCGATAATCGGAAAGGGACAACACACAAAACACCGCCGTTGACCATTTATTGGCAATGTAAAAATCCACTAGATGCACCGTGATCGACGTGCAGCATACCTTGAGAAGGCTGAAGCACTTTACCGACGTGTGAGGATGGAGCTTCAAATAAAACCTGATACGACTGCCCCGCTGTGGAAACCATTGGCCAAAAGGAAATGAAGCATTAAACTCAAGGTGGCAGCGGACCCATGGCTGATGCAGAAACGTTCTTAATAGCCCGATGACATTCGACATCGACTTGATTCATTACGCGCTACCTGGGTGCATTCGTTTGCCTTCTCCGCGGCGCTCCATCCTCTGCGCGTTTTGCTTTGCAAATCACTAGGCCGGTTAGTGCGTTGTGAGTCAGGGACGTCCTGTATTGACGACACGGAGAGTGTGAGCGGTGTATCCATTGTCGTGCATTGCCTCGTTTCCGCTGCATTTTTTGGGTTGAGTGTCATTAAACTTCGAGAAAAAGTTGGTCGTAGGATATAGCGACGGACCCTACATGGGATGAGAGCCCGGCATGAATCGAAATCTTGCGTGCTTTCATGCAAACATGCCGAGCAGCAGGATTGAACACGTTTACCCAAAGTTAGGCAAGCATACAAGCGATAACGGACCTTCTAGGCTTAGTCCCCGATGTTTCTTTGCCTCTGGCATGGGACCCGTCGCCCTGCCTTCTCAGGACAAGTTTCACGTCCACCGATTCGTACTGGGCTCTGTTGTGCCATGCGGTGAGAACTTGATTAGACAAAGGCATGGAAATCTAGTGTCGAGGTTCACAACCTGCTGCTGTTGATTGTTCCGTCATCCCATATGCTGCAGACCATCACACCCGTTTCTACCTACCCAATAGTGATACAGAAAGATCTCTCTGCCGTGAATGCCTTCAGTTCAACATGTAGTGTAAACGGTTAAGGCGGTCCGATCCCGCGAAAGTACTCGCGAGCAAGCGCCTCCTTCATCACTAAATTGTAGACGTGACATGCGCAAAACAGTAGCTGTGCCGATAATCGAATTCCTGACCTAACTGCCAGCAGGTTTAGGGTTTTCGACGAGACCACCGACGTGGCCCGCTTTACCTCGAGGTAGGACAAGGGCGCCGCGCTTATGCAATTCATCGCACCTGGCCGGTATGTTGAGGAGGTACTGAGGGTTTTGACACCATTTGGGGTTGTTCTTTACCCCTTTGTTTTCATCCACCAATCGAAGAGGACCTCCGGCAGTATCCCGGTCAGACGTACGATCCCACGATCCGTGGAGGTACTGCCAACATTAAGTAGCCGAGCGACAGCGTAAACGTCTACGCGTTTAGAGCTTGATGCATAGGAAAAGCAAGGCCTGCCGTCTTCCTCGTTCCTAACCAAGTATTCCTTCCAGTAGGTTCTGAGCTGGTCGCATCCATGGGAAGGTCGGGTGCTTACCGAGGTGAACGTTTCGGTGACCGGCTCCACGCACACGTCCTTCCTGCTGAAAATTCGCAACGTAAACTTCCCTTCACGATTCTGCTCCATCGGATGGGGCACGATGTTGTATGCGTACCTTGGGTGAGACGGACAAGAGAGGCACATGCAATCAAACGCGCAAGGAAGCATGAAGGAAGCACTTACTCTGGCGATCGTGGACACAAGCAAAGGATGAGAGCCGTGTTGTCCAAGAACAAGCAAAGCTAGGCAGGCCATGGAACGTTTGTGAAGGTTTGAGGTCGGAAGGACAATACTCAACACGTTGCAAGTAAATAGTACAAGAGATCAACGATAGATGCGTTCTTCACCTTGGGTCGAGCTTGACGCTTGCCCGAGTGACCTCCCTCTCGCTGCGTGTGCTGCCAAATGTGTTTTCATGCGAATCTGCGATGACATCATCTTGTTTCTGCTCCCATATCCTGTAGTTGATGTACGGAACGGGTCCGTGCATGTCAATGTCCTTAGCCCAAACAAGTAAACCACATGCACAGAACACAAATTGTTACGTCCGGATGAGGCCGGCCCACTCACTATCGAGGTGAGTGATTATTCGTCGAAATGTCAAATGCCAAGGCTGTCGAGAACAATCTCGACAAAGAAAATGAATCCATGTTAACCTATGTGGGATTAGGTCCCTACCTTTTGTGCGTCGTATGGCGCTTTGTTTGCACCACTTCGAAGCCAACACGGTAGTTTTCCCGCAAGTGATTTGCCGATCTCCTGTCCTGCTGCATCAAGCTGATGTAAACCTGTCGCCAAAACGCGACCGTGGTAACAATATTTGAACCAACGTAAACCAATGTACCGAGTGCGATGGTGAGGACGTTGTGCCACCCTGTAACTGTAGATTCCCAATGTTCTGAGGAGTAAGCCAATTTTTTTGTATCATTCCAAAAACCAATCAAAGCTTGTCACAGTACCCCGTACCTCAACGGTCTCGTCCGCTGTTAGCCGGTACTGCGGGTTGTTGAACCAATACGGGTCACCGTCGTCTTGAATATCCACCACACTTTCCCGACGCAAAGAATCTTTCATCTTGTCCTGAGGTCCACAAAGAGGAACGACTTTGCTGAAGGATGACGTTGGAGGAGTCTTGGCGTTTCAGGTAACAATGATGTAGACGTTCAAATCTGCTCATTGGCCTTCTAGCGATTGATAGAAAATCCCGGCCAGGCTAGGCATGTTTGGTCGAGCCAAGTCGATGTGAGAGGACTGACAAAAGGAGCCGGTAGCACCGCCTTCTTTAGAGTGGACGGGGACTTCTTGTCCTACCTGCCCATCCTTTTGCAACCTTGATACAGATCCCCGTCTCATTGGCTTCGCGGATCCGCCAGCCGTTTTGCCCGACCACTCCCCTGAGAGAAGACAAGTGCACAAGACTTACAGTTGTTGGTGTTGTTGTTGATTCGAGTTACTTCGATTAATATGACACACACGTTCCTTCGCAACGACATAAACAAAAACGGTATCGCGGATTTCTGGCAGGTGGCCCTCATCCTTGTTACTCTCACCATGTATGCAGTACTGACGATAGTCTTCGTCGGGAAAGACCCGACACTGGTATACTTTGGTGAACAAGCCCACGAAGTCAGAGAAAACCATCCAAAACGTGCCGTCGTTGCTGTCTCGCCGCCATGGGGTATTTGTGTCGGATGAAACCTCGGAATAAACCTTGCGAACAATAAAAGCAATAGCGTGGGCACGTTAGCTTGTACTCCTGGACTAGCTTGCTCCAAGCCGAGAGAATGTTTAAATGCTTCCAGATGATGACGCACCAGGCACTAGGCTAATCAGCACAATCCTAAACTCCGACCGTGGTAAAGCTCTGCATTCTACTTGTTGGGCAATTAAAATTTTGGCTATGGGGTATTCTTGGCCAAGTGGCAGGGTGAGGCAAGCACTTTCGAGCGAGGAAGACTAAACCAAACACACAATGTGCGCAGCGCAGGGTGGAGATGTAACATGACGTGGGCCGTCTTGCTCAGTAGGGTACGCAAAAAGACACGTTAGGCACATGATAGGTAAACAAACCTCCGGGTAGTCTTCCCACAATGTTGACGCGTCTGACCAGTCACCCTTCCATTCTCCATGAGACCACGGGTTGCGCATTCGCACGAGACGGAACCCAGAACACTCCTGTAGACATCGTGGGCAATAGTGTAGAATTGGTTTCAAACTATTTCCCCTCCTCGGAATGTCGGTGGTCCGGAGAACCTAAAATAATCTTTCGTAATCGAACATTCCGGAGCCTCTACCTCAGAAAGCTCTCAGCGCCTAGGGCCGGAAGCGATCCCATTACGTACGAAAATACGATCCTAACGTTCAAGATACGATACAGAAATCGACCACAGGTCAATCTGCTTGCCTTCATATCCGCCAGTCCATAGGCATGGTTGACCAGGAGACCCGTTTCATTGTCAATGCCGGCCCCCCGGTTTGGATCCGCCTGCGGAAGAAGCGGAGCATGTGGCTCAGAACAACTGGTTTGGTGCTAATCTCGTTGCTACTACGTGACATGAGCTGTGGCTACAGCGGCCTGTTTCGCAACGCCTGATAGAAAAACGTCTCACCTGCACGCAGGCCACCACGTATTCTGGAGAGACATGCGAGCGTAAAGTTTCCCATAGAGAGCCGTCTTCCATCATCGGCTTGATTCTCTCTGTAATTCACAAGCAAGCGTGGTCGACGACGGCAACACCGTGAAATTTTCCAGCAAGAACCAAAAAAGCTACGTGTGTGGGGGGTGATTCATGTTCTCGCCTGGCTGCCAGGCGCACTGCCTACAAGATACTCCCTCACCACTTGTGAGCGACATCTTCTCGCAGCACCCGCCGGTAAGGTCTACGAGTGCCTCTCCCACGCTCCCGCCGTTGATAGACTCGTACGAGCCATGAAGTTTAGCATAAGCCTATCGCGGCAAGGGAGGAACCACGACTATAAAGGGCGTCTTCGTCGAGGTTTTCCCTCGCACGCACGACATGTTGGCGTGTTGTTGCCTTGCACTTCGTCCAACGCAACCGAAACACAACTAGGTTAGGTTTGTCGAACGTGTGACACCTTTGGCACACCAGCTCTGTCAAGGTCAGCCTTGTAGACTACCCCGAGTAACTATTACGGCATCTATCGCAAGGCATAGATGCCGGACACGCAGTCACGAACCTTTTCAAGCATGGACACCCACTGCTCGTTGAGGTTGAGGCCATGGCCGTACATTGGCGTCGGATTGCCAGGAACTTTTTGCCCAAGAAGGATATCATCCCCCTTCGAAAATGGATCATGTCACAACGGAGAGATCGACGCGTAGAAATGCGATATCAGCAACGTGCGTGTATCAAGACATTCCTCGGTTCGGTGGTGTGCACTCGAGTTTTCGCCACCAAAAATACTCCAGCCACACGACCGATGATCAGGGCATGAGCCCACGTTCAGCGAACCTGGTTGTCACCTTGTTCTTTGAGTTGTGGGCGCAGGGGATCCGCGTGTCAGTGACCACCTCTTGCCACTCGCCGTTCTTGTAGAATCTGCGAGCACTCGATCAAAGGAGTTTGCAAGCTTCACACCACTGGCAGCAACAGGCAAACTATCTCAACGTCGAGCACCTCATACGACACAGTTGCTCCCATGAACCTTGGGTTTTCCCTCCACGAAAAGATTACGACCCTTGTTCCGCAATATGCCACGTCCCCGTACGAGCTAGGACTACGATTACCTATATACGTACACACGTTGAGACTGTTGCTTGCCTGCATGTGTAGACCCCATACCGCACAAAATCATCAGGCTCCGACGCGAAGAGGTTCTCAATTAATATACCTCCAGAACAGGCAATGAAAGAGCAAAGCAAGAAGAGCGTGAACGTTCTTAGTCGGGCTGTTTGCGAGAGAGTTCCAATTTGAGTATCACTTTTCTTACTTTTTCCATCGCTTTCTATCGTCGCGACATGTTAGTGCGAGGAAATGCATACCATGTTGGTAAATACTGATTCATTCTACCTCAAGTACCGGATTTGTTTGGATTTGAGTTGGCAAATACCCGTGCTGTGTTGGGTACCGTGCAACTCGGTTTGTCTCATGGGCGTACCAGGGTGTGAAGCCAGAACGCCGAGGGCTCCGAGCAGCCAAGTGTCATCCAACCTCCCTTTTTTGAGGCAACCACTGCCGGGGTCATCGCTGAAGTAGGCAGGTTCTTGGCAAATCTATGTCATCAAAAAGGGACAAGAATGGGATGTGTTTACATATATATATCGTTGGGACCTCGTCCAAAGTTGGACCAGTCCCAACTTGTTCTCACAGAGACACTCCCGATGCTCCCATTGGTGAACGGACCACAAAATCGCAGAGCGTTTGCCCATGAGACAGACTTTGGCAACGCCCGGGAGTGTGGCACTCGGCTCTGGCCGGATAGAGGCGGGGGGGTCCTACGGTATGGGGACGTGGGCAAGGCCGAAACCAGGTGGTCAGATCTTCGGAACAGCAAGCGTTCCCGGACTATGAGGAAAAGAAACACCTAAAAGCCGTATAGGTATGATGCTGTCTATCGGCAGTGACTAGACACTCGTGTGTGTCAATTGCGAGTCCCAAAGTTGCGTACATCCCTCTATTTCGAAGTATTTGTGTTGTTTCGGTCGTACCTCTTGCGGGTATAGCCACTTGACTTCTGACACGTCGGCATCGTATTCGGGAACCGACTTGATGTTCCTGCAGACGTTGGTAAGCATAGCAACACTGAGCATGGGCACCTCTTGGATGCAGGACTTGAGACGAAAAGTCTACATGGAAATAGACCGTAGGTGCTGTTACGTCAGAAGGTGTGTTTATGCACTGTCTGTATACATGTCTACAAGTCACGTATGTTGTAGCAGCAGTCGTTGCTGTCCGGCTTGTGTCCAGAGTACATGTACAGATCATGGTTCTCCCTACACCATCTTCGGTACACAGCAGTGTAGGTCGCCACTCAATATGTTTTCTAACAAAAGGTACCAATAGAACCACATCGCAGCGAGAGTCTCTGTGTGGGGATGGGAGAGCTGCAAACAGCAGATGAGAAAGCAAGCAGATTGATTCCTGCAGGTGACATCTTTATGAAAAAAGTTAAAAGAAAAAACTACACATAGCTCTGTGCCCGGTTTTCTACATGCGTCTTGTATGATGCAAAACACAAGACGTAATCAAGATGACATCCACGTGGTTCTGGAAGCTGTACGCGATACGTGTAGCTATTCGTTCTCGCTGTGTCATGTCCTTCCACCGCAATCATTGCTGACGCTGTAGCGACCCGGCCCGCAATACTTTCATTGAGATTGGTGGCTTTAAGTGGTTATTGCTCAAGTGCTGTGTGTTAGAACTGAAAATGCCTAGAGAGAGCAAAACGACACTCCTGTAGAAATGTGGGCGCAGCAGGAGCAAACACACATACAGCACCAGACCGTATGGTACGAAAGGTGCTTTATTACTCACCGGTAGAGACTCGATCGCTTCGCTGGAAAAGATACATCCTCATACAGGGCACCTCGCTGCGAGGCTTGCAATCGGGCTATAATATCTCCCTCCTCCGTGTCCCCGACCTCTTCCTCATCATCCTCATCGAAAGCTTCTTCGTACGCTGACAGGCGAGGCATCTCATGTCCCAGTGGTAAGGCAAGCGATGCGTGTTTTTGCGGGGAAAGGTTTGTATGATGCCGGTGCTTTGTGGTGCCGAAAAAATGCCCCGCCGTTTCAAAGGGGAGTTCCAAAACTTGTGGTGGCCGGGAACGTGTGGTTTGATTTGCTTTGAGTTTTCAGCGAGAGACACAGAGCGACCCACAGCACAGAGAGCGGCAGGGCGGCCCCAAGGGCAGAGAGGACGCACACACACAGAGAGAGTGGCATCGTAGCACCTTCAAGGCATCACCATGAGTAGTGGCAGCAGTGGCAATGCTAAACCCTCGGCTTCTACACCGGTGAAGTGGACGCTTGTCGAGGCGGTGGCTGAGACGCCAGAGGGTCGGCGCCACAAGCACCAGAGCCATGCTGGCCAGCGGAAAGGGCCAGGCGCAAGAGGCTCTGGGTACACAGGAAACTGGGGACAAGGTCGCGATGGTGGTCGTGGAAGGGGAGGGGGGCAGGGATATTCGGGTGGGAATCGTGGACAGCGAAGAGGAGGGGGGGCAGGATCGAGGAACAACCAGGGGCAAGGGCGAGGGAGAGGTTATGGTGGCGGGTACGTCGGGGGGGCAACATACTACCCGACGCAAGCCAACGTGGGCGCCGAAAGCTTCGAGGAACAGAAGGCATACATGACCAATTTGGCGGTCAGGCAGATCGAGTTTTACTTTACGGTGGAGAACCTGTGCAGGGATATTTTCATGAGATCCTACATGGACGAGGAGGTGAGAAAGAAACCTGGCTGCAACATGACAAGGGCAACTGCAGCCGAGCATGCTCGTCCCCACCCTGCCCAGCGGGCGGAATCCTGCGCCTAGTCCCATATCTTGTTGCAATAGCCTGGCTAGGTAAAGACTTGTGGGTATATCCTCCCGACAAACCACAATTGCGTTTGCGAAAGGTTCATTTTCAGAATTCGGATGACTTCACCGCCACCCACATACGCCGACCCAAGCGCGCAGTATTAGAAGACACCCTGGAAAAGTTGTGCTGTATAAGCCTTATCCCGGGTGGTGTGGAACTATGGGACAGGCGGAGTCCGGTAAGGCAAGCAGTCTGAAACACAGCAGTAGACACGTTCCGTGCGAAGATTTTCCTGACTTCTTGTTGACCGTGCCAGCTGTGTGTCTTGTATACGTGAAGGGTGGGCCGGTTAGATCTGCGAGCAGGAGAAGCTTAATGAAGTTTGACCTCGGCTCCTCGACCTTCAACACTCGCAATCCGACACCAGAAATAATACTTTACCAAAGGTGTGTCTTACAGAGCGTATTTCCCGCGGTACAGCAGTTATCACTGCTGTGCGCCAGGTGAGGAGCAGTAGAAACAATGGTATGTTCAAATAAGAAAATCCACCGCTACTCTGCTACCCTGACTCCTGTCCACCGATAGAAGGATATAGTTGAAGTTGTAAAGTCCCCTACTGACTAGTCGCCGTGGTCGTTATCTTGACTTTTCCGCAAGGGCTACATCCCCATCGCGTTTGTCGCAAACTTTCCGGGGGTGGCGCGATTTGGTGTGGAGCTAGAAGATATCACGGCGGGCATCCTGGCGAGCGACACACTGCAGGTTGGTCACGCTTCAGTCACGGGCGATTGGGCGTGTTATGAAGCGCTACAATAATACAGCTGCGTAAGATGATTTCTTCAGTATATTGTACCATATGTGTTGCACAATCCACACCCCAGTGATGTTGTTGAACAATACCATCACACCCGCGTGGTGTGCTGTGTACCCGTGGTGTTTGTGCCTGTTCCTCGTTCATTTGGGCGTGTCGTGTAGGTGTATTGAACTATGACACGTTGGTATCGTTCGTTTGCATTCTGCACGGTGTGCATACCTTCTGTTACCGTTTGGTGCATAGTGTTTGCTCTCTGGCCTGCTTTGTTTGTGTCCCAATAGAATCGGGTCGGGATGACTGGCATGGTATGTAGATAGTTGGGCCAGCCACGTTTTTCGAGGTTAAACCCGCACGAAAAGAATAAGCAGTCCATAGCACCCACACACAGGGTACACAGTTTTCCGTGTATCTTTCTCCGCAGACACCAGACGGTTCAGCGTAGGAGTAGTGCATGGCAGGCTCGGAGTGATCGGGGTTGGTGCAGGAAACTACTGTGGAACCAGAGCTAGTGTGTGGGATCATTTCCTGATGTTGAGGCACTGAGTAGGAAGACACACACAGAGAGAAAGAGAGATAGAGAGAGAGGGAGAGAATGCATCTACTGCTGTATCCCGAAGTCTATTCGGCAAGGAAGGACTTACTGAACAGCCAAGATGATTCAATCAACACTCTCAGCCATCTTTATCCTTCCGATCTACGCTGCTGAAGAACAGTATATCAACCAGTTTCAGTGGTGAAGACATTAGAGCGGGTTCCGTGTCTGCCGCCCTGCATTAAGAACGAACGCCTGGATACGAGATAATTGCTGCGAAAACAACCAAACACAATAACCTGTTGTAGTCGATGGATTCCACTGAAAGAAATCAAGGGAGAGGTAGGGTGACAGACAAGAGCACGTCGTTCGAGAACGTGTGGCTGGGAGTGAGGAAAGTCAGGGTACACGTGTTTGGTGAGATATTTGCGAATTTTCGTCGAAACGTCTTCATGGACCATTCCGAGCTTCGCTTTTTTTCTGATGTTTATATTCTGGTCAACACTCGAGCGTACTCAGTTTATTCAAATCACACCTATCGCAGCAGCGCTGCGTGCTGGCTGTTTCATCACAGCAGAAGTGTGGATACCTGGGAGGACCAACGTCGGCATCAGTATGATGTTTTGCGGGTCAATTGGATGTTTAACCCACCAAAGAGAATTAGATGTCCCCGTTCGAACTGCTTTAACACCACTTGTGGACACACCTACTGATCGCTCGTAAGGCCCTCAAAGAAAGTAGCCACAGGTTCACCACGCGTTGAGACCTTGGCGCACGGTGGGGTGGCTGGGTGGCTGGCGTTGGGTAGGAGTGAGTCAAGACATTGCAAATGAATGACCCAAGGAGAGTCAGCCCCACTCTTTTCACCCTAAACCCGCGCCAGCGTTGTATACGAAAGGCGTAAGATGAACAAAAATGCAAACGCTGTACCTGTTACAATAGCGATTTGCTTAATGGCATTTTTGTACAGGTGAGTTTGCTCAGCTCAAATAGAGGACCCGTAGCCTGCAAAGTACATGTCATTTTCAAGCCCTCTCTTCTTGCGGTATACTGTACTTCTGTAATTTCCCCAGTTCGGCTGCATGTGGCTTGCCTCTGGTCTTACGTGAAGTCAACGTTATGTATCGTGCACCAATATCTTATGAATGACCTCTGATTGTGAGACACTCATTCGTGACACTGACGATGCCACGTTAGGTCGATACCGAAAACGAGACGATGCGCATGCGAGAGGGGTGGGAAGTGTGGCTTCTCCCGAACCAAGCTACTGGAAAGCAAGGCGTACCGCGGTATATCAAGGTCGACCCTGCGGTATCAGAGGCTGATAGAGTGAACGGGACAGAGCCTAGTGGGATTCCGGCACAGGTCAGAAGAAGGATTTCGTCGTGAAATACATTGCTTAGCATGCACCGGGTGGTGTGTGTTGGAGGTCTTGGCGAAAGGGGATTTGAAGGTCGTGCACGTTGACAACTTGTGTCATCATGCACGTGTCCCCATAGGTTGAACTTCGTCCCATCCCCCATGCACCATAGTCTAATATTTTGGGGCTGCTCCAGCGGGTGTGTCTCACCTCACCGTTACACACCGTGGCTGTACAGGTGCAAAGCGAACCCTCTCTTTCCATTGCTAATAATCAAGTTGTGCTCATGGTGTGCTCACAGGTCGCTCCTCAACTTGGTTTTCGACGCACCTACATGCACGTACATCTGACGAGTTTTTTTTCTCCCAACGCGCAGACAACACAAGACGCTGCTAGCGCTGGAGACGTTCCCGGCGCAGAGGACACACAAACATCACTCAAGGAGGACAGCACGGCAGGGGCGGAGAAGAAAGAAGGCGACAGTGTGACGGGGCCAGTGGCCGAAGAAGAACAGCAGAGGTCATCGGAGAAGGGTCAAGTATCCCATGAAGACGCGGCCAAGACAGAATTGACGCCACTTGCGCCGGCCTGGACTCCTGTTGGGGCCTCGACGGACGCCGTACAAGAACAATCATCACCACCGAGCCCCCCCACCGCTGTACCTCCCCCTGACCAGAAAGCCCCAGAAGAGGAGGCAGGGGGAGATGATGGGGAGCGCGTGACAGACAAACCAGCGGTCCCGACTGCCGAATTGAAACCGTGACGTGAAGAAAATACAGTTCGGAACAAGGAGATCAAGAACAGGCGGGTATCGCACCACGACTTGGATTGGATCTGTTCTGAGCTGGCGACGTTGCGTCCTCTCCTGGTCCGCATCTTTTCGAACGGCGACGTTGCCATGATCAAGACTAGCTGTTGTTGTAGCGATGAAGAGTCGTGGCTGTGCCTCTTTGAAATCGTTGCGAGACGAGTTGGTATCGCCCCTACATGTGTTTTTAGCCACAACGTAGTGTTGACGTACAGCTAGGGAAGCAGGTTGTCCCGGCACGAACCCGGCACGAAGGCACCCTAGTTTTCCGTCGTGGCGCGGTGATTTGACCAACGCGGCCACTCCCGGGGCAACGAGAGACATCGATTCCATCCGCTGTGCCGAACCGCGTACAATGCGTGTAGTTTTTTGTGACGTATTTGCCTGTCCAGGAAGTGTTGCCAATTTGTCGAAGGCCGCGTCTTCCTTTTGTGTCTTGCTCAGAGTATCTCAGGGCTTGTTGCATGTGCTCGAAACATGTCGGTGAAGAATGCTTGACGGTCAACGCCTACACAAGTGTATAGTAGATCTGCCGCGTGTGTGTATTAGTACGAGAGTGCGTCGTTGTCAGGGTGACGGGTAGTGACTCACAGGTAGTATTGCTCGAATTGATGTTGGATGATCACCAAAGACCCAATTTAAAAATAGCATGATCCGTTTCACTATGCTTGCGCATTGTCGTCATGTGGTCATATGTTTGTTCCCCTCGTTTGTAGTGCGCGAACACCAGGTTTGTATGCAGTTCCAGGCAAGCTGACTTCCCGCAACCCACTCCAGACCTACTTGTAATTGATGCAAACCTTCATCTGCTGTGTTACTCGTCAAAACTGAAGCACAGGCGTAGTAGGTCGGCCACTCGCACTCTCCCTGGTTCGAAGACGAACGCGATTGCCCTCACATGGGTATGCATACATTGAGACACAAACAGGTTGTCCAGCAAAGTTATCCCATGCTGTGCGGGACCCTGCGCCAATCGAAAGAAAAATGTCTTGCCGAGATATGCATGTCGTGGAACCTGCAAGTTGACCGGAAAGCTCAAAAACCTGTCCAACAGCTTGCCACGCTGCTTACGGCACTACGTGCTAGTGGATTCCCCCCCGGGCGTGTACTTCGAAAAGTCCTTACTCATTTGATCCGCCCCAAGAATTTCGATGGAGTATCCGTCGGGATCTGCGTTGAACGAATTAAGCAGAGAGTGGGAAAACGCAAGAGGGTGGGACAGTGGGGAGCACATCATTGGACGTCACAAGCTGGAAGGGATTTTGAACTGCGACCTACAAAGATCTCTGGATTTTAGGATGGCACATCTGCCACCACATGCCTTTACGCTTCTTCTTGGGTTGGAGTTTCTGCCGCGCCAAATGTTGTGTCTATCAATGCCACTCGCCGAAAATGAACGCCAGGCCCTTCATGTTGCCCCCATCAGGCGTCTTGCGGAACTTCACTCCCTCCTTTTCGAATCTTTCGCATGCTTTGTACACGTCAGGCACGGTAATACCGATGTGTCCGAATCCTCGAGGGTCCTCGTTGCCAGAATGGTACTTGAGGGCGGCGTCATTTTCCGTCCCCCAATTGTGCGTGAGCTCCACGGCACCGGCCTGGAAGAAAGAGATCGGGTGCCGGTGGTCAGAAATCACTCAGGAGCTAGCAAGCGTTGTGGAAGTGTTCCAGCACAAAGTATCTAGCGGCTACGAAATAAGAAGGGTCGGACAAGAGAAAACCCCTTCAATCCGCTTTCGCTTCAACTATGCAATTTTATGTATTCTTCCGACGTTTGCAGGCTTTCTTTCCTCTCTCAACCCCAAGTTCCTCTTTGTGGAATCTCTCTTAAATCGTGGAGATCAGCTGCATTGACGGGACAGTCTTGTATGATATCCGGAGAGGTAGAAACGCACCTGTTGGAAACACCACCTTGTGCGCTCCTTTGGGTCCGAGGGAATCTCCGACGGGTCACAGTACCCGACGAAGTAGATGCTGAACTCCCATTCCGCGAAATGCAACTCTTGCATCAGCCTACGCACAGCATTAGGGAGCAAGTGCAGAGAGAAAGCAAGATCTAAAAATGGAGTTCTCGTCAACCGTCGATCAGGAGCAAGAAACTGCCGTTGACTGCGCGACTCCCTGGAGGTTGCTACCCCTCGAGGGTGGAAGAATATTTTCCCATTTGCATCTATTGAAGCAACATTGTCTGACCATCTCCAGAGCATGAAACTTGACTCGGGGCGCGGTTTGGTTCTAACAAAGTAAAAAGCTCAATGCGAAACCCCGTGTCCGCACTTTCATGCACGACTGCCCAGGGCCATACGTACGAGGCGACAATGATTTACGGAAAAGTTACCTCATTCCTAGAACCCTCGTGTAGAAGTCGAGACTCGAATGGGGATTTTTGATCCTGAAATTCCGCGAAACATAAGGGTAAAACAGGAGGGTCAACACGTGCATAGTCTTTTTCAGGACACTTTTGTCACAATGGTAGAGCACCTTCCGGGGAAAATTCCACGTTCACCACATAAGGGCCACCAATATGCAACGCGCTGAGCGTTTAGCGGTGTTCCATTCTGGACTGTTCAGCGAACAAGCACTAAAATGTTTCAGGTCTGTGCCAAACATGGACGCAAGGACTGTGTCGATGTCTCCAACTGACCACACTGCTGTCCTGAAGCAACTTTTCCTAGTATCATCAGCAAGCAACTTTGTGTGTTGATCTCCCTCCGTCAATGAAACCACCGTCAACAACCTCACAGCACAGCACCTCCTCTTTGCTGTGCTGATGCGCTGTTGACTGCCGGTGACCTTGCTTGCGTTTGCGATACCCAACAGGACGACCCCACAACATAGTCGTATACTTCTTCTGCGCTGTGTCTGGAACAAACCGCTCTATCGATACTGCTTGCTGCTGGACAAACAAGCAGCTCCGGCGCCGATATGCATATGTATGTAAAATAATTTGACTCAGATCCGCTGCTCCTAACTATGTACTGTGCTGTCTGAACGATGTAAGAGAGGAACATGCCGCAGTAAAAAGACACGACCACAAGAAAGGCACACGGCCTGAACGTTCCGCCGAGGCGAACGCCCGTGCTAGCTTGGCCAAATTTTGCAACAAACTGCGGTGGACACACATCAAGTGGAGTCAACGCGAGATAGTTGAAGCCAGACAAGCTCGTTCATCTGCAAATCGGGCGCGTGTCGTTGCTGCCGCAGCACACCGCGATATACTCAAGCAAGCAGCTCTCAAGCAACTCTCAAGCACAAGAGCTGGAACGGAGCTGCATCTAGAGGATGGAATGGAATCGGATTGCAGGCCAGATGCAGAAATTGACACACAGGCAAAAGCCGACGCTGCAGACGTGTGTGCAAAGGCCTCAGCAACTTCCGCGCAAGTAGTTCGGCAAAAGCCTCGGCAACAAAATCTGCGCCACCACTGATCGCGCCACGCAAGCATGTCTTGTGTCGTTCGATTTGGAGAACACTTCGTTGTAACCAACCACGCACGTTCATAGGAAAGCGAACCTCGGATTGGAGGCAGCCCTCCGTGAGCAGGGCAATCTATACAAAAAGCGATGATAATTATCAATATACCAGGCAAGGACTTTTTCTAGTGTCAAAGACGGCCTTGACCAAGGCCTACTTCGTTGATCTCTCTTGCTTTTCTTTTATCCCATCTATTCTGGGCGCAAGTGTACACCTTTCGGCGTGTGTACATGTTGCGCACTGGAGCCGTGGCCACGCAGGAAGAATTATCGGCTCCACCCCCCCCTTGCCATCGGGGTTAGGTTTTCGTCGCTTGGCAACGACGATATAAAACAAGCCGCCCCCCGGTGTTTGCCATCGGGGTTGGGTTTTCGTCGCTTGGCAACGACGTTGTAAAACAAGTCAATTCACTTCGTGAACTCGGCAACCAGGTTACCGAGTTTTTTTTTGCCTCTTTTTTTTTTGCGGTAACCATGGTGGTCGAGTAGATCATGTTGTGCGGGGTCGAGAACCGTCACTCCGCGCAAGGGGGATGATCGCACCACGTTGTGTAAAAATGGTCAACCATCCTCGAGGCAGTTACACAGTGCTTATAACTGTCTCTGGAAGTGAAAGCACCAGAAAATATATTAAGTCATACGCAGCTGTCATCCGTACGCAAGGAAGTAAGCACAAGATGCCGAACACCCTTAGCAGGATGCAGTTCACCCTTCATGCGACTCGCCGAATACCTCACAGCGCTTCGCGTTTGTGATGTGAGAGCCTGGTCCGGTGAAAACCCGGCGTGCTCGGTCCCGGCTTTGTAGGAATGCGAGGTCAATGGTCTAACGACTACGGCATGCACGACTATGAGTACACTCCCCCCCCCGCCTGGTGCGCGCCTTCAACTCTTAACTCGAGCGGTGTTTAGAAGTCCTCTCCTGGTTGTGTGTGCTCACGACTAGGCGCTCGAACAATCTAACTTGAGAATTTTCTTACTCCAGCGATATTTGTACCCACAGCCTAGAGCCAGAAGGCTTTACGAGGTTGCCAACCGAACCCCTCAGCCACTGTTGTGTAACCTGGCTCATGTATACCCAACGTTAACACGACCGCCAGGCACCCACCTCAACATAGTTTGTTGCATGATGAAGTCCTTTGTAGAAGGGTCAGGCGTGTTGCAGATGGCATCATCAATACCCTGGAGGATGGGTTCAGCGTCGGTTTGGGTGTTAGCTACCCTCCAGTGAATATTTAAGCGTCTCCAAAGTAGAGTCAGATGTGGCTATCAACGGAGTCCCGAGACAACGATAGACACGGGCGAATCACAACGCTTCAACCCCTTGTTTAGTTTGTGCTCTTGCGGCAACGCCATTTGCGCCATTTGGTTTGCCGCTAGATATTCCTTGGTGTGTGCTTGCAGCAACAAACAAGATCTACGGGACGCCAGCTCGTTTCGTGTCAACGTTTGCTACTCGGGGCAAAACAAGTACTAGGCGTTGGCGGGCGAGCCGATCAGGCTCTCAGAACCAGCCACTCTCTTTCCCCCGCTGGTGGGGAGGGGGTTGCACGCGAAGTCTGCAGCAGTCGAATCTGCATGCATGCTCATACGCCCATGATTGTCTGCTGCATCCGACTCCCGCACACCAGATAGTACCGGGTAGGCCCAGTTTTGTAGGCTGTGCGTTTGGGTGCGTAGTCTACAGCAATGTTGACGCGCTTTACTGTTGTGCGTCTTCCGAAGGTGAAAATGCGCCAAACTGTGCAAGATCAAATCAGAACTTTGGAAGGCTCGATCTTGATCTCAATCGAGCATCAAGACTTCTTTTGAGAAGCTGCCCCAGGCTCAAATCTCGCACTGCTCTACTGTAATATGTAGGGTTCTCGCAGCAACTAAATAGTGCTGGCATCACAGCGAATGCATGCATGTACCGGAAACATCATTATATCGTACACCCGTCACGTAGACGTTTACGGAACACAGCAGAGGGGTCATGGAGGGGGTAAACACGATCAGGAACGAGAGAGCAAGCTCCCGCCGGGTCATCGACGCTTCGCCGATGGCGTATTGATGTGTTGTACATGTGTAATTTACGTGTCCACAAAATTACAAAATTTGCCAATGGTATTGCATACATACAACATGCATCATTTTCGACAATATAAGAAGCAGAGAGAGAGAGAGAGTCAGAGAGAGAGAAAGAGCGAGAGAGAGAAAAGAGTGAGAGGGGGGGGGGGGGGAGAGATTCAACAGCAGTGGAAGACATGTTCGTAGATCTCGTAGATCTAACCCTGTACTTACTCGACATCTCGCGATGCTCCACAGGTACTTGCAGAAGTCTCCTACTGTAGGAACCACAAGACGGTGCCGCGCGCTTAAGTAACCACAAGGTAGAGAGAACCCCAGGGTGGGTCGTGACTGCTACAATTCTGTTTAGGAAGTCTACATGCGTACGGGAGACAAACCGATCTATGCATGCTGCAACTCACGTCCGGTCGCCCGGCCATCTGCGCTATCTTCGCCATCTTCACCCTTGGTAGCGGGGTAGTGTTGGAACCGAGCCCAGAACAGCGAGGAAATGCTGTATGCATTGGCCGAAATGCGGTTGCCCCGAAGATCAATGTCGCAGCTGGAAGAGCTGTCAGCGAAGCATGAACAGATTTGAAGGTCCATGTGGGGGCGTTGGTTGACAATTAATCTTGGAAGACAGCAGTATGCATAACACGCAGGGTGGTACCTGTGACGAGTTCTTAAAAGCACACTACGCACACCTACCTGTGGTTTTCACGAGCCTTCGCATCGCCATGGTGAAGCTTGTTGCACACAACACCGCGTTGTATTTGGGTGTATGCTATGATCGTATGATATGACGTTCAGTATTTATTTGCAGGAGCGGAGAAACGGGAGGCACGCAACTAGCAGCTCCCCCCCCCCCGCTCGATGGACTATACAATCTCAGATCCAGGCGTCAAGGCGAAGTTACGACAAGTTTACGCAACAAAGGTTTCATCTCTTCGACCGGACCCACTGATAGCCCAGTGTGGGTGTGTTCGACGTATGCAGATGTGGAGTCTGTAGAAAGTTTGTAGACTACAGCAGTCTGCTGGGAAAAAGAGCAAAAAAAGACAAAAAAAGTCGTTTTTCGGCTGTGTTGCGTCCGTTGTCTCTCCTCCTGTCAGGACGGCAAATATTTGACGTCAACGCATGTACTCTGCCTACGTACTCTGTACTTCTGGCGTATGCGTCTTCGTCCCATTTCTTCCAGGTGCCAGTCTTGTACACCGTGTGCTTACATGTACGAAGTAGTGTGTCAGTCGGGCCACACCACAGAGATTTCTTTCGCAACGAAAAGGGGTTCAGCCGTCCCATTCCCTCGTCGACCGTGATTTCGAAAGTGTTACGAACTACCGTAGTCGTTTTTCAAGCCGGTCGCCCCTTCAAGCAGCAGTGATCTACGACAGTAGTAGACAACACAGACACTGCAATTTGATTGTAACAAACACAAACCTACATGCTGCAGACATGGAAGTCAACAAGGCTAGAAACGCGATGGAATACCACCATACTCTACAAACAGCCATACACGAACACCGCACATGCAGGTGGCGGCCACATGATCGACAAACAACTTGTCTGTCTAACTATTAACAGCCCAAGACGCTACGATACCCGCTTGTGAGAAGGTGTCCCGATTCTGGAAAAAGTCAATCGACGGGTACCCTGGGAATCGGGTCCTCCTTAACACTTTATAATACCATCGCCACCGCCTTTCCCTGTTGCAGCGTTCTAGATCGACCCACGTCATCGACCAGAATGTTCTTGCGTTCTGTCGGCCTCAGTTGACCCTTCTCCAGCACCAGTTGTTGCTGCCGTGCTGACTTTCAGCTCTCGTGTGCCTGTAGGCGGCAGCGACGACTTCGCTGCCTGATCTGTACCCAAAATCTTTTCCCGGAGCTTGTCCTGTGCAACGTGCAGCGGAATGCACAACAAACTCGACTTGTTAGCGCATGAGCAGGTCTCCGCACGATGTGCTCAAGAGGCGGCCTGTGCACACGAGAGTAGCGAATCGTCAACTTTTGGATTGCCACCTGACTCCACCAGACGGCCAGCAGCGGAGTATCAGAGGTTGTCGAATGTGCGTGTAAGATACATTGTATATTCTTGGGAATCAACCTGGATGGTGTTATCACTCACCCATGGCACAAACGTTTCCGTATAGGTACGTTTTAAGGAGTACAACCGCGGCGTTTTATACATGGCGTTTCCTCTATGTGGTCTATATAATCGACGTTTGAAGCGGGCGACATAGCATCCACCCCCCCGCCCTCCCCTCGTTAACCGAGATGTGTAACAACTTCTCCTACATGTGCGGGCTTGGGCTCCGTGAAGCGCAAGCTGGACCCTTCCTCGTTCTCGTACACAGTCTCCTGACTCTCACGCACGCACGCTTCGACTCTTTCGAGGAATCCCCGCTTGTCGTCCTGTAGAATTAGCACACACCAGAGGGTCGATATTAGCACGTGCTCTACAAGTTTCCACATGGTATCCAAGCAAACGATCCACAAAAACAAACAAAAGGCCGACAAAGACACACAAAAAAGGAGGAGATGGCCAACTCCCTCGTTTGTGTTCAACAGAATGTAGAGGGGTCGTGATATGAAGAGCAAGCGCGAGGCCAATCATGAGCGCCTCCAAAAGAGGGTTGAGTCAACACGGGTCACCTGGAACAGTGCTTGTGCCTCTGGGTTGGCTGGTCGAGGGAAGGAGAAGTCCTTCATGTAAAAAACCTTCTTGAGGTACGTGAGGGCCGTCACCATGTAGTGTTTCCCGGGTAACCACTCTGGAAACACAGACCTGAGGTCTAGCTCTCCAGTTATCGGTGACACCATCGGGTTGAACACCGAGCTCGTGAAGCGGATGATTGGCCACGTGCCGGCATCATTGTAATCCGGAGGTAACTCCACCCTGGTGATGTGTAGCGCAGCCAAGAAAAAAGAATCGGGGAGGCGATGCTGAGTGGGGTACATGTATTAAGTCTCCTTGTTCCCATTGCTTGCTCTACGGCACGTCTATTTCAACAGCGGCGCTAGTATACTGTCCAGATCATGACTTTTGCCAGAAACGGAATGATGTTGCTGTCGAAACATAAGCCCCTTCCTCGGTTGCACAAAGAACAAGATATTCTAGGGCCTAGTTGTAACGTTCCTAGTTGTAACGTTCTCATAGTGTCGCACACCTGAACTTGAAGACCCCGTTGGCATAGTGACCTCGGCGCACGAAAATCACTCCGTACCAGATGCGTAGGTGGTTGACGCTCGGGATAACGAACACTCCGCCTGGCGCATTCTGCTTTAAGTGCTTATACTCGATCGTCAGACGATAGTCTTTGCGATTCGCGATTCCAAAACGGGCGGAAGAGAAATGGGGAGATTGAACCAAGTGTCGACGTCGGCGACAATGTCATTCGCGCAACCGTGTGCCTATTCGACCATGTTCGTATGTAAAGGTTGAGGCTGGGCCTGTGTCACACACCCCACTAAGGTGGCAAAATGAAAATATACACATTCTCTCCATGCATGGTGAGTTTCTTGCGCACCGTCGCCCGACGTGTGGATGTTTTGCCCTCTGTGCTATGCATATGAGCAACGAGTCTACTGGTAGATAGTGAACGTTCAATGGAGGCGATTTCGAACTCCACCAGGAGGGCGTGCGGACCCTTCGGGTCAATTTTACTTGAGGATGCCTTTTTATAGCGTACGCTAGCCTGTGACCAAGGGAATCGACCAATCAAGTGTTTGATCAGCAGATGACGGTACTGGGTAGAAGAGATCGGAACGGTTTTTGACGTGAAGACAATAACAAGAAAATTGTGCCTGAACAAAGGCGCCTGTTCCCGTGAGCAAGAAACTGCAGAATGTTATGTTTCTCTGTGCGGGGTAGGTGTGACGGCGTGACGGCCAAACGTTGCTCGCACAGCTCCCGCATTCGCAGGTTGTGCCAATCTTGATCAAGTGGTGAACACACAGATGCCCGCCTCACCTTTTAACGTTTGGAGCTTATCAGGCTACAGCAGGTTACCACCCCGGCCAGCAGGATCGCAGAGGGGCAAACATGTTGAACGCAGGAGCGTTACGGAGGAGGGATTTGTGATAGCATGAACCAAAAAGGCGTGAAGCTGGTAACCAGCACATGACAAGCAGAAGGAGAGTAGACAAATATCACCAGCCGATCACAAGAGGGAGGTGGAGAGACCGACTTTCCGTTGGCCAGCCAATTGCTGCTGCAGGGCGGTCGGCATTCATCAAGAACTGCTGGGACAGCTGCGGACGGACTTCGGATGTTAAACACGACTCGAATTTGCCGCAGTCCGTTCTTAGAAAGTTGTTATCAAACGTGCACACTTGGGTTCCAATTCGTCGGTCGTGTATCAGGTCAACCATCTCAGAATCAGGGGTAAGTCCCCACTCCACTTGTAAGGCATGTTTCTACTAGCACCACGCCTATCACGCATCAGCAGAACTGCCATCATCACAGCATCTCCATTCGGTGGAAACCGTCAAGAGGGAAGCATGCTCACCACCGACAACTCCATACTGCTGCTTTTCAGCCGTGGATGTGGTAGGAGGTCACCAGCTTCCTCCTTCCCTTCCCGAACCCTTCTCTCGCTCGACAGCACCAGTCAGTGTCTAGAAGTAAACTCGCATCCAAGAGGTGCTACACAACAGCAGCGAGCCAAGACAGAGGACCTTGAGCAAAATCAAGCGGGGGGCACGCACATTGCGCGCGATAAAAAAGAGAGGGGGGGGTAGATCCGAAAAAGCAAAAAAAAATATGAGAGCGCCAGACAGAGGAGGGAGGCAGGACCGTACCCGGCCAGTGTTGTTCGGACAAGGAACGAGATGGCGGCCCGCGGTGGAAGAGGAGGGTGGGCAGGTGAGATATGCGTGTGTGTAAACCCTTGCATTGAGTTGATTGCATCGGGTTGCCCTGCGTTTTTCATCTCTCCCCCACATCCACAGCATTCCTGTAATGTCCACCGTCCACAGGGCACACACAGCAGGCCGTGCGACCAGGCTGTGGTTTGTGCACGGTGAGGGTGAGTTGGTCAGAACCTTTCTTGTAGTCTGCGCTTCGTGACTCCCTGCAAATGACAGAGCGCACGGTATGTTTTGGTAGTCGCTGCATTGATTGCATGTCTCGAGAAAGCATACATTAACTCAGTAAGCGGGTTGCAACTCACTCGTATAACGCCGTTACTCTGGGGGTGCTCAGGTGACCCCTGATAACACAGCGGTTGTTATACGAATGTTGCGTCTGGCAACGATAGGTGCACTACAGGCATCATAGCAGCCGGACCCAGGATGAACACTATCGTTTAGTTGATATCTTCACGAAAGCAGGTGTTTTTTGGTGGGAACTAATCGTAAGCCGTCAGTCGTGGATGTCGCTGAGGTCTGGGACGAATCAAAACGGTTACAGGCGGATCCAAGGTCGCAACACGTGTGCCACTATTAATAGCTGCTCTATCCCATGATGTGTTCATGACCAGCACACTTCTCCCCCACCTCATTTCAAGATGTCGGGGTGGCGTAGCTTTGAAAACTGTTGCAGGTTGTGCATACCTTGCGAGAGAGGACGGGGGGGGGGGTACCCTTGTACATGTTAACACACATGACAGCAATGACCCAACAAAGTACATCGCACGCGCGCGTGTGGTTGGTGTAAAAAGGGTGCTGTGGCGCACGTTGGCAATAACGCACAGAATTATGCACTATTAATAGCAACGTCAAGGCACACCAGACCCTGGGGATCCCTGCGCTCTTTGTGTTCGCCAGCTGCGTCTCACAGTAAGACATTGAAACACGGAATTTACCCTCAGCCAGCACACAACATCTGATGCTGGTCTCTGGTCTGAACCACCATCTGCCTTCTCAACGTGTGACGGTCGGGCAATGTAGTGATTCCGATATCCTGGGCATGGGTGCAGCACTAGCAAGGGATTCATTTTGTACAAATTGTGGTCAGACCATCGGATGTTGAATTGTTGTGGCTGTGTTGATGCGCGATCCTCGTACTGCTTTTTGCGCACGCTCGAACGGACGATTTTGGCCTCACAGGCGACAAGACGAAACGATATATGATGGTGGGGACTAAGGACGCCGTGCCAGCTGGCGCCAAGACAGGGGTCGTGGCTCCAGTCCCGATTAACACGCCGAGCCTTCGTCAAGAAATCCAAGGGGACAACGCCGGAACCGCCGCCATCAATCGGTCTGGTTCCGGGGGGGGCTGGGGCTCCGCCGTTGCCTCCTCGGCATCAGCGAATAGCGCTGCAGGCCAGAGTGTTGCAAGCGGTGAGGGCAAGGGGAGAAGGGATGGGAGCGGTAGGCAACGCGGAGACGACGTTTTCACCCGACATTTTCCAGACCTCCGAGCAGGCTTGGAACAGGCGGAGAAACTAGATGCCGTCACCAAGGCCTCAAGCAAGGTGGCCCCTCTTCGCAAGCCGAAGTCTGAACCCGCCAAGGACCAAGGGCCATCACTGCGACCAAGAGGTAAGTGAGTGTTCTTCTTGTTGGACTCATGAAGCTGCGTGACACTGGCTCTTCGGTGCTGTACGCAGACAAACCTGTCTTAGATCGTAGTGGATATTGGAAGGAAGGGCACATGCCGCGTTGCAACTGCTCTGGTAACCTTATACCCTACCATTTCAAGAGCAGAGCGAAAGAGGTATTGTTCATTGCATATTTGGGTCGTCCGCGTGATAATGTTTTTATGCACGCTTGTTTCCTTCCTGGTAGCATTTTTATTGCGTACCCGGTACATGCTAATTCTGGCGCTCTTGTCTGTTTGTTCGACCAGCGATGCTCAAACCCACGGGGAGTGCGGGGGGTGGCAGCGCTGCTACGGCCGCAGCCCAGGCTGCGATAGCAGATGCCGTGCATAATCGTGTGGCAACGGCCCCAAAGCCTGAAGAGCGCCGTAGACCCATGGCCAGCTTTGCGGACGAAATCAGCACGAAATCACGATGGGCGGAGAGACCGTTGCAAGAGGGTGGGTCCAGAGGGCGTGGGGCTGGGCGAGGAACGGGAGGTACTTGGGAAATGAACAAGGAGAGAGGCCGGGATTCAGGGCAAGGCGGACGTGGGTTTGAGAGGGCGGAACGAGGACGCCGAGATGCGTTCCCGGAAAAGGAGGACCGGAGGAGTTTTCGGCAAAACTCCAACAGGAGTGCCATGAACAGCACTAGAGGCAGGGAATCGATCTTTGGCTCCGGGGCCCACGTAGGCGTGGCAAGCTCCACCCAAGATAGTACGAGCAAAGGGAGCAGTAAGACGCCATCCACAACATATGTCCGCCAACACGGCCCGCCACCCCGCAAAGTTGCCACGCCTGCCACAACTCCGGCGCCCGCCGCTCAACAGGAGCAACCACTGGTGAGCCAGCAACCCACGAGAAGCTCGGCGTATTCGGCATCAAAACCCTCCAATGACCAGTCCCATGGCGATCCGTGGGGCAAATCGGTGGAAACTCCGTCGAAGTGGCGATCTGCCTCACCCTCAAATCCCCAGCCAGCCATGGATGCCCCGCCGGAGGCTCCGCAGATGCCCGATTCCCCGTCATCCCAGTCTGGATCATACGTGCGTGCTCACGGCCCTCCCCGCAGATCTGGCCGAGAAGGACAGGCTGATGAGCGCGGCGAAACGTCAATATCATCTTCCCGTCCAGACCATGACGCAGGTGGCGAACCTACATCTCGCTTTGGGGGCTCATGGGGGGCACCGGAGCAAGGCCAAAATGCGATGGATAAGGATTCTTCGGCGGGTATAGAACGGACGCAAAGCGGGAGATGGAAAGAGCCCGCCGGTTCCCTAGCCCCTCCGCCACATCCCACTAACACCCGATGGAAAGAACCGAAGGAGGAGCCGAGGGCTGGTGCAAGGAGATGGAAGGCCAGGGAAGATGGCCAAATGGGCGGCGGCAGGTGGGGCAGGTCGGCGGAGGAGGACGCTGACATAGACGACAGCAGCGCGGCTCCTCCAACCATGGCGTCCTCCCCGTCGCAGAACAGCTCCTGGAAAGAATCTGCAGACGACGGGTGGGGGTTGGAAGTCCCGAAGCATGCCCGAGGTGACTCGGACATGTCGGCCACTGCTTCTACCTCAGAAAAGTTGGAGCAACAGGAGCAGCCGCTCGAGGGTGGTGGCGGCACCGTAGAGGTTGGAGTTGGTGCCGACATCTCAAGTGAAAAGCCCGCAGAGGGTTTGGATACCAAGGTGTCTTCAGTCACTCCTGCCGAGGGGATCCCGTCCGAAGACGCCACTTCTTTTGGAGGTTCGTTTGCCCAACAGCAGCAGGCGCATCCTGTTATCCCGAAGTCTTCCTGGGAGCCGCAGCTTCCTCGAGGGGCTGGAGGCGATCTATGGGAAACCCCTGGGAACGGGCGCGACCATCACACTCAGCAGCAGGGACCGGGGCAAGCAGGGGCGTCCACCTCTGGCGGGTCATCTCAACCGTGGAGCGACCCTTGGGGCGGCACGTCGGGGTTCGGCCTCTCGGCAAGCGGTGATCAGCGGCCTGGTTCGATCGCGTCCTTTCTAGACAATGCACCCGAAGAACCACGAAAGGACCGCTATCTTCCCCCCGCTTTGCGCAATCGCAACCCCAGCCATGAGAACGAAGAAGAAGCTGCGAATATTCCTTTGCCTGACCAAGAGATCGACACGAACCGGTCTTCCCTGCCGGATGTTGCGTCGGCGGATGTGTCTGCTCAAGACCTCGTGATGTCGGGTGGCGGGAGCATGCGGACTGATTCTCCGGACGGGTCTAGTGCGATGAAGGCGCCGTTGTACGAGCAGCAGCAACAGCAGCAGCAGCAACAGCAACAACAGGTACCTCTTGAAGAGTGGCAGCAGGGAGGTGCACAGGCATCTCGTCGATCTCAGCAGAACCAGACCGCACACGCCGTGGAGCCACAGCTTCAACAGCAACAGCCTGTCCACCAATCCCATCAGGTATAAACAGCGTGCGACTTTTCCCTGTCACCCGATTTGTCAACGCGCGCTCACACGTTACTACTGTATCTGAAGAGCTCTGATTCGGCGTCACACAGAAAGTTGCTTGGCGTGTACTCTTTTCATCCCTTGTAGTAGCCGTCTTTCGCAATCCTCACTATCGTACGGCCTTGCCTCTCTGATTAAGAGGTCCTATCCAGGGTTACACGGCAGAAATGTTGTGTGGTGCATGCCTCCCTGAAGCATACTCACGAATAAGCTTTCTCCAATCCCTATTAGATACTAAGTGATGGATATCACACCTCGCTGGGAATCGATTTGTATTGGGCGGTTTTCTCGGGTGCTGTACCACCTAGACCACGGGACGACCGGAATTGGAATTACAGCCCGGAATCCCTTTTCGGAAATTAAATCAGTGAACTCCCCATCGGTCCACCACGACTTCACACCGCCTACTGCATGACCAGGCAACCCCGTTGACCCCTACCACGGACATCATGCATTCATGTTACGGGCGCAAGAACGGTTGAGCAGTCCCAGAACATACCGTAGTCTTGTGCAGTTGCGGGGGATATTCCCAACCTAGGGCGAGAAGATTCTATAGGGTGTGCCCATTGGACGACCGAGGCGACCGGCGTCGTGAACAGTGCAAGTTTGCGTCCCTGATTTTCGGGAGCCTGACTTTCGGCGAAAATATCAGCCGATCCAGTGAGAAAATGGGCCCATTTCCTCACTCACCGGCCGCAATCCTTGGAAATATTCGGGCTGTAAGAAAACCGGCGCTAGGATTTTGCCATTTTCTTCCGCGTAAGAAACTCAAATACTTTTTTGGGCTAAGAAAATGACCCCCCCAAAAAACAAAAGAAACAAGTGCTTGAGAAATGGCCTCAAGCATCGAAATACGCCATGTTCTGATCGTGCTTCCAAAACATTTGATTCTCCCACGGCCAGCCTGCATCGCAGCCTCTGCACCTTCATGAGCACGCCAATCTTGACCGCGGGTACCAGCGAAATCCCTCGGAGGGCTTCTCCTCCTTCCAGCCCCAGGTACGCCAATAATAGTGCGTAAAGCGTTCGAGTTTGGTTGATCAAGTTCACGAAGCAAACGTACGTGGATAATAATTCTGCTATAGCCCTTCACCGCCGTAGCAATATTGAAAACCTTGAAGATCTCGTTGTGAAAATATCGCTCGCTCATGGTCAAGCTCGCCACATGTTCCCCTATATTTATACGACCGGCAGAAACACCAGATGCAAGATCCAGGGCTGCACCAGTTCCAGGCGGAACATTTCCAGGCCCAGGCTTACCAAAATCAGGTGTGCGCCCCTTGCCTGCCAACGGAGTCAGTCGTCGGCTACATTGGCCAGAAACACCGTAACTTTATTTCACTGGTTGCCTTCGCCACCTCTGCCTTCCTGGGTATTTGATTCTACACCAAATCGAAACACGTCGGCGCCTGTTGTTTTCAACTTTCGCCGTCGAGAAGTTGCATGCTGCAGTCGTCGGTAGACCGTTAATTTGCCTCTGATCACGCTCTCGGCGGTCGTCTGTATTCCGGCGCCGTGGGGTTGTTGTTGACAGTCAAAGTCATCTGTCTGTGTGCTTCATGTGGAATTGAACAACTCCCCATTACGCGCGTCGAAACTGACAGCAATCGGCGAGTCGCGGGCCCCTGCCGGAGCAGCACTTGCCACGACATCAGTATCAATCTGACCACGTACCCGTCCAGCGTCAGCATTTCAACCAGGTCCAGGTGAGCGTGACGAGTTGTGCTTACCACGCTTTTGAAGGACGATGGCGAACACTAGGCGTGGATGGTGAACAGAAATATGCATACCTCTCGCGACGACGCCATTCTCTATGGAGCACCAATTGCGCGCCCCTAACTTGCTTCTGCCCGTCGTTCTCTGCTGTGTTCGACCAGATACCGCAGCACATGCACCCCCCTCAACACAGTGCTCACCATTCGTTCCATCAATCGCATCAGCAACAGCCACCACAACGGCCGCACCAGGGACACCCTCAGCAGCAAGTATACCACCAGGGGCAGCAGCTGGACATGAGTCGGCAGACGAGCCAGGCACAGCAGATGCACATGCATCAACACCACCTGCAGATGCAGCACCCATCGTCTGCGTTCATGATGCCGTCGCAGGGTATGGGTACTGATCCAAGAGGGGCTCGAGGGGTTGGGCTAGGGGGGTTACCAGTACAGATGGCAACGCCGTATCGCGACGAGCAGCAGCAGCAGCCACCACCGCCGCCTTCTCAGCACCAGGCAGGCATGTCGGCGCCAGGCGCATATGGTGTTCAGTCTCCAGAAACACACCACAAGCGATGAGGGAAATGCCGCTCTGTGGAGGTGATTGGTTGATTGCTGTTTTGCGACAGCCAGGCTTTTCATTTTTGCATAAGCTGTAGTGTACCTTTTTTCAGAGAGAAATCGTTTTTGTTGTCACAGTATGGCGAGTTGTTGGCGATGCACGCTAAGGATTTCTTGCAGGACTTACATGTACCGTCGAGCTACACGCTACACGTGGCCCGCGTCTCGTTCCATGGCGTACTGACCCTGGCTGATCCACAGTTTAAACAATCGGCGTTATGTGCCGTCGATTCCGTAGTGACGTAGCGACGGACCATCGTAGCGAACCAAACTACTGGCTGTAAGTTCTTGAGTGACTTGTACAATATCGCGAAGTAAATTCACTGCCTTTCGAGAGGACGTGCAAAAAAGCTGGATTCGATCTTCTTTTCACGATTCTGTGTAAACTTCTACGATGATGCCATTGTTGAGCGAGAAGTTGGACACAGTTGGTGCTCTGCAACACAGTAGCAAAGTGTGTGCGTTTGTGTGTTTCTGCGATGGTGCCGATCTAATCTGCGTGGTCGAACGATCTGTTTCTACTTGCGTCGTAGATTGACCATATTGCTGCTATTAGTGTTCGTTTTTTTGCGAAAGGTAGGAGTTCCAAATCTGCGAGGGGTCTTCGATATTTACCGCCTGCAGTAGGAGGCGTGTAGGTTCAAACCTTGGTTTTGTAGGCTCCCTGCGAAAGAGACTCAAGACATCATCACTTGATTATTACCGCCGTCGCAAGAAGATTTCGGGAGACGTGTGTCGCTTGCGAAGTGTTGGAGTCGAGAACAGGAGCAATGGTCGAGGAGCTACTCTACTGGGTACAGGCTTCCGTCCACGCGTGGATGAAAAATTCTCCAATGACTTCTCGAATCTAACGTAGAGTCTTACGCTTATTTGCTGGACAGATAAATCATCAACGCGCGTTGGAGTACGTACATGCGGCCCACTGGGACAACGTAGTAAGAAACATGAGCGTGAGCCTGAGCATATTCAGTTGATTGGAGCTGGAAAATGTTGCTACTGCTGTTGTTTGCTGTGTCCCCGTTGGTTCTGATCTCTTGAGTAAACTCCCTATCTCTTTGCTGCCAAGCAAGCACGGAATTGCTGCCTCGCTTAATTGTTACTTAAGAGTACATGTAGCGGGGGGGGCGTCAACAAAACTCCGGTTGATTAGCACCGTGGCATTGTATAGCACCGGTGAAATTGCTGGGCACAGACTGAATCACCGAGTCGTTCTGTACATTGCAATGCGCCGGTTCCCTCCGAATAGCGCCGGTCGATGCGCCGGGCACATACCGGCGCTATTGAGGGTCCTCCACTGCTTAGTAAAAGAATACGAGAATACGCAGTACATAAGAGTCTAGTCCACGTACGCTCTTTTTATATTATGTGTATTTTCCCGAGTTATTCCTTTCGCGCTCGTTCACGCGAGTACCTTGCCCCGTTGAATCTCCTCGGATCGATGGGAGGCGTTCAACTTTGTGCACAACGAAGGTCACGTTGGTCGCCTTGAGTACACACATACTTCATTCCCCATCCGTTTTATCGTTCCGTACCATACTTGAACGGTTTTTCGCAAGCTCATTACCATGGCATGCTACCAAACCTCGTAGAAGTTCCATGTCCAGAAATTTATTGAAACGTTCGGTCTTTACTGGCGAACAAAAAAAAAGAGAGACCACCTCGTACCTTACACACACCCCGCAAGCCAAACAGCAGTCAGCTTGCATGACGACAGCGCGGTCCATCACGCTCAATTCAAGTCCTACTTGCACCGTGCCGACAAGTTCAATACGCATTGGACAACATGGGAGGGCCAGACAAAAGCGTGCACTCTGATCGGGATCGCAATGGCTCGGAGCCTCACAGCATCTGCAGCATTGAGGGCCACAGCACCGTCGATGTTAAAACTGGGGAGTTGCTGTGGGAACCTGAAGAGGTGAGGCTGTAGAGCTTAGATAGCCTACAATAGAGCTTACCAGGCCACTGCTGTCCCATTTACAGCAGTGATGGAGCCGCACGAGCTGTGTAAATGGTAATGCCTCCGGTATTGTCGTTTTCGAAACGTTTAGCTCCCTAAGTCTCCCTCCAACCAAAGGGTGCGTGACGGACGTACTCTTTGCGTGGCTCGGCTGGAAATTGCGAAATTGCACACCTCGGGTTTGCCGGACTTGTCGATGCTGCTGTGTAGTTTGAGCTTGCCAGGAGGTTCGTGACAAAGAGCCCCACTCGCCCTCCCTCGCGACAAGACGGGTGAAGCAGATTCAGATGTACAGAAACCGATCGAGGCGCTGAGGCGTGTGTGGGAGGTGACCGCAAAACGCTGTTGTACCGGCGCATCTGCTCTTCACCAGAATTTATAATTCAGTTGAAGGTCGGTTCCCATTACTGTAGACTACACGTGAAGTTGTGCGCGGCAGAGCGATGCATACAGCAGTTTGGATGCCGATCTATATGCACACATGGCACACGAGCCAATATGGTGCAGTTCTGGTTCTTTTCCACGCTGCATGGGAGTGTGTAACGCAGTTTGCAGTCGCACGCATTCCTCATGCACCACCTACTTGACTATTTGGAAATATCGACGAGTCCATAGGATTGTGAACCCTGCGAAACAACAACAGCTGTAGAGACGCCTCTTGTTGGCAGGTAGGGAGGTAGCTGAACTTGACTCGAACTCCACGCGGGCTTGTCCACCATGTGAAATGAGAACACAGAAACGCTGATCTCGTTTTGGCCGATGGTCGACCAGCCGGTTGTTTGAATCATACCAAATCACCTCGTTGAGCGGCGGCGGACCGGTGGAGTTACGTAAGTGTACCGCAGGTAGGCTGTATGGACCGAGACCGAGACATTTGCGTACGTACTTTTAGAGAGCTGAGGTGTTTGGTGCTTGAGCCGCATCTTGCTCGTGGTGCGCCTTGCAATTGCAGTTTTTTTAGAATACCTACGTAGAAGGTACGAGTAGTACCAACATGGGGTACTCGGAAGATCGATGGCCGATACAAAGTTGCCTTGCAAACGTGCAAAGATGTGCTCATTTTTCACTCTCTCACTCTTAGCTTTCAAGCGTTTTACGTCAGCGTCCAGAGCACTTCCAAAGAGACGGTACTGACCCCATCAACAAATCATTGAACCGCACTCAGACAAAAGCAAGAATTGTTTCGGTGTGTACCATGTAGTGCGTTCATACCATAGAATGCCCAGACGGGGGTATTCCCCTCGGGCGAGTGCGGTTTCGCTCCCCCTGCTGCCAACCTGTCCAAAATCGAAGGAAATCACACTTCGTTCTTTGCTGCTGTTGTCCATACATGTCTCGCACCCCCTCCGAGATTGTTACAGATTGTGCGATAACTTGACAACTTGAGCACCTTTCTTCCGTCAACCGAAGACTACAACACATCCCGTTCAGACTAGAACACATCCCGTTCGACTGTGGGTATATTTCGAACGGGTAGTCTTTTTGTGTGTGTACAAGTGTGTATTGTTGTAATGCAAATACCTTCAGGCACCCTGGGGAGGGAACTTCGATGTGATTACCCCATATTTGCTGGCATTCAGTCGATTTCCCCGAGGTCCAGAGGTAGTTTATCGCACAGGGGAGTGAAAATCACGAAGGCAAACGAACGTATTAGAAGACAACCACATACCCGCGATAGGCGAATCTTACAAACACACAAACTACGTCCAGACGGTTGACCAGAAAGCCTTTTCGAAAACCCGTAGACAGCAAGTGTGCACAGCAGTACATCAACCGAGAAGTGTTGGCTACCAGCAGGTCATGAAGGGTTTACCAAGGAGCCCGTGCGATGGGGTTCCCTCGCAGGATTAGTTGATAGCGCTCCCTGACCTACTTGTGTACACACCAGCAAGGCACTGCGAGCCACGTAGCGTTCTTACTTATACAAAGTGTTAACTAATCAGCGCATCGAACCGCGCACGTGGACCTCCTCCGGTGATGCCGTGATATTGCTGTATGCATACAATTCCATGAAACGATTAGCGCAAGGAGGAGGAGCCGTACACCTGCGCTCGGTCATGCGGCTGTCCAACCCCGTTTGATGGGCACAACATCACGCTCAAGAGCGTGCTTCATTGGATCACGAGCAACCGCGTTGAATGGCTGGCCGGCATCACTACGGGGCTGACCGCCGTGCCCACTGCCGTGGCTTTCGCCATTCTGGCGGGCGTGCAGCCGTCCGTGGGTCTTCGCGGAACTTGGATTATCATGCTTGTGATGGCTCTCTTTGGAGGTGAGGTGCCGTCGTCTCATGAATACGAAATGATGTGGTTTGTGTTACGGAATTTGTTTTTTTATTCAAGTATTTTGTAGCTCGAGATGGTCTTTTTCGTAGCGCGGTTGAAGCAGCACGCGGGGAATGGTGGTGTGGTCCAATGCGTGCGTGTCATGAGGTGAGGTTTTCGTGGGAAAATGGTGCGATTGTTCATTACTCAGTATTGAGCTCTTCTTTTGTTTCCCCTCGGTCTGTACTCGTTTTTCACGGCTTGCTAAAGATTAAGGACAGGAACATCGAGATGCTCAGTGACGACGCGTGGGTCAGTGGGGCTCGACTTGTGCGCGGCATCAGATACTCGCTGGACGGTGGAACATATGTCCAGCCCCCATTAAGCGGCTTCCTCTCCTCCTCGTACACCGACCTGTCCCACACGACCGATTCGACGACGTGCAAAACGCGGGGGGAACCTCACCCTCACCCATGCACTCTTGAACTCCCTCGCCCCCCCCCCCCCCCCATTTCCGCGTGCGTCCTCCGGCCGTAGAATTCAAAATTCAAAATTCAAAATTCAAAATTCAAAATTCGATGTGTTTGTGTTGCTGAGACCCTGAGAACGGCCAGTTCCGCCTGAAAGGGCGCATGCGGCCTCTCCGTCTTCGAAAACGCACCCCCCACAGGTCCATTGCTGGCTGGCTACAGGGCCGCCGTAGCAAACTGAAGGCTTGATCCCTCCCTTGATACGCACGCGTTGTATTTTTTCTCTGCTGTCTGATCACCTGATGATCAGGGCGCACCGGTATGGTGTACAGCAACTCGGGTAGCATGGGCGTGATCATAGAGCCTTTTGTGGCTGATGAAGGCACGGAGATGGTGTTCTACGCCTTTATGCTGGCCGGTATCATCCAAGTCGCGCTGGGCTTTCTAGGCGTTGCGAAGCTTCTCCGCCTGATGCCCGTGAGCGTCATCATCGGCTTCGTGAACGGACTGGCCATCGTTCTCTTCTTGGCGCAGATGAAGAGTTTCCAGGAGGGCCTCTCTCTCGGGGGCTCTGGCGGCGACGACGACGAAGGCGACGACTCCAGGCGCCGCCTCAACAGCTTCTCGGTGTTCACTGACGGTTCCGAGTGGCTGAGCGGCTCACAGCTGTGGTACACGCTGCTCATCGTGGTCGTCACCATGATCACGATTGTCGTGTACCCCATGCTGACCAAGAATTTGAAGGGAACCTGGGCTGTGTTGAAGATGCTCCCTCCTATCCTGGTGGGTATCATCGTGGCTACGGCAGTGGAGTGGGTGATCGTGCGCTTCGCAGCCGGACACGACGGGACGAGAACCTTGGAGGACATTGCCAACGACGTCGGCTCATTCCCACAGCCTGCGTGGTTCGACGACGAGTTTGACATGCCTCCCCTGAACGGCAGCACGTTCGCGACAATACTCCCAACGGCAATCAGCCTCATGGCCGTGGGACTTGTGGAGTCTCTGATGACGGTCCGCTTGGTGAACGAGATCACGCAGACGTCATCCAACATCCATCGCGAGGCTATCGTGGGCGGCGTGGGCAACTTCGTGGCCGGGGTGTTCGGCGGTCAGGGCGGGAACTCAGAAATCGGACTCACGATGGTGAACGTCGAGTGCGGTGGGCGGACGCGCATCGCTGCGACAGTATCAGGGCTTCTCGTGCTTTTCGTGGTGCTAGGGGCATCTCCGGCGATCAACCTCATCCCACTGGCAGGGCTCGTGGGTGTAATGCTCGTTATCGCTTTCAACACGTTCGATTGGGGGAGCACTCTGATGGTGCTTGCAGCTGCGCTCCCGGAAAGGTATCGCTCGCACAAGGCGGTGTTTGAGAAGAAGATCTCGCGCGCTGACGCCCTGATTATTGTGGTGGTGACTGTGGCCACCCCGTTCACGAATCTGGCCATCGCGGTCGGCATCGGTATCGCCGTTGCGTGCCTCGCGTTCGTGTGGAAAAATTCGGAGGCGGTCACCGCCCAAAGTTACTTCCGTGCAGGTTACGACGTCAAAGATCCTGCAATCATTAAGGTACGCTCGCTCGAGCTTTTTGAGGAAAAGAGACACTACTGTTTAGTCGTATTCTACTTGCGAAGAATGAAACGGCCTCACTTCCTCAACACTGCTGTATGTTCTCCTTTCCATATTTCACATTCTTTTTCGACGCCAAGGTTTACGAGATCATGGGCAACCTTTTCTTCGCATCCAGCGAGACGTTCCTCAACCTCTTCGATCACCGCAACGACCCTCCCATGGTGGAAGTCCATTTGCACACGGCCGATATCGAAGACTTCAGTGCCATGAAGACCCTCGAGACTCTTGGAGAGCGCTATGCGAACGCCGGCAAGAGGCTCCGCCTGCGCAGGATAAAAAAGGAATCTCTGCGCGTCCTGACGTAAGTGGCAACCGGATTAGTGCGGTCTGGAGTTGGTCCTAAATTTCTACTCCTGAACTCACCAACCTCCTGTAGTGTTTTGTCTAGTCTGCGCACAAAGTCCCCCCAACCAAAACTCAACAGTCAACGGTACACGTCTTGACCGCCAATGGGAACCTGAGTTAGGAGACGGCAGTTATTTGTCACCGTCTACCTAGTGCTGCACGCCGCTCACCCCGCTTCATCCTCACGTCCCACTTCACTCTAAATTCCAGCAAGGCCCAGGCACTCATGTCGGATGATATGGACGTCGTGATGGACGAGGACCCGCTCGTGCCCCAAGTGTCGCGCCACCCTAAGGGCGTGGGAGAAGCCCTCATCATCAACTTCTTCGACAGGGACCCTTACACTCGTCGCCACAGATCCCGGTCCATGGCAGAAGTAGCGTACCCGTCGCCGGACGACGCTGTTGTGGCCACCGCTGTCACCAACGGCGGTGGCGTGCTGAGCACCGCCTCTGGGGACTATGACCACGGTGGTGGCGTCCCGAGGCTCACGTCGGCTGAGGTTTAAAGACGCTAAAGGCACTGCTGCTTTGACGGCGTTCGTCGGAACGGGCGAATGCATGGCAAATGTGAAAGTTGTGGTTGTGCGTTTTATGTTTAGGTGAGCGCCGGATTGAAAACGACGGTCGGCGCCCCTCGTGCTTTGTGTCGTGCAAAGCTTGCGGTCTATCGCTGTCATTGTACGCAGATGCATTTCTGTCTCATACATGTTGACCAGTTGGATGAATCTTGGGCGAGTCGAGGGGAAGAGATTGAGGCGTCGGAGTCGTTTTTTGCTGCGCGTACGGCAGTGCCCTCTATTTTTGATTGCCTACTTTTGGAATGCGCTGCTGCTCCTGTAAGTTTGTTTTGGGAGAAGAGAAACGACTGCACAAGTTGATACAGGTACAGCCTCTGGCGGGCTCCACAGGTAAGTTAATATCGACTTTTGAAGACTGACGTTTACATACGAGCACAAGAGCGGTTTTTGAGTGTTACATTCGATTTGTCGGGGGTTACGTACCTCAGAGCGACACTTGTTTGCAATTGTGTTGTTTTTTTCTTCTTGTCAACGGGATTTTCAGATTTTCATCCCTTCCTGTATATGGTCTGTTGCCGCAATCTGCGCAACTGTTAAACTATTTTGTGTTTGACTTGGATTTGCTCGGGCGAATGTTTTTTTTGGTGTGCTGTGCTTGGCGTGTAGAATGAAGGGCCCGTGGTACAATCCCGTTCCGAACCGTTGTGTAGGGCCATCCCCTTCCAAGTGCAATATGAAGTGTCCCTGCTTGGGTCATTCAAGTGGGACACGAAGTAAGATGCGCTTGGTAAATTGACGCTGAAGAATAAATACGCTGCGAGTTCGAGTGTCAGCGTCAGAAACATTGAGGACACCTTATTCTTCATGTGTGCCGGAGAACGCCAACTGCGCCAGTGCGTACGTGGGTGGCTCAGACGGCGCGATTAGATGGGTGTTAACTGTTGACACCATTTTTGATTTTGGAGACAAGCAGGGAAGTGGATCTAGGCGTTACACGGACAGTTTTGCGCTGTTGCCGTCGTGCCTTGTGTCGCGCGACGTAGGCCTGTGCTTTGAAACGCATGGGAGGGTTGGCAAGGATCAAGAAGGGCCAGCGGTAACTCAACGACCGGGTGGAATGATAGTTATCCATGTCGGTGGGGGAACATTATGCGCACCATCAGTAAACGAGACTTTAACGAACACCACGATCTCCTCGTGGAACGTCCATGGTCGATGCCGGATGAACTGCCCTAGGAAGGCGGGTGAGACGCGTACGGATACCGATGCACGGGTGCATTAGAAAGTAGTCAAAAGTTCTGGCCAGGCCATTGCTTGTGATGTTTCGCATTTGTGTCCCACGAGTTTTGATCGATCAAGAAAAACGATCAGGCCCGAGCAGGATTTACGGCATGCATATATGTATTTCGTGAATTATGTTTCTTCGGCGGGGTGCTACTGCGTGCTCACGCCAAAAACAAAAAATGGGGGGGGGGGGAAGTGCGTGACTCGTTGCCACGGCTTCGGGGCCAGCAAGTCACAGCAGCACACAGGAACTCAGACAATCAGTTGAACGGAGACCACACCCTCGACTACGAAAGGAAGAAGAAACTGGTCTAACTAACTCATTTGATCTGAACAACAAAAAGACGTCACACCGGCACAAATCCTTTCTTGCTTTGGCGCCACTTTTTGTCGGCACCTCAACATTTCATCACATGCCTGACCCTTTCGCTGGACTTGGAATCGACTCCACGCAACCCATACTCACGCCACTAAGTTTCTCTTGTGCGCTGGCTGCATGATCGCAAGATCCAACCAAGACCCCAAGTCAACAGTCAACACCACTGCCCCTTTTTCACAGTGTCACCTCCCGACACAGCCGTCAGCCCAAATCTAACAATAGCCATTCATTCGTGGTGATTTAACTAATTTTCTCTTACAATCGCGATCGCGCCTACATCAAGCAACCCCTTTACGGACCGAACACCCCGCCGTGTTATATGCCATAGCGCCGGGTGTGTTGTAAGTATCGTCAACGACTACCACGGCGCGGGTCCCTGCCCGACCGTTCACCGCCCTGCCACTCGCGCTCGCGCGACCTCGTTACACCCCTTTCCCTCTCTCTGTCCCTTTTTCTTCCCCTTCGTTCGCGTTCCCGCTCCCGCTCCCGCTCCCACTCCCGCTCCCGCTCCCTCCTGCCGTTCGCCGGACTCCGCCTCCTACCCCCCCTGGGGCTTGGGCTACGGGTTTTGACGTGATCCTCGAGGCGTCCCCGATCTGCCCGCCCCGCTCTGCCAGTCCTCTCTACCGACACGGCGCCATACCCTCCTGGTGGATCAGGCTTGAGGGGAAGCTGTACCGAGATGTGGAGGCCCTCGCGTGGCGGGGAAGGGGTCGCGACGCCCCTTCCTCGCGCACGCCTGCTTTCGCGTGCCTTGTCGGCGTGCGAGCGGCGGCCCGCACGCTCCTCCTCCTTCCTATCCCTCTGTGGACGGCCGTGCTGGCTAGGGTGTCCTGAAGGGCCGCCTCTAGGTGAAAGCGGCGGGGGAGGAGCATCGGCGAGACCTCTGGGCGGGGGCGGGGGAGGTGGAGGCCCCGTGGGCGCATTGGCGGCGGCGAACGTGCCGCGGAGCTGATCCGGCGTAGCCACTCCCATCTGCACCTTATCTAGGTCACCCCGCAAGGTAACCCACGCATCCAGCTGCACGCCCGTGTCACGTCATGTCATGTGGCAAGGATCGAGAGGGAGGCCATGAATGGGATACACATTGACGAGGTTACTAGGTTGACACACGATAGGAAATCGATCGGTGGCAGAGCCAGCAGCTTTACCAGCATTTTCTCCGGGTTGTGTGCAGGATCATCTGTACAGCTCTGCAGCGGCAAGTCCAACACAAAAATAAATCCAACCGGGACTCCTCAGTGCTCTCACCCTTTCGTCATGCTGCCCATGCCTGGGCGCAAAGTAAGGGCTCGCCAGGGCGTCCCTTGCACTCAAGCGATGTCGCGAGTCGAGCTTGAGGAGACCTTGCAACAAGTCCGCCAGCGCTGGGTCGAGGGGAACGCCTTTGTTCCCCTCCGCCGCAAGAACCTTCGGTTTCAGTTTACATGATTTTCCATGATTGCATGGCGGAGACAAACGAGACGAGCGAAGAAAGAAGGTCATCGTTTGGTGGTTGCACGCGTGAGGGTATGAAACAGAAGACGATAGAAGACGGGGGGGGGGGGGGCGCAATCCTAGCGGCCACGAGCTCGATAAAAAACACAAGTTTCTTCCAGACAGGCATCGGTTCGCCTTCCAGAGCTGCTGCGGCTGAGTCAAAGCAACGTGAAACAAGTCATTCCAGCTAGACTGGTGTACACTCTACATTGAGGAGACATGAGACGTGAGACATGCCTACAGACTGCGGAGAACCAACGCTGCCGTACCTTGTCGAGGCGGGGTTTGAAGTGGAGGCTCTTGCCCTCCTTGTCCACGGGCCGCAAGTGCCGGTATAGGGGGGCTTTGTTCCCCTCCGGCCACCGGCCCTGGCCGGGAGAACCACAGCACTTGAAGACGTACTCTAGTTGCTGCTTGCGCGTACGACCGCCGAATATGGGTTTACCCAGGGCAAGCTGCGCAGCGAGGCACCTGCCGAATGAAGAGCCGGGTGGTGCACACCGCCCGGGGAGTGCGAAAGGGTCCGGTTCGATCATGTCAAGGTGCGCCACACGACAAATGAGAGCCCGGGCGCGAAGCGTATGTGGAGCGATCCGAACAGGATTGATTGTCCGCCACCGCCGCCAACGTGACCGCCGACATTGCGTTATCTTCTAGAACAGAGACCGCCACACCAACCTAAGCCCGTTGTCTTGTCCACACGCCGCCGACCAAGTGACCTCAAAACAACTTCATCACTACGTGAGCGATTGATGCCCATGGGCGCCTAACTTGACGGGAAACAGAGCCAGCCTCGGGGGGGCAATCTCACCCCACTGCCCAGATGTCCGTTGCAGGACCATGGGGATGCTTCTGGTCCACGATAACCTCTGGAGCCATGCCCCATAGCACGGTCTTAGCCGGCTCGCCGTCTTTCGTCACAGCCGCAACAGCCTTTTCGCAAGGGTGTAACCGAGAGTAACCGAGAGACACAGAGACGCGTTACAAATCGTTGTGGGAATTCGTTTACGAATATGTATTCTTTTAACACTGCGCGCCATCACTTCACGGGAAAGGGGGAGGGAGGTGGCCAACGTTACCGGTCTGCGGTGTGACCAGAAGCTGACCGCCTATGTTCACCGCGGGCACGCCTGCCTACATGTGCGAAACGCTGCCAATTCGTCACAAACGCAAGCGACACCGTCGATACAAACAACCTAGACGTCACCTTTTTACAGGCGTTCTCTCTTTGCAGCTTTTCCTGCTTCATCCGCAGCTTCCCTTCTCTGTGCGCCGCCTTACGGCCGGCCGGGGTCTCCTGAGACGTCCACACCAGGGGGGAAGGGACGGCGAGGACAAATACGGAGTGTCAAGATGTCAGGATCACCAGACAAGTAAATACCGTTGCGAAGTAGATACAAGGACACGCGGCCCTGCTACATCCCGCAACATGTGCGCATTGCCGAACGCATCGTTTGTCATTCGTGGTGAGCTTTCTCCTCTTGCCTCACCTCAACTTCCATGTCCACCTCTCCTTCCACGTCTTCATCAATGCCATTCATCCCATCGTTGGGTGCAGTCGCTGCGTCCTTGGGGGCCACCATCATGGCCTGGGCCAAGCATCCCAGCTTCAGGCAGCCTGATACGCTGAGATACACCTGGGACAAAACCAGACAGATTGCATGCATCAACACACAAGACAAGTGTCACTCACACAAGCACGTCACGAAATGTCCGATAAAAACACCGCCTGGTGAGAGGAACTTACGGGATACCGGCAACGACAAAGTCAAGCCAATCGCGCCAATCAGTGTGGTTCCTCTCGGCAGTCACGATGGTGCTGTCGTCCGTACAAAGCACCCCTGCAACGAGCAGAGGGCGGAACTGTGAACAGCATTGGCCCACCGAAGATTCGGTGCCATGAGGCGCGTCAATCGCACGTCACGTCTACTTTCAGCTGTCAACGGATTGAATGCACAACGCAGCAGTGAGGCTTAAAAATCGAGTGATGTGCATCGTGACGTGCACCGAGGTACTACGTCATAACGACGACTATTAAGTTGTACCATCCTCACCTTTTCTGCGTCCAAGGATTTGATGACGACGTTGCGATCATGGCAGAGAGCAACCGCACCCAAAAGGTCTTGCAGCATGGATCGCACTAGGGGTCCAGGGAGAACCATCGGGCGGCGACAGAGCCTCAAGATCTCCGCGAGCGTGTAGCGAACAGGCTCGAGAAGCAAGTAGCTCGGCTTGAGGAGCTCATCCGGTATCTTGGAAACGGTCGGATGGAAAACCAATCACAAGACAGCGAGAGACAGACACGCGAGTAGGGGGGCATCGGCCGCCACTAGTGAGCATACTGGTGAACCGAGGGAACTGGGACAAAGAGCCGTCGGTGCGAGGCGGAGGATGGTTTTTGTAACTGGCGGCTGGGTGCAGCACTGTAATAAGACGCGCACAGGCTTGTCCACGCTCTCATGCCCCCAATGCGACGACAAAAAGCCAGCCGCAGGTGGTACACGACGCGAAGTGTCGACTGACTCAACGAAAAAGCGAGCACATCCCTGCCTTACCGCCAAAACAGCCGCCTTTTGAAGCCACTCGCCGAACACAACATCGCACCGGAAGAAAGACCAAACTCCAACCTGGTCTTGAATCAACCAACCAAGCGTTCACACACCTTCGAAGGGCTCGCCTTCTCCCCGTCCCCCTCACCACCTCCGCTGGCAGCCGGATCCGCGTCGGCCCCTTGCTGCAAACCCAGCGACATCGGCACGCCGGCGATGCCCAGAGGGTCCATGCCTATCACGGCCGTCGTTATCTCGTCCGCCGCGAGGGGTACGCCTTCGGCAGCAGCTCCAGCACCTTTGGCGAGCTTTCCGGCGGCGTTCCGGTCAGACGAGGACTTGGAAGACCCTGGTGCTCCGATCTTCGCCGGTGGCTTGAGCCCTGACAAAAGAGAATGCAATGCCAAAGACGTCGACGGAGAAACAGGCGTTATCACACAGGATGCGCCTAAAAACAAAAACAAAAACTGCACGGGCGAAGAGGCACACGGTCGAACTATAAGCTAGGACACATGCCGGCACCCTGGCACGCCACAACGGTTCATGCTCGGCACCCTTGCAGCAACAACTTGGACCTTCGTGTCTTTGGCGAGACATGCCATATCATACCGCTTCGTGCTACCCATCGTCATCATGTCTAGGAGGGACGTGCAGAAAAGCGGGCACGCAGTACTGCTGTACCTGTTCCCTTCACCACCGCGAAGGGCACGAGAAGGGTGCTGTGTCCGCTAGTGTTGGTGCTGTAGGAGTGCATCTCTTGAAACAGCGCCAGTTCAGCCACTCCCGACGAGCTGAAGCCGCTGGCCATGTCCATCTCCTACGTGGAAGGAAGGAAGGGAGGACCCAGGAAAGGCAGGGCAAGACGACAAACGCGCACATACAAGAGGTCACAGGCGGGGACCATGCGGTGCATGCGCCCAAAGACGCCGACAACAACATGATACTGCCCAAGGTGAAAGCAACGGGTACAGTACTACAGCGTTCGGGTGCTCTATAGTGAAAGTCCCGTGCGTACTCAATACCAAATAATACACCGCGTGCACATACACGAAACGGAGAAGTTGGATGCGAACACATGGACCACATTTCTCCAACCATGAGCACAACGAAGTCCCAGCCTCCACGAAACAGCAATGCATGTACATACATACAGTACGCCAAGAGTGTCCACAACTCGTCCACAACTCGTGCACACTACCTACGTACCAATAAAAAAAAAAGTGCTGAATGATCAAATGCAGCCAATCGAGAGCACGACAGAGCAAAATCGCACCTTCTTATCCGCCGGCCACCTCTGCAAATATATCTCCATGGTCCGTCCCTCGTCTACTCCCGGCAGCGGTCCTTTCACGGTAGACCCTTTCCAGGCGTCTAGAGCAGGCAGGAGACAACTCAACCCGGCGGCCTTGAGGGTCTGGCGTCGCAAAAAATGGGTGGTGCGGGCCGTGGTCGAAAACGAACAACAAAGAGTATCGAACCTGCTGCTGAGAATAGAAGCACTGGATGGTTTGCCAAGTGCTGTTCTTCCGTTGGGTGTCTTGCTTCCAACATGCCAAGGCAACTGCTGTGAGATAAGGTGCACATTCTACAGGCAAGGAGTGAATTGACTGTCTGCAAGTAGGCATCAGAGCAGCAGAACCACAGAAAAGAGCTCGTGCATGAAACCCCACTGCGGTCGAGTACGTGATTGTTTCCAACTTGGCTGCCCTCGGTCACGCACACTCTAGCTACACAGATACGTGGCGGATGGATGGTGCTGCCCGACAACCCAGAACCAATAAAAAGAAGAGGGACAAGAGGGATGGGTTGAGGGATGGACCAACGCACATCTTCCCGTATGGCCGCGCGAACGAACTTGTTGGACGCCAGCGTGGCTCCGAACCCCGCCAGCCCCTTCATGCCCTGCAAACCTCCAAGCCCGCCGTGCAGCCCTGCCCTATCCTGGGCCTTTCTCATCATCAGCAGGTCGGTGGTCCACACCTGAAGCACCACGACGACACACAGCAGACGCGTCGCCAAGCAAGCAGCGGGCGAGCGATGGGTACGTGGGAAGGAGGAGGCACTCACAACATGAATGCATGCATGCATAGGATGTGCGCAAACAAGGCCTCAGAGGGGTAGGTGCTTGGCTCGCTTGACCTAGGCTTGCTTGTCCCATCCATCTTCCGTAGCAGCAGGAGACCGCCATCCCGACAGGACGGACAACTGTCAGTGATCGCTCTCGAGGCACCCGCCATGGAAGAGGGCCCCCCATCACTCATCATGGAAAAAAAACGGACAACAATCGCACCAGCTACCGGATGTACATGTACATGACTTGCGGAATGAAAAGCGAGGGTGCATCCCTCCCCGTGACCCTCTAGCATACCTGCTTATCAGCCACAGCGTCCTCCGCGCGCCGCCTCTGGCTCAGCCGTTCCTTCGCCGCCATTAGCGGACTCTCGAACTCGGGGTACTGCGATGGGTCGACGGTCGGCACCTGCCTCAACGTAGCGGCCACACCGTCCGGTCCGGCATCGACCTTGTCTCCCAGGGACGGTAGGGACCTCGCCAGGGACTGAGTGCAAGCCAGCACTGCCGGCCACGTGCCCCCAGCATTCACCGAGAACTGCTGAGCCTGGTTGTTCAGTCGGAATCGGGCACACCGAGATGGCTTAAGGTTGAAAAAACGCGAACACTTCGTTCTTTCGCTGGACCCGTGTGGTGAAGGTGCGGTCTTTGCCAACCGAATACGACAACGCAAGCAAAACACGTCAATCGCGTCAAAACATTGTGCGTGTCGCAACAGAATACGAACGGTTGACGTGAGACGTACCTTGTTGAGGAGATCATGCTGGTTGGAAGTACTCCAGATGGCAAGCAGCAAGGTCGACAACGCCACCACATCCGGCTCGAACCGCAGCCACGCCGAGCACCCTTGCGTGACCGATTCCAGCACAAGCGATCTTGTCTTCTCATGGCACTCGGCAGTGATCAACTGCGTCAAGACGAAAGCCATGGCCCCAGCAACGACGACACGTTAGGGAGGAGTGAGCGGAGATAGAATAGAGAGATTTCTAGCACAGAACAATACAAGTCTGTTTCAACTGCGCGGCACTGCTGTCACTCGTTTCGCCCTCAAGCTTAAAACGACAGAGAAATATTTCGGGGACAACAATTTGTACGACATCAAGGAGCAGCTAACCTCGCCTGCAACACCCGCAACAAACTGCACAGCATCCCACCCCCCCCCCACCACCAAAACCTGCTACGTCAGCACCGCCCGGTCACCTGCTGCCGGCGCTGTTGGTCGAGCGCCTCGAACGGATCCGCCAGGTGCAAGTCGAACCCCAGCGCCACCATCACTTCTAGCTCCGCCGCGGCCAGCTTGCCTTCCCACTTCACCACCTCCGCCGTCCCCTTCTCCACCGCCCTCCCGCGGAACTGCACCCCGTAGGCAGCCCTCAGGAGCTCCTCTCTTCTTCGGGGACGCGCCACGCCTACACGGGCCCGGAGGGACTTGTTCGCCAGCAGCAGGCACGCCGTCGCGAGAACGTAGAAGTTTGTCTCCAGGCGAGCTCGCCCCCCGCTGGCCGAAGCGGCGGTGCCTGTGGTGGCGGTGCTGAAACCGTTGGTGGCGGCAGTGCCACCACTACCGTTTGCTGCGTGGGTCATGTCTTTGCCGTCCTTGCTGCCCTTGCTGCTGCCGCCGCTTTGGCGCCTCTTGCTGCTGCCGCCGCTGCCATAGGTGCCATTGGCGCCGCCGGTGTCCGAGGAGGGTGCCGTGCTCTTCGTGGCGGTGCTTGCGGCTTCCGCGGGCGTGGACACGCAGAGCACGGCCAGGTAGCGGTGAAGAAGTATGCCCTGTTTTCACCGTGTTTTTACAAGACAAAGGCAGAAAGGGGTCTCCAGTTGAGCCGGCCCTGTTGCGTGCTGTTGCATGCATAGGCTTCGGGTATTTCGAAGGCTCCCGGATTCGTACAGAAGTTGATATGAAAGCGCTGCTCAAGACTCTCGATGGCGTTCGTGTGTAACGCATTTTCAGAGAGGTTCTCAGGGAGATTTTGTCGTGAATCGGTCGTGCCGTGCCATAATGCCGAGCCATGTCAAGAATTTCACAAAACAGAGAAAATTTACCGCCCTCGCTCCCAGCACCTACACAACGTCTACACCTCAGCTCGAGCTACTTCCTTGGCGGCACGCACCGCATGGCAGATTAGCGGCGCCGAGTTGACTGCTGTACCCGAGCCACTCTCTGACACCTGCCGAACGACGTGGAGAGCGTTGCGGCGAAGATCTGCAACGACCTTGTTCGCCGCTATCTGCGCTACCACCTCCTTCGAGAAGCAGTGCCAGTCTGTTGGGGAACGGGGCGGAAGGACATATCGATCCATGTATTGTAGTTGGAGAGGAGAGGACACAAACTCAACACAAAAACAGCATGCGAGACGTGCGTACAGCACTCGTAGTCCCGGGGGCGTGTGGTCGGCTGAGACATGTATCACCCGGCAGGCATCAGAGCCGCGTTGGAATACGCGGAGCCATCACAAAGTTCAATGGAGCTGCGCAAAATCGGTTTCGTTCAGGGAGTTCTAGCACGTAATCGTACAGAAACCAGCGAGCAACGTCCCCCTCTCTCCCTCGCTCTCACCGCTGCCGATGCAGGAGCGAAGTCTTGGACGGTCGACCTGCGCCTTAGCGGCGTCCTCTAGGTCCCTGGTCTCGGCCTCTTCCTGCGCCTCGCGGTGTCGCTTACCGGCCAGCCAGTCCTCGAAGGATCTCATCGACACCACCTCGGCGCGGAGTATATCAACCGCCGCACTAACCTTCGCACACAACAGGATCACAAGCAGGGGGTATGGCCAGAACCGGGGGGGGGGGGGTGCGCCCAGCATTAAGAAGAACTTTTCAGGTTGTCTGCTGATGTTAAGCATATAGATTCATCGTAGCGGTGGTCCCTATTTTCGCCAAACATGTATTGGGAAATATTTCAGACGTTGCGGCACAACAGCACCTGCGGTGGAAGACGAGGCATTGTCGCGGGAAAAAAAAAGGAAAGTGGCATATATCCAGCACACGCCTGTCCAGTCAGTCACCAGGCAGAGTTTGAAACCAAAATCGCAACCTGCTGTCAGTGGTTATAAATAAGCAATACCAAACCTCACCAACAAACCCCTCATTGTGCCTTGAAAACCGGCAAGTGACGCACAAGGCGCTCGGCTGGTCCCTGTATCGAAAAAAAACAAGTTATATGTTCCTGTCTGCTGGCTCACCTGGTCCCGCCCCCCAGCAACCCGAAGAAGTCTCTGGCCGGCGGGGCACTGTTTGGCGCGCGCATCTTCCTCGTCGACAAGCTCCAGGAGGTACACCGCTGTTCGTGTCTTGATCCTTTCTACTAACTCAGACCCGCCGTACACCAGTGGGGTGTCCTGTATAAAAGAAGGACGTGCAACATAACACAGAGAGAGAGAGAGAGAGAGAGAGAGAGAGAGAGAGAGAGAGAGTCACGACACGAGACAATGAGCGGTGCAAACGGTGTGCCCGGCACCTCCTGACAAACCGGTTCTTGGCAAAAATATAAACCCGCTTGTACAACAATACCTGGTAAATGGTTTCGTGCTTCACAAAATTACAAGGTGCAAAGCTTGCAGCGTCTGAAAATTGCGTGGCAAAAAAACACAACCGTTTAAGAACGGTAGCAGCGCCAAACACACAGGCACTTGTACGGCACGGCGGGGGCACCTTCAAAGGCACCATGAACTCCTCCGCAACCCGCGGCCCAACCGGCTGCGGCGGCGGTGGCGGCGGAGGAGGCGGAGGGGGGGCACGCGGAGGCATCGGCGGCCCCCCCATCCCCATCATCCCCGAGAAACTCCCCGTTCCGTGCCCCATGCCCATCCCCATGCCCATGCCAGGCTGCATTTGCTGCATTTGGGGCAGCGGTGGTCCGAAACGGCTGGCGAAGTGTCTCCCGTCGCCACCTTGTTGCGGGCCGCCGTAGGGGTGTTGGCCATTCACATTCCCATTCGTCCTGCAAAGATCAATGGTGGAGGGAAGGCGTGTTCTTGGGGAAGGGCGGCGCCGTTTCGCTTCAGGTACTAAATGCGGCCGTTTTTTGCGGATACATAATTGTACCGGCAGTACGGATACTGAATTGGAAGCCTTCCTCGACTTGTTCGACATCTGGGCAGCTGTAGCAGCGTGGAGGAATCGAAATGAACATCAAATGGCCTTAGGCCCAGAGCACCTGTTATGTATGGCACAAGAACATGAAAACGCGACAAAACGACACGACAATCGATAGGAACGAGCAGGCCTGCCCAACCTTCCTCCTTCATTCATTGGATTGAGATTGAGATTGATCTTGATCTTGACGTTGACGTTGACGTTGACAGCCCCACACGCGGTCACAAAGAGATGCGTGGTGAAGCGTTACTTGGGTGCGTACGTAGCTGGCAAACATGAAATGGTGTGTACAGCAGTGCCTGGTAGATACACCTTGACTTGCCTTCGGGAGCCAGACGAGGAGCCCTCAGGCCCCAAGGAAATATCGCCAGCCTGTTCCTTCTTCTTGATTTTGAGCACCCTGTGCCAAGTAATAGTGGTGCGATAGTGCGATAGGCCCCGTGTGGTCTCAACTTGATGATACAGACCACCGGTGTTGAGGAGAAACTGTGCACATACCCTGCGTACTCTCTCCACATTAACACGCCCATGGTACTCTCTCTCTATTGGCGGGGTTGCTACGGATGCTGCCGCAGGGTTCCACACATCGTTTTTCATTGGTCAATGGGAGATACGAATATTAATATTGGGCACGCACGGAGTGCCAGACTCGCAGAATGGTCGGGATATTTGCTTGGCAAGAGTTACAAGAGGCTACACGAACGATCCTTGGCCGCCCCGAATCCCCCTGTGAGCCCATTCAAACACCGCTGTGCCCCCCTCACCTATCGGTTTGCTCCCAAATCTGCCACTTGTCGATACCCTGTATCTTCCCTTGAACGCCAATGAGGTCCTCTTCCAATTCATCAAGCTCCCTCTCTCCTTCCCCCGCATAGAGGAGCATGTGCGTCTTCGTGTCTGGCTTGTACCGTTTCACCTGATGGCATGGTGGTGTCACATTGTTGGTGGGTTCCGCTTCGGATGTGACGGGAACGGACGGTGCAATTCTTCCAAGTAGAAAGGTCGACGATTTACGGCAGCAAGAGCAGCAAGAGGAGCACACCAGGCGCGCCGAAGCTCGGCACGCGCGCGGGCCGGCAGGGTTGAGGGAAGCCTTGAGTGCCACTCGAGCAAACACTACACAACACGCCGACATCGGCGTACTATTCAACAACAGAAGATGGCTGGCGTAAAATTGGAGCGGGTTTGTCCCTCTGCCGCGTCAACTACTGTAGCGTCTGGAAACGGTAACGTCCGTATGGGTGAACAACTTCATCCCTGCTGCTGCTACTGCTGCTAAGCGCGAATGACGGAGCTCATCCGCGAACCCACAAAAAAACGATTGACAACATCACACACCAACCAAGATACCAACGGGTAGGTAAGGTTGCACCGCACATATGCATGCATATGCATACCTGCGCCTCGAAGTAGGTGCAGTCCCCGTCGAAGTACACCCGTACTTTTCGGCCAACAAGTGCCTCCGGGGTAGCGTACTCGTCGTTCTTGGGCGTGCGCCAGACGCCCATCGCCGAAGCCGGGGCACGACCGCGGGCAAACGGACCTCCGCCAGACTCCACGTTGGGGTCTGCGTTAGGGTTAATCACCTCGATCGTTCCCCTATTCGAGAGAAGTGTGGAGCGATGCATTTCGCGGAAACGGGAAAAAAAAAGCAGTACCGCCAAGCTCTCGTTAAGTGCACATGGGTCAACATGCGTAAAAATTAGGGCGGTAACTTATCACGCGGACGCCTGCAAACTGTGTGCACAGAGAACGCCGAGTAGGTTATTTGGTATTTGCACCGTGCACAATCGGTACGGCGCCTCGATTGCTGTTGGACAGGTAACAAAGAGCAGGGATGCGTGTGGAAAGTTCCCCCGTAAAACGCTGGTTCTGTCCCGAGCCGAAAATAAACGGGATCGAGATAACAGAATCGAACACGATTCAGGAACCAATCGGTCCGTCTCGTCTGTGTGCTTCGCTCTCTGCCCACTAGCGCGGCTCTGGTACCCAACACACCCAGAAGCTAGACGCGCGATAACATGACAATGATGGTACATATGTATTCGTCTTCACCTGCATTGCGGCGAGCCACATAGACACTTGGTGTTTTCTCGGAGATGGTGTGCCTCCCACTGATAGTCGAACGACAACTCCTGTGCCGTGCAGAAAACGTCCGAAACGGGCATTGGTACTGGTATATGTTCCGTCTGTTCCTACTCAGGTGCGACAATCTCCGACTTGACGCCACAAACCGCAACATCGTCTCGTAGCAAGTGCCTTCAACATGATATAAAAATGTCTCGTAGAATATAGATGCACAGGATAGTTGACACGCCTAAGGTAATGTGTTTAGAGGATGGGGTCTCCAGATGTCTCTAACACAACCGTACTATTTTGACCTAAGAACGTTGGTTCTATTCGAGGGCATGTTCAAGCCGTGAACAACAGGATAGCTTAACCCTACCGTCTAAGCCTACGTCGAATCTGACGCTACCTACAGCAGCGCATCAGCCCAAAAAATGAACCAAGGGGAAGAAAAAGCCACGCGACGGCCAGTCAAGTTGTTACGACGATTCTGTATGCCAGAAAGACAGACAGTCTAGGTAAAACATTCACACACGCTACCACGCTCAAGCACGACCAAAAAACTGCCACCAACACAGGTACATATGCCTACCGTCTTGCCAGAATGAGATAAGTTCTCCTACAAAAGCAGGACGTGGTCCCAACCACACAGCGTCATCCAAGCATATCCATGAGGACCGGAATCTGAACGATGAACACACCTCTCCCGCCTTCATGGCTCGCAGCGAGAACACCGCGCAGCGCGGCTGGCCCATGGCCGTCCACTGTTCCAGACGGCAGGTGGGTTCACACGAATGATTCACGAACCGAGCGATGCCTCCCTTCCTCTTGGCGTCGAGGTACCTGGACGACATGCACATGCAACATGACACAGATGGCGTTGACACTGCGGTTGTGAGACAAGGCGTCGCGGGCTCAGACTTTCGACCAAACCGACGCACAAGTCGATTTCTCCCGCCAAGAGCTCACTTGTTTTCGTCCAACCTCTTCGACCTAGCAGGAGGATTTTGCTCGTAGCCACGTGAGGCGTCAACAATCAACACATGGAACCAAAAAATCATAAGGGTCGACACAGACACGGCGTCATAAATAGGGGGCATCGCGGAACCACATCAGTCGGAAACATCCTCACGTGTCATCACCGAGCTGCATCATATATAGCTTCCGTGTGCCTGCGCTGGAAATCATGCGCTTGTTGAGCTCCTTCCTCGTGATGATCTGCACATGCACAGGCGGCAAACACGTGGAACATTGACAAAAGAACCGCCCGTTCACACGTGTCAAACAGCAGTAGCAGTACAAAGCCGTGCCTGCCAACCTACCTACCTACCACTTAGGCGCCTCACTGCCCAGAGTGACGGGTGTACAGCTGGATCAACAGCAACAGCAAATCAGCTCCTTACTGTACAATACGACTTCGACTGTAAACAGCAAAGAAAGAGACACGGGCCTCCTTCCCTTACGTACGTACCGCAGTTGCTTGTCGGCGTGCGTGCCATCCAGCGCGGTTGGAACAGTGCAGCAGTACATTCCAGAACTCTTCGTACACTATCACGTCATTGGCACCGCGTCACGCAGAGTACCGCTACCACCCCCCCCACGCAAAAGAACACACACACACGCACACGTGCATTCCTTCACTTGTCTAACAACGAGCCGCGGATACGCGGACTGTTTGTTCTGGTGCTTCTGTTTCGAGGCAGTAGCAACCTCTCACCTCTCCGACGTACTCGGCGATGAACTGTCCTTTGGACACCGGCTCGACCACCTTGAGGCCCATCCCCTTGCCATCGGCCTTGAACACCTCTACCTGTGCGTTCTCCCGTTTCTTGGGGTTTGTGACGGAGAGCAGATCGAATGATACACGGGGCCGCCCACAGAGACCGCGAGGGGCAAGGAGAGATTACACGGGGCAAGTTGCGAGTCGTGGCCAGCAAACAAGCGAAGACATCCTGTGTCAACGAACGCAACTATGTCCTTCCTTGTGGTGTACCAAGCGCTTGCCCTGGGACAGTGCACCCTGCCACGGCACTCCTGTCCGTGCTGCTGCTGTCGTGCTCTATCGTGATAATCATGTCCATTTGGGGTAACGATCAACCAACGGGGAAAGCTACAACGACATACCTCGTTAGCGTCGATAATCACCCAACATCATACATCCCGATACTCACTCTGAAAACAAGTTGGTTCCTTGTCGGCATACACCGCAACGTGCTCGCAGATGCACATTCCTCCAAAAAGTAGTATGCTTACCACACCGGGGGGGCTTGTGGAAATCAAACGGGAGTACAAGTAGGGGGGGCGTAACACAATGCCGCCTTGTCTATTGTGTGTACATTCAACACACCTGGATGCGCTGATTTCGGCAGCCACGGTGACACTGGTCTTTCCTGCACTCCTGCATGGTAACGTAGTTGTGGCACTGGTCGTCGTAGCATGTTGGGGCGTTCGGGTCTCCGCCGACCGGCGTGCAATTGCACTCGTGCTCTTCAAGCTCCCCGCCCATGTCAGCTTTTCGTTCGTTTGCCAGTCGGCGAGCAATTGCACGCGGGAAGCACACGGGCAAGAAAATGAGCGATACACCCTCAGCAGCGCATATGCAAACATGTGTCGACAGACTGATGACGGTGGTGGGGCACGCTGCATGTATCTGGACGTATGCTGTCCGAAGTGGAGTACAGTAGTGTGTACCGCGATATGACCGATAATGGGGCTCCAGATCAAGTTTCCCCCTTCGAAGGGCAACTATGTAGTGCCAACTGCAGTGCCAAAAGCACCACGGCACACCGGTCCTACGCATTTTGTTGGTGAACATGCAGCACCCGTCACTCCTCATCATTAAAAAGACGATGACGCCTCTATGCCCCAACAAGCCTGCTGATTCAACCGTAGCCTTCCTACAGGCAGCAGTGACTAAGTGAGTACACATCGCCAACAAGACGACTCCACACGACTGGCTCGCCCCACCATACGTGCAGCAGCGAAAATATCAACCGCTCAACACCACGGCAGCACCCCCTGCTGGTGCATTGTGGCGCTCTGGGTCACTCCGCCTGGCACCGACTGGTTGCTGTGCAATCAGAGATCAAGCTCCACGCGCAGTATGACGCTCACATTTACCGCCCACGGCTCCTGGACCTCCATGCCCCTTGGTTCCCGGCCCGGGCACATTGTTCTGCAAGAGCTCGAAGTCCTGCCAACTTTCCCTACCCCAGTCGGCCTTAAGGCGATCGAAGAGGGAGGACGAGGACGGAGGTGGCGGCGGCGGCGGCGGCCGCGGCGGTGGAGGCGGCGGGCGATCTGAAGGCGAGTTCGAACGAGACCGGGACCGCGATGGGGATCGGGACCGGGACGAGGAGGATCCCCTCGAGTCCCTTCCCTTTCTCCTGCCGTTGTTGTTGTAGTTGGCGGAGGCACTGGAGGACGGGGATGCGGCGTGACGGCGGGAGTAGCCGCCGCCGCTGTTGGTGTTGGCGTCACCACCACCGTGCTCGGCGTTCTTATGGTGGCCGACCTCGCCGCTCCTTCGCCCTGACGATCTGTTGCTGCCCACGTCTTCTTCTAGTTCTCTCCTGCTGCTCTTGTGCCTGCTGCGGTCAATGTCCATGCCGTTGTCAGAGTTGTCGCCGGCAGTTGTCGACTTCTTGAGCCTCTTGAGCGCGTTGCTGCTGTTGTCGTGAATTTCAAAAAAGTGCGAGACGCATTTTTCGGCCTGGTGTGTGAAAAATGGCCAGACTCGTTCTCGATGGCATGTGGGGTATTGTTCACCGGAGATATCTCATTGGACGGGCCACGCTACCCTTGTACCTTCTTGTCGGATACAATCCGTCATCCACCACGACAACTGTGTTGGCGTGTCGGCGTGGGCGGGAACACCGATGTGTGTGTGTGATCCGCCTGCTGTTGCGCGCCGCAAATTAGCGCTGTGCCCAAAATGTACACTGGTAGGGTTAGTGTGGCGGGCCTCCGACAGCAAGATCGGCCCACAGGATTTACCCACGAACGTACGCAGGATTTGCTAGCATCCAACCAGGCCCTTCGATCCTCACCTCCCGTCCGACTCTTGGTCGTCCTCGCTATCCATCAACACGTCGTCGTCGTCGTCGTCGTTTGCCAGCGCATCCCCATACTCCATGTTTTACAGGAAGGGGGGGCGCGGATCCACAGGGGGGGAGTAAGTTGTCGCTTTGAATCTATGCGAAAGGGAGCGTCTCACGGAAGAGTGAGAGCTCTGGGATACTACTGAGACGACAACCGACAACCTCCTCGGTTGTGTGAAGGACGCCCTAGCACCAAAGCCAAGGCAACAGAAACTAACCCACGCAGCAAGACAAACAAACTGCGAAAAAGGTACAATAGGGGGCCAATGAGCACCGCAAAATGTAGAAAACTATGCGGTATAGTCAGCTTCTTTCCAACTGCGGACCCCCTCGTTGCATGTAAAATGTAACACCCACACCACCGCCCGGCCAGTGGTGCACCACTGGCGCTGTTCTTGTTCTCGCTGTGCACCACTAGTACGAGGAGGGTAGAAGGAGGAGGGACAGTAAGAAAAGGCCAGCATATTATCAGCGGATGTCCTGTGCCAAGCGACAGAGGACCGATTCCATAGGTGAGTTGCGGCGGGGGCAGAAAACCCTCAACCTGACTCTGTGCTCTGTGCACAGTGCACAGCAAGTGCATGATGTAACTTGGCTCTCCGCAGGTCTTGAGGAAATGCCATGAGAGATGTAGGCGTCGTAGTGGCGCTTTGTACTGTATGTCTTGCCTAGATTACTTAGCGGACGCCACAACGTACCACAACATCGTGGTGCTCAACAGAAAAAATAGTAAATTAGACAGCAGTATCATTCAAGACTATTTTACAGCAATGTCATTCACTTGCTACCGCATGAAAAAGTAATCGATCGGGTGCACCGCCGTTTGACCGTTAGACTAAATATTAGCCTAGTCTTCAATTTTGTTCCTGCAAATTTTTAATTTCGGCTGATGTCGTCCTGCGCGGTACAAGAGGGAAGCTTAAGAAATTAAATACACCGACTTTTGTCTGGTCCCCCAAGCCTTCTTCAGAAGATGTTCGCTCTCGCCTACGAGCTTCTCGCACAACTGATCCGTTGCTGTTGCCGTCGTTTCCTGCATCCATCGGTTTTGGTGCAGGCGGGGACATGGCGGCCAACCGCAGCCGGGAGCACATGGGCCCACTCGCCTTAACACCGAGGAATGGTCGCCGTGGCGAGAGCGCCGTAGGAGGAACGCTCAAGATGAACATTGTTTCCTGCCTGAAGCCGAACGAAGCTGACATTCTGGCTATGCTGCTCGAGGCTGTGAAGTATTCCAAAACGGGGACGGTAGTGAGAGTTGCAGGGGGCTGGGTGCGGGACAAGCTCCTGGGTCTCGAGGTGAGGGAATGTATGGGCTCCTGCCTGTACAAGTACTAACGAAAACAAAATATGTAGTAAAAAAATTGAAGTCATATTGCTGCGAACAACGCACTGTCTTATGCATACGCTTTTCAATCGCCCAAGGATGCAAACCGTCCGTCATTTGATAGCGCTCAACCCTCCCCGCGGCATTGCTTAATTTGTATTCTTCGTCACAGAATGAAGACATCGATATTGCACTCGACAACTGCACCGGCGTGGCGTTCGCTGAGACGGTGAACGCCTATTTGAAATCCCAGGGGCGGGACGAGGGCAAGGTTGCCGTGATCGAGGTGAGGTCAACTCTCCCTCGCTCCTTCCTCGCCGTATGTAGCGACGGTTAGGGCGGAGAGAAGCTGATTGATCGATTCATCGGACGACGGAGAGCGAACGCAGAAGGCAGAAGGCAGACGAGCGCTGGCTCTCAAGTCGAAACATAGCGTAGGGCACGTCTTGTCGCGGTGTCGGTGTCCGGAGTGGACGAACGAACCCAGTGAGCCCCTTTGGCCGTCGCACGGCGTTGTGTGCTCGTTGCTCGTCCGAACTCGGTCCGAAGTGGAGTACCCTGCAACAACTGCGCAGTTGCGATGACAACGAAAACGAACGCTACATACGTATCGTACATTTGAGTTTCGCTTGGGTTGAGAGAAGGCCCTTGGCCGCGAGCAGCAATCGATATGAAACCTATGACGGGACGACCCTGCGCGCGACCATCGCCCCCCGTATGCAAACCCCCCCGTGCCCCGTTCTACCCGAAGGCGAACCCAGAGCAGTCCAAGCACCTGGAAACTGCGCGGATGAAAATAAGGGGGGTGTGGGTCGACTTGGTCAACCTGCGAACCGAGGTGTACAGGTGTGTTATCGTTGCGTTACACTCTCTGGCGCTTCTATGCTAGATGGCGAACGCATGCTAGGCTAAGGTTTTACTCGCACTCCGCGGGGCACGACGCTTGATGGTAAGACATTTTGTGAGGTTGGTTACCTTGTAAAACCCCATCAAATACCTCTGCAATCGTGGTGGGCAACACTTGTGGCACCCGACCAGATGGTCCTGTTGCTTTGTATCGAACGCATGGGTGATGTGCCTCATGTCGCCAGCACCCGAAAGCTCGGTACAGGGACGCGACTCTGTCTCAATGGCTGCATCTTTGCATCAGTTTCGTCCACGTTACACCTTGCACGTTACCTTCTGCGTCAGAGAAAGCTCACGCTGTGGATAACGCTGTCGGCACAGATTCGGCGGTTGAACGGTGACGTGGTATGTCAACAACAACAACAACAACAACAACAACAACGGTTTATCCCACGGCGGCCGCTTGTTTATGACGTAATTATCTTCGCCTCCAGATCAGATAGTCGCATCCCTGAAGCGTCGTTGGGTACCGCGGAAGAAGACGCCCTTCGCCGTGATTTCACCCTCAATGCCCTGTTCTACAACGTCAACGAAGGGAAGGTCGAAGACAAGACAGGGAGGTGAGATGAAAGAAGGGGTGTACTGTAGGTCCAGAGAGGGACGACAGGTTTCGGAGTTGGGTGGTGTAAGGTCGAAGTTTGATTTGGGTGGGGGAAAGTACCGCCACAGCTTCGTCATTAGGTGTGATCAAAAGCTGGTCTTATCTGTGTCACCGTCCTTCATCAATGTATGTACGATGTTCTCTGGGCAGCGTATTCTATGCGACGAACTGGTTAGCCGGCCAAACGTAACGCCTTGAGTGATGGTACGGCGATAACTGGTGCTCCCCGTCGCTATTTATGCGACCATGCCCTTCGTTCTTGTCCTGCCCTGCTTGCACCTCACCGTTCGCCGCCCATTGGGTACGCTGTTTCCCCCCGTTTTCCCGCCTTTTGCGGGTACATGTATACTGTAGGGGTGTGGACGACCTTCGTGACGGCATCATCCGCACCCCCCTGTCGCCGATGATCACCTTCCGGGACGACCCTCTCAGGGTGCTCCGCGCGGTGCGCTTTGCGGCACGCTTCGGGTTCGCCTTGCACGAGGTGATGTTTCTTTCTCGAAACGTTTTGGAAAAGCGAGCGACTGGTCGATGTTTCAGCGGGCCGTTAGAGAGCTGGACGAAGTAGAGCCCCACGATCGCAGTTTGATCGCCTACAAACCCTCGGCTTGCATGTACGTATAGGTGATGCGATGCGGATGAGAGACTTCCCCCTTGGAAAGAGAGACAGATGAAGTTGTTGTGGCTTGGTTTTCACTCAAGAATCCCCCGCGTTGGCCTTGACATTGATCCTACAGCAGTACTTTGATTGCCCCGCCCCCGTGCCGTTCATTTTTGACTTTTTTTTCATTTCTTTGTAGGGATGCGAGGTAAGTAGTCTAACGACCACGGCATGTACGGTTTCAGTATACCCCTTTCACCCGCCCCGTGCCCTTGATCCCTAGATCCCTTCATCGTTTCCTGTTGCACTCTAGGATCTGCGCGCCGCGGCCCGGGACAGCGAGATCCAGGCAGCCTTGGGCACGAAAGTCAGTCGAGAGCGGGTGGGGACGGAACTGTGCGGAATGATAACGGGAAAGGTGAGCGATCCATCGAATGACGGGGGCGTTTTCTCGTTTGGCGGTTGTGTCGGCCGCTTGTGCAAGGCTGTGAGTACCTCAGGAGGCATTCTCGCATCATGAAAGGTCGACTTTTGTGCTTTGTATCCTTTTCCTCACACAGGACAAATCGTTGTGAAAGCTCCTTCGCCTGACCAACCACCCCCTGCCAATCGTACGCCGACCCTCCCCGACTGCCGGTGTCTCCCCCCGTCTGATCTCCCTTCTAGATGGCCCAGCCGGCGCTTGCCCTCTCCTTGTTGCAAGACCTAGGTCTCGCCGCTGCTGTGTACGCTCCCCCGGAACACCTGGTTCCACCGCCTGTCGACGGAGGTATTGACTGGGAGCGTGGGGCAGCGGTCGCTCGTGCCGCTGCCCGCCTTTTGGAGTTCCGCTCGAGCGTGACGGAGGCGGGAGAGGAGGAAGTTACGGACGGTGCACCACCGCCGGCAGCGGCAGCGGCGGTGGAAACAGTAGCGCCAGCGGAAGGGGCCGCAGCAGAAGCGGGTCTTGCAGCAGGCGCGGGCTCGAGTTGTGCCCCCAGCGCCGGTGGGGCTCAACCAGGCGGGAAAGCAAGCGCGCCAGGGAAAGAACCGGCTAACATGTCACCGCTGGGGGGGGGGGGGGAGGGTCGGGTGAGCATGGGGGGTAAGCCGGGTTCTCGCGATGGAAAAAAGGAGGCACCGACGACTCTCGTGCGAGAGCTCTTCCTGTGCGCCGCGCTGCTGCCGCTGGCGGGGATGAAACACAAGGCCAAGAAGGGGAAACTTGTTTCCGCAGCCCATTCCGTCGTCGCTGACTCCCTCAAGGTGCTGTATTGCTGGTGTGCTTCAAGCGGAAGTTGCCAGACCTGAGACTTAGTAGTGTTGGCTTAGGACTCCATGCCTGAGTTTGCCAGCGTCAGTTCGCCTTTCGACCACATCCCAATGCAGCAGCACGCAACTTCAGTACCTCGTCGTACCTGAGTAGCTACGATCACATCATGGACAAGTCACATGTCAGCCGTCAAAAACCCTGGTAACCCCCTTCTTTCAAATCGCACCAATGGCAGTCTCTCCCCTCTTTCCCCCCTCTGCGTTCCCTCCGCCTCGCTGTCCTGGCGACCCCATCGAGAAGCTCAAGTCCAAGGAAGCGAAGAACGTGGAAGATATTCTAGATCTCCTCAAGACTTTCCGCCCGCTGGCAGATGCTTACGTGGCTTATCCTACCTCGCCCGGTACGAGCGCGGTGGCAACGAAGATGGAGGTAGAGGTAGACGGGACAGACCGGGAAGGGAGAGCAACGTTCTCGAGACTTTCGGTTGGGCTCGCCGTGAGACAGGTGATGGCGAATTGAATGCGTGTTCCCCTTGTGCCGTGTGGATGCGCGCGATCGTCTTGTGTAAGATCGTTGGCTGGCGGTCTCTTGACAAAGTAACGCCGCCCCCTCCACGTTGGCTGTGCCGTGCTGTGCTACCGCAGCACCTACAGGTATCGGAGTTCATCCATGTCAGTGTTGCGCTGCCTGATCCCCTCCCCCGTAGCACACCGTTGGCATGTCTCGAGTTATGAGGAGCCACCTGAACCAACGTCGCGGTCCATGTGATTTTTCTTTTTTCGCCCACCTTTCGCGCGGTCCCGCTCCCCTCACGTGCCCATAGATGTACATGACACAAAAGACCCCGACTTGCTTAATTTGGGAGTATTCCTCCCCCAGTACCAAAATCGAACGTATGCCCGAACGAAGGGATGTTGGTGTGCTGTCAGTCTAGATGTCGGCCTCTTGTTGCTGGTCACGGTGGTTTCACTTTGAGCCCCCAGGTGGGTCCTGCGAAGCGTGGTCGACAAGACGTGTTGGTGCCTGCTCCCGGTGACTTGCCAAAAAAGATCCTCTTTCGTAAACTGCCCAGGCGAAACAGCTGTGGCCGACGTGCGTGGACCTGTGCTGCGCCGTGGAAATGTGCGAGCCTCAACAGCAGGCGCCACCGTCTCCATCGCCGCCACCACCACCAACAACGACAAAGACAACCACAGGCACAATATTTGCATGCCCTGCTGACCACCTAGAGCAAACTGTTGAAGCCGCCGCCGTCACCAGCTCGGCAGGAAGCGGGCCACCACCAGCGGCGGGTGGAGAAGAAGATGAACCTTTTCGGGAGGGGGGCAAGGAGCGAGCCGTGATTTACAAGTACGCTGGGTTGCGGAAAGCTGTGGCGGGCATGGGCCTGGAGAGGGCCTGGGACATGGTGCCTCTGGCTCGTGTGAGTTGAGGTTTCAATCCTCCGACATGACAAGTCGTCTTGTCATTCCCATCGTATTCTTTCTCCCCACCGCACCCGTATCGACCCTGTGGTAAATTTCGCTGTAGAATGTATCGTGCGTGCAGGTTTTGATCAACGCCTTTTATTCTTCGTGCTTGTGTGACTCACGGTCAACCCTCGCCCGTTCCCGCGCACTAGGTACACTAACAATACTTGTAAACCAGCCATATTGTGTGCCGTGCTCGTAATTTTTAATTTGTCAATGGTGTCAACCCAGTTACGTCCCTCCTACGTAAGGAGGGAGCGTATTGAGTACGGGGTGGCGCAGGAAGCGCAGTCAATCCTGTAGCAACTGATATCATTCGCTCAGCCTTCACTTGTGTGCATGCCCCTGGCCGCCTCAGTGCCTCTAATGCAATTGATCCACGCGCGACTAGCAGGGCAATGAGTTGATGGCCGAGCTGCAACTGCCAAAGGGGCCCGAAATCGGCAAACAAATGGCCAAACAGGTGATTAAGCGTGACTTGTTACTGTGTCCCAGAGAACCCCACGGTTTAGTGTATCTGTTTCTGTGCCAGGCCACGCCGTTCTCCCCTTGATAGTACTGCTTCGAAGTACAACACTAGCGTACTCCGGTCGTCCCCCACCTGGCCAACTGGCCTGTTTGTAGCCCCGAAGCTTATTCGCAGAGTAGGAAGATTATCCTCCGCGCTACATTCTTCGAGGTTTTCATGTGGCTCAATTTATTTCGCTAGCCCTACAAGTGTGATTTTACCCAAAAAAGGCGTGTGCTTTGTTTTGTAGCCTCAACATTTCATTAAACGAACGTTTCTCCCTGTGCTCGCTCGTGAGTGCAGCCGTGATGGTTTGAGAAAGGGAGCCTCATTTAGGACTGGCACCTTAGTCGTGCACCTGACGGACGGCCTACCGTTCCCCCACTTGGACCAATCCTTGCGCGCAGGCTTCCTGGCAGCTGGAGCACCCAGAGGGTACTCGGGAGCAGTGCGTTGCCTTCTTGCGTGCAACCTTGTGAAGGGAAAAACGTGCAAGATACGACGGTGCAGCGCTGCTTCTACTGCTGTTGCTGAGGGCGGTAGGGTTCAGTCAGTCAAACCCCTGTGTGTTTCATAGCAAGGGGTCTAGCAAGGTAAACGGGGCGCCGTGATTCATACAGTGTACACGCATGCATGCGTATGCGTTCCTCGCTTTCAGGTTGCCAGCAGTTGGTGCGTGGTGTGGAATTCCTGGGGGGTACAATGTACTCCACCGGGGAGATAGATGTACTCCGAACGGCTCTCTGAAATCGTGTTTCACATGGCATTAGGAGAAGTCCGGTGTTGAGGCCGTGCATGCGTCCCGCTTGCGTTGGTTTGTTCTGTGCGTTGCAGTGCACCGCATATATATGGGGGTCGGTTATTTGTGTTGCCGACGACCCTAGATGAGGCGGAGCTCTTCAGTCGGAGATGAGACTGCATGCATAGGGCAGAGTCATTAATAACTACCGTGGCGGTCAAGAAATTGGATGGAAAGAGGTGCAAGAACTCGGTGGTGATGCTGGCCGATCTGTAGCCTTCGATTTGATGCATCTGATGTGCGCACACAAACCCACGCTGTCGCTCCAGTGGTTAAAAACTCGCAACCTGCAGTCGTGAGTCCGAATCTCAGCGCCGTCAAACGAATCAGAATCTTCCCTCAAAAGCAGTCCTACCTAACTGGATATTGTAGCGATTGATTCGTCGTGTGGTGTGCACAACGGAATCAATCACGATTATCGAGGAAAAGGAACGGCTGAACACTTGCCGCGACATGGCAAAAACAAGCAAGTCCTCCTCTGTGACATCCCTTCTGTAGAATGTTACCCAGGCTGGCATGTCCAACAAAAGTCATGACGAGGGCAAACGAGAGGCGAAAAAAATGCTCGATCGACGTCCAGAAGAAGCGGGGTGACTTGCACTTGCACCACACATGTTTCATCGATCAGCCGGTTGGGTAGCTAGCGTGGTTTACGTTGTGTTGAGCGTGCAAGGGTTTTCGGGACACTCAATCTGTCTCGTATGTTTTGTCCCACATATCCCAACGTGGGAGGATTCTGTAAAAGTCCATTTCTAGGGTGCTTTCATGGCGGCTGAACGTTTTGGGGGGAACTTTCTACGAGCATCTTGGGGACACAACGTTTTGTTTGGCCCCCCGTTAATGGATTTGACGTATGAATACGAGCGGGGAAGTTTTCTGCGTCTTTTGTCAAACCAGGTGAAATCTTCACGCAGTGGCGTTCTCGAGAATCTCTATTAGGTTTTGAGTGGGGGCAGATAGAATCACCGATTTTGTGTTGATGTGTGGCGCCGTAGTCTTCATAAACGGATGGTGAGAAAACCGCCCTAATGTGTCTTTTGTCTCTTTCTCGGCCCCTTGCCTTGCTTTTATCGCGCGAATGCTAGTTCATAAATTTCACCAGAACAACGTTCATAGAACAGCATAATAGGTAGGCATGTGGTACACGCGTTGGGTGTCTCCGAAACCAGAGTAACGTTTCCCAACGCTCTTTTTCCACAAGAAAAACCCTGCCAGGTTTGACCTTTCAGCCTCCCCCACACAACGCTTTTTGTTGTCTTGCGGAGTTTTTTGAGCGGCGTAAATTATTGCCGGCACGCTATTGCATTCTTTTGTGTTAGGGCCAATCGCGAAGGCACTGATGGACTGTTATTCATCACAAGATTATCCCAGCACCGTCTCCTCCTCGAGCACGACGGGTCCCACCACTAAGCCCAACCTACACATGCTCAGACTACCCGCCACCCTCCCGCCCTCTGAAATAACATGATATCTCCATCTAAGAAATAAGAAGTAAACGTTAAGATATCAATAAATGTGGAAAATGCAAACAAAGTTCCCGGCAGGATCGGGCAACGAAGAATCCCAACAAAAAACAAAAAAAAAACGTAAAAAAAAGACACAAGACCTTATCTACACTGCGGTGCCACATGGCAAGAGGTTGTAAAGGCATACTGTACTACCGTGAACTTAACATTTACTGCAATACATCCGCATTGTACACGTTCGCACACGTGTCTCAACAGCCGGCGTAACCCCACTCCCGCCCCCCCGATCCTGCTACAAACAAAAAGCGAACATACCGTGCGTACTACATGCGATCCTGTACTTTTGAGGAAGAAAAAACATATGGTAGGACGTACACTAATGCTACGTTTACAACCCGTCGGTTACGGGCATCAAAATATATCCATGAGTCTGAATGACATCAATAAAAGAAGTAGCAACAGCACCCAACCTATCCGGCCGGCGTTAACATCCCGGTCGGGTGGATACAGCCAACAGATATTTTATCGTTTCCCGCAAACCCCCCCCGTTCCCCGCCCACCCACCCATACTTGTAATTCTGGCAGCACAGAGATGCTCAGTCGCGTCGCGAGACACATGCATACACAAATACAGCTATATACGCAAAAAAAACGCGACCACAACCGAACAAACGTCACACAATTGGCCGTCCATACCTAGTATATCTTCCGGACCGGACGCATAAAAAATACACTTCCAGTCTTGTCTGCCAACTCCCCACACCCCGTTTCCCCCCCATCTTATCCCCGATTTGATTTTCTTCTAGCCTCCTGGCGACCCTCGGAATAAAAAACAGGTAAAACACCGCCATGTATCTCGGCTCAAACGCCGGGCGCACTACCCTTAAGAACAACTTCTGTGCCGGCGACCTGCGTGGGGATACACAAGAACACCCCCTCCCCCCTCCCCACTCCCCCCCCCC